GGGAGATATTCATGAAATAAGAAATCAAGTTTTAACAACTTTTTTTAAAAGAAAGAGGTGCCCGCTTTTTAGTCGTAAAAAAGGCCTTCGTTTGGCACAAAAATTTCCTTTATAACCTACAAATATAGCGTGTCTCAGAAACCCATAAGAACTATGATTCCGTTGTTAAGCGGCCGTGCTTCTTGCCTTCCATTCAGCACTACCCTAAGCCACCTTCGATTTCTAAAATTGTTTCATGGGGTTCCTGGTGTCCTGCAAAATTGTTTCAATGTTTTGCATTTTATCATTTAATATAGAATAACTTTCCAATAACGTAATGGATTTTACTATAAAATTTATTCACAGTAAAAATGCTCTAGCTACATTTTTTAATACTTGATCTTAAATTGGCTTAATATTCGTAAAGATATGAGCTTTCCATTCTGATTGTACACGCGTCCAAAGCTCGTTTAAGTTAGCAGGAGCTCAATCTTATGGCCCCAATTTTCTCTTAAAGATTCCCATGCATGCCCAACTGGAAGGAGATCAGGAGATTGCGGAGACCAGTCTAGCACTTGGAAAGACAGTAATTGGAGCCAAGTCAGAACCAATAGTGCAGTGTGACATTATGCATATCCTGCTTGAAAATCATTTCACCAAGACCAAGGTCATACCAGTCGCATGTCCTGGGTAGGTCATTCTTTATATTGTCTTAATACGTGCTTGTGGTGATGCTCCTGTCACTTTTATCAAATATCTGACCCCTTAGACGTTATACAAGATCAAATCATAATCGATCCTCCCCCATGTTTATTACATTTGCACCACCCGGTGATCAAATATTCGATTATCGCCGGATCGCTACCCTCACCACCTAATACCATCTGAACCATATCAATTGATCTTGATCTTGTCCGAAAAAATTACTTTATTCCAGTCAGAAATGGATCCGTTTTCGTACTTCTTCCCAAACTCAAATCTTGGTCGCTTGTGACGTTCTGCCAAAGTAAGTTTAATTAACTTTTTTTCCTCATAAAGACCAGCAGAATGCAATTATCTCGATACGTTCGACTTTGAAACTGGTCTACCTAACGTTGTTTCTATGATATATGAAGTTTTTTTGTTTCTGTGTAGGTTTAATTGCACCCAGTGTCACTTCTCGTACAAGTTGAGATCCCAATTTTTCAAGATCTTTGGACGCCCAGGTTCATTGCAAGGACGATTTGGGTCATATTGAGCTTTGATCTGGAATCTTGTGGCCTTACTGAGACCACATTCACGAGCGATCACAGAATAGGGCTTGCCTTGATCTAAAAGACATTTTACATCATTTTCTTTATCAATTGAAAGTTTACTACGCATTATTAAATTAAAGTCTCTAAATAAGCTATCCTTTATAATCACTCAAACGCTTTAAAGAAACCCTCTATGATGGAGCGATCATGAAAATTTCGTATAAAGCTTGTAACAAATTTTGCACGAAGGGGGCCACGTGCAAAATCCTTTCAATCAACATTTAAACTTTAAAAGAGTTATAAGGACTTAAGTAAGGAAGCAGTTCCTCTAATACAAACTACAATAAATAGATCTCAATCTAAACTTATATATATATAAGGGAGGTCAATATAACCAAATATTAATTAAAGCGTTATAGAATTTTTATGGAAAAAAAAAAATTTAAAACATAGAAACACTTTTAAACGATAGTGTATTTGTGCTATACATATTTGACCTCTTAACCCCCGCGGCACTCACGCACATAGCATTTTACACCGACGATAGAAGTTTATCAACCTAATTTAGTCTCAGCAGCCACTCCCGCCAACTGTATTAACAATATAGCGTATAAAATAAACAAAGTACTTTTAATCTCAAAAAAGCCCACGGCGCTTTCTTTAAGGTTTCCTAACAAAGTATTATTTAACCAAACTTTCGTGACGGCAACACAGCGCACTTTTTATGATAAAGTTCAATGCAATAACGGAAGCGCTTCAAACGCTATTTGCGCAAAAAGCAAAACGATTTTAGCAATAAGTTGCACTTATACTTAAGTGTACTCAACCTGCAATCCTAATTTCATTATTGGATATAACCTGTGTACCTCTTTTTATTTTTATTAGTCTCACAATAAGCTCTCACTTTTTTTAACATAGTTCACTTTGGACAAGCTTACACTTTTAAATAACTTCAATAAAATTCTAAAGATGTTGAGCTCCTCTTGCTAGGGAGTCGAGCTACAAGAAACATATACTAATCTGCTCAAATTATTTAAAAATTTTTTCCCAGAATTAATGGATCTAAAGTTAATATAAAAGGGCCTCGAAAAATTGTTTCTATTAAATTTAAAAACTAAAGACTTAAGGTACCTTCCGAAAATACCTTTTCAACAATTAATAATACTGTTTCTTTCTTTACCCTTTAACGAACCTGAAACTCTAATAAAAGTCATAGATAAAAGCAAATTGATTAAACTACCCTTAAATTAGTAATAATTTGAAAAAAGACACTAAAGAGTGATAGTAATAGTAATAATAGTAAAGCCCTGTCCAAACGCTAACGGCCGAATCTCGAAACTATATACCGATGAGAGCCAACTAAGCGTTCGTAGGACCCCAGTAACTAAAGTGCATGAAGAAGGCTGAAATCGCAGTTTTGAAAATATTTATCTTGCAACGTCAAATTGAGGTTTATACAAACTTCTGTCGGACCAAATGCAAGTTCTGCCCGCGCTGGGAGACGGGAAGGAGGCCGAGAACACTTACTTGGACCTGCTGACCTTGCTAAATTCTTCGAGTTTCTTGTGGCAACCCTTATAAGTTTTTTGGGGCCACAAACGATACCTACCCTACTCGACGTTGTCATTGTCAAAATCGAGGGCGCTGGGTCATGTCGTACCCCACCGTCACAATGACACGTAACGTTAAGCACCATCCTAAATGTCCGCCTAATAAAATGAAGATCTCTATATGCGAGTGTTGACGCACGACGCCCTGAAGACATGTCAACGTGCAATCGGCTTTACCAATCCACCAGAGAAGAACTGTTAGCACAACAAAATTGTTAATAGGATATAAAGTTATGCCATATCTCTGAAGCTTGCCATCACAAGCGGGTCTCTTTCTGACAATTTATTAAGAAATACAGAAACATGTCGCGTCTACCCCTACCCTGTCTAGAGAGGACGACTTACGTCAAAAGCCGAGTTGCTGACCACCTCGCTGCTCAGTGTTCTTTTTGAGTCGAAACAGTTAACACAATTCAAAGTTAGAAGAGTATTAAAGCTCTTTCGAAACGTAAGACAAAAATTTATGATGGCGGCTAAACAGTTAAGTTTACTCGACGGAGAACATTATCTCTATCCCGTGGCGATAGAGGGCAACTACTGTTGTAATGCTCCCGAAAACCCCACAACCAACCTTTCGGGGTCTATCAGCCTTCTATAGTAAAGTTGCGCCGCTTGAAAGAGTTCGATGATGCAAGCTGTGCTCTGCCAGGGTTTAATGACTTGACAGCTCTTCTGCCTGTCGGAAAGGAGGACTCGTGCTTTTAATTTCAAGAAGGCAATAGGCGTCGTCTTTCCGAGGCCAAGAGCTTTTGGCCGAGTTTTTTATAGCAAAAGTTTTCTTTACTTATTGGGCACTATAGCCCTCCCTATGGCTCTTTTTGACGTGCCCAAACCCTACTTTGAGGACAGCATAATAAATAACGTATGGGCGAGCGCACTCATTCAAAAACTACTTACCCGTTAGGATCTGTTCCATTACCCTTGCTCCTGGTGCGCAGGTAATACAGCGATTTAGTCCTTAGCGTCTGCAGCACTACCTTCGCAGACTGATGTCATCCACCCCTGGCCCTTAAAGGCAAATAATCCCTTGGCCTCTACAAAATAGTATTTGGGGTTATCCTCTCACCCAAGTTTTCATAACGCAGCTCAAACTCAATACTTCTAAATTGTGCCAAAAACAAATTCTCGTTAAGCAGCAAGTCACGTTTGTATATGTTGTGTACCCGGCCAAGCCTAACATACGCGGTTTCCGCCTGAGTCTACAACTTACCGACCAAAGCCTCCTCTCTTTATTCCCGACAAATAATGTTGCTACGCATCATAACGGATGCAGTATGGTTTGTTAAAACGATGCTTCACATCAAGACCTCCCAGCTTCCGTTATTTCAACGAAAGGCTATTATTAGCACCTATGAATGGCTTACCAGCACACCAACTGAAAATTCTGGCCAAAGACAGTTACTACGAACCATTAGAGGGCGCGCACTATCGTTATCTAATTTGCACGCTACCGCCATGTTGCGCATTTGTAATTCAGTGTTTTCCGGCTCTATGAAGCATTAAAATATACCATTAGTAATAATAATAATAAAAGTAATATGTACGACCCAGTACACCATAAACTTCACCTGCTAAGGCATACGATAGCCAGCTAAAATAGTAATCCTGCAGGTATAGCAAAACAAACTGCAACGACCCTGATTGTAATGCTGTACTTTTGTGCACAAGAAAAGTTCGCATGGCTTGTGCTATAAAACTTTTTATAAAACGAAGCAATCACTGCTTTAGGGCGCGTTAGAGACGCAATGAAACCACCGCAGTTACTAAAAATTCATCTATAGGCGCGAACAGTATGCTTTAAGCACAGTTCTCCTTTTTTTATTGTTGAATTTAGACTAATAACTAGAGCTCGTTGCACGATCAACGTTTAGGTTATTATTATTGCCAAGGAAGAGATGCTAGTAATCTTAAAAGGCATCTGTTAAGTTACTGGACAATACGATACTTAAGCAGTATTACTCAGCTGACTCAAACGTAGATCGGAATCATTTAAAAAAAGCTCTTAAACAAAGTGACTTCAGGACAACATTAAACGGCACGAAAATTTAAAAGGCGCGACAGGCATAGAGTATCCACGAGAGAAACAGCGCAAGACAATTAAAAAAGTAAACTGAAGAATAATCTTTGTCAACGTACCAATCTTTATTAACTATTATAGTTTTTTAACCAACCTATACACAACATTGCATACTCCCAAAAAAAAACTATCTGAAGTAGAGTTGCACTTCCAATATAATCTTAAGCTATGAGATTCAAATTCTTCATTTTGGGGCTGTCACAAATTAAATTCCGGTGTAAACTTGTTTTTCCTTAACATCTTCAGCCAACCTTAAACTTTACTAAAGCTTTTAATAAATGAACCGAGTAGACAAAAGTAAATGATAAAAAAACCTTATAAACTGCTGACATGTAGCGAATGAAGCATCTTGGAGGGATCCGTAGGAAACTTTTTGGCACAAAAGGTCACTAACCTTTTAAATGCTTGAATATATTTCCTCTTGAAAATTTAAAAATAATAATCAGCAACACGAAAAATTAATTTTTTTAAATAAAAATATTATAATAATAGTATAATTATTGAGGCGTAATAAATAAATAAAAAAGTATATAAACCCCAAATTTATATACAGCGAAGGCTAACAAAATAATAAAGCACCTGCTCTTCATCATTCAAAACATGAGCTACTTTACCAGAAAAGATTTTCTCACGTCCTGTTCTGGCGTGGATTCCGACCTTTTAATTAAAATTTAATAAAAAGGAATTTTTTTTTAAAAAAAAGGGAGAAACCATCGTCACGCCTATGGGCCACGCGGCGTTCCCGATGGACAATTTCATGTAAAGCTCATCCGCTTCAATGTATTCTCTTTTAAGGCAACAAGTGACAATCTTTGCCACAAATTAAAAACTGTGAGCATTAAAGGAATCTTTAACTTTGCACACACAACACAATTTTCTTAATATTATATCCTCAACTTATAACTACCCTATAATAGAGAATCTACTTAAATCTTACAAGTACTTCCATTTCTATAAATTTTATAGGCGTACGACTAAAATCTTTTAAAAATAAAATAAACTTAAGAATTTATTTAGAAAGCTGATAAACAGAGAGATCGGTATATATAATTTAAGGCCGGCTGCCTACCTGAGAAAAGAAGAAAGCCATATCCTCGTCAAGCGTCCGCAGCTGTAACTTTTCCATTAGCGGTTGCAAGTAAGCTTTAGTCTGGTTGTATTTTGCAAGTTCTGAAATATAAAGAAGTTTAAAAGTCTAGAAAATAAATTTAAAAACCTCTATAAAAACAGGATTAATAGAATATAAAACTTTTTCAAACCATCAACTTCAGTCTTTTCGCTTTTTTGTTTTTTTTCATAAGAAGAGGATTCTCTAGAACTCTCAAGATCAGATCCCCACAGAAGAAGTATATACTAAAGTTAATAATTTAATGTAGTCAAACCGTAGAGCTAAAATAAACTGAACATACAAATTAAATAGATTGAGAAGTTAATGTGGATAAATATAAAAAAAAAAGTTCTCTAATTTCAATATTTATAAATATATTAGAATTTCTTATTATTAAAACCTGAACAAACTTGAGGGTAAATTCTTGATTGATAAAATAATCATTTTTTCCGGCTTTGCCTATTAATTCCAATAGTTCACCTTTGGTAAGGTCTATGACCATCTTAACTTCTTTTCTTTTTTTTTCTTTTTCCTTAGCAAGTTGTTGAGGGTCCTAGGAAGTTTTTTTAATCGTAAAGTATATACAAATAAAAAAAATTCTTATAAGAAAACTAAAAAAAACCTGTCCCGAAAGATTTAAAATTTCGTCTAAAAACTTTTGCTGAGCTTCATCTTCAGCTAACATTAAGTCATTCCTCAAACCTACACAGAGCCTAATAAGGCAATGATAAAACAATTAAAAGGAAATTCCGAACCTACTTCTTCGGACTCGTGAGTCTTTATGTACTGTAAGCGCTTTAATCTTGCCTCGTCACTTTCTCCAAATAAGCGAATAGGTTCGTTCCTGTCCCGAAGTTGCTTCATAACTTCGATCTAAAGTAACATATCTGCAAGTAAAGAAAATAAAAACTCCAAAAAAGGGGTAACCTCTGAAATTTTCAATTTTTTCTTCAATAATTCCGTACTTGCTGAAGGGGAATTCACTAAACTGTCTTTATCTTTAATATTTTTGCCATCTTCAGAAGACTGTAAAGTTTCTTCACCTTGTTGGCTTTCTGTATTATCCGGTAGTAACTCTGTTCTCACTGATCGCTTAGCTAATTTATTTATTTCAAGAGAACGCTCTTTTGTAGCTGGTCTCTTATATTTATTTCTTATGTATTCCCCTTGTTTTATATAAGAGCCCGAGGTGGACTTAAGCAAGTCTAGCTCAGATTTACTTTTTAAAAGCTCAGCCTGCAAAACAGAAGTGAATCCCATCTCTTAAGCTAACAAAGGAAACCACAGCGGTTCACCCCTAAAAATTGAAAGTAATTTTCTTATCCTACGAAACACTGAAAAAACATGCCCATTTTAATACTTACCAGCAACTAATTGCTTGCTCATAAAAAAACCAAGGTACCTTACGCATGCCCTTTTGTATATGATTATTAAGCGCTAATAGTACGCAACATATAAGTTATTATTCTATCTTGTTATTCATTTAGCTTAATCTCTATGTTTCTAATAATTCAATAGCACTTTATTTACGTGAAAGCGTGTCTGGGTTTAGGATACTTAGTTATATTCCTCATTTCAAATTTAGCTGAAAAGCTCACCAAGGGGTTGGTATGAGCACTAAACTTGTTCAAGATGGTTATGTACAAAGCTTTAATGTACTCTTTTATGGGTTCAATTTTTAAATCCATATGAAGTTGGGTTCTTAATTCATTAAGGGGTATTAGTGAACATCCCAACCCCATGCTTTGAAATTGCTCGATGAGTTTAGAGAGCAAGAACTTTATGCAGGGAAAGCTAAGTCTTAATAGGACGAATTATCGCTTTGTTTAATGATACCTTATTTTTAATTTGAATTTACTTTTTAGATAAAAACGAGAATATAGCGCTGCATCAGCCTTTTCGCTTTGTGTAGTATGTAATCTATATATTTCGCCCGTGTCAGTTTGTTGTCCATAATTTACTCCAAGATTTTTTTTTGCCTCAGAACACCAAGAAAGCTAAGAACCATGTAGCAACAAAATTTTGATAGGCGGTTTTTTTCGTTTAGAGACGAAAAGACACTTGGTCTTCTGTGAATAAATTTTTAACTTCCAACTATCTTACCTTTCATAGGCCTTATAGACTGAAATATCAAATCGTGCCCAAAGTAATGAAGGAGATTTAGATATGAAATTAAGGCCACGCCATCGGCAGAAAGAGCAATGCTGGTATCCTTGATGACCGGAAGATCTGCCATATATATATATATATAGAAAATTAAAGGAGACAGCAAGGTGACTTGGGACACTCATTCTATTCATTTCTATGCAAGCCAGATAAGGATCGTTGCATTTAATACTCATAGAATTTCTTTTTTATAAGAAAACTTTCAATAAACTTAATCGTATCCAACGGGCACTTAAAACAATGAAGTTTGTACAAAAAGCTAGAATACCATACATTATCCAAGGCATTCCCCATGTTAAGAAGTACAAGGCCCGTTGCTTTTTTAAAGTTAAAGCATTAGGTAACTAATACGTAGTAGTAGTGTCGTAGAATTTTTATCTCTATAGCCATGCTGCTCAGGAGATAGCACATTATTTTGTAGTAGGAATTTCTTGTCTAAGCAAATTAACATTACAACTTTTCGAGAATTGAAAAACAAACTAATGGGGCGATAAGTACTAATTTCAAGTGATGGAGGAGCATACCTGGGAAGGTTACTACCACGTCGGTTTTCCATCTAACTGGCAAACACCTCATAGTAAAAGCCCAATTAAATATGCTGGTGATTCGCACCAACTAAGGTCTTAAATAGTTGAAAGCTTTGTTGGATATGTTATCCCCTCTAGCAGCTTTTCTGTCAATGAGGTCTTTTATAATGCCTTTTATTACTTCAATGGTTACAAAACTTGAAAAGTTACACTTCTCTTTAAGTAATAACTTTTCGACGTTATAATTGAGTCGTTTTCGTTTCCCGCGAGTATGGGTTGTACAATTCCGCTTAATATCTAGCAAATATTATTACTTTTCTTTATTTCCAGTGACCATGTAGCCCTCAAGCAGTATAGGTTGCAAATGTATATCTTTATATATTTAAGATAGAGCAAGAGGTCAATAATTCATAGACGATTTTGTCATAGAGTAAAATTTTACCTCCAAAGTAAAATTATAAAGTCCCCTAGTGCCTTATTAAGGCTCCGATTAAGTAAAAGAAAATATTTTTATTTTTGCGGATTAATAGTTCCATAAAATTTTCTTTTTTGACTTCGCCTCTTTGCAACAGAACTTTTATTAAATTATGTGTTATTAGGTAATATTTGTTAAACTGTTCGTTTAAAGCGTTCTCCATCTTAAGGGTTGCTGTTGTCCATTTAATCTACTTTATTAGAATTACATTTATACTCATTATTCATAATTCTTTCGTAATCACTCCAATGCATTCTGGAAGGTCATTTAATTGCATCGAACCATTAACAATTCTAAAACCACTAGTTTATGATCGGACGATAGTAATAGTTGTTAAATAGTAGTCAAAAGGTAACGATATATATAATATATCTGATGAGTGTCTAGTTGAATAATGTGTAGGATTCGAGGGCACCACTACAGATAAGTGGCTCCTAAACGCATACCTGTCTAAAAACCAGCCATTGGGATTTGCCTTTGTGCTGTTCCAAGCGGAATGTTTTAAAGTAAAATCCCCTGCTGCAATAGTTGTGCCACCAGTATTTTCAATTATCATCTCAAGTGATAAAAGTTAAATGCTTATCAGGAAGCTTATATACTGCAATTATGTCAGTTTTTTTGTGAGCAAACGATGTAAACAGATTTTTTAACAACTTCAATATGTCATCAAAATTATAGTTCAGCTCGGTGTTAGCCTCCTTTGCTGTTGTTTCTATCGTGACGATATGCGCGGTAATTTTTTAATATTAATATGTGACATTTTTAGATGAGTTCTATTAACTAGAGCAATATCAGTAACTCCTACCTTAACCTATTTGAAATTCTTACCTGCTCACATGTTTTTACCGTGTACACAACAGTGATTCCTTATAAACTCTACCGTGGATTTTCAAGGTTTTTTATTTGTAATTATCATTTATTTTTTCTCTTAGAATCTCGTAATCATTCATTAGTCCATGTTTTAGGCCTTTTCTACGTCTTATCATGGACACTTATTAATTATTAACCTTTTACCCTCTTGTGGAGTTTATTCCCTGGAAGGGGTTTTAGTTTACTAAGCTACCTTTCTTTCTTTCTTTCAATGAACTCACGGAATTCTCTCAATTTGTCGCAAATTCGTGAGCTTAACAGCACTGAGAGCTGAAAAGGTGAGAGCAAAAAGGCTGGAGTTTTATTATTTATTTATTTATAATTGAGAGTTCCTGTTTTCGGTCGAGTCAAAAAGCTTCGGACATTCGACCTCTTAATCAGGAGTGGTCGCAGACTTATTACTACATAGCTTTTAACCGAATTAGGTGTCATTATTTTCTTGACATTAACAAAGAAAAACCAGTGATAACGCTCGTCATGGGGGCGTTGATAACGTGCCCCGTCCTGAGGCTCTTATGTAAGTTCGTTCATCAGCAGACGATTAGTGTGGCCGGCTAGCCTGTCGTAAAGGGCATTGGGCATGGCGTTGAAAGACGCCGTCTAAAGGGGCCAGCTGAAAGTCCCGGTGAAGAGCTTCAACTCGCCAAAAACAGCATTTTGTTCTCTTGCACTTGAAGTGCCGAGGCTTTTGCAGTGGAGACGTAGCTCCAAGAAGTGACGCGTATGTCATTATTGACCGGAATTAAGACATATATCATTGCCGTTTGTTCGCAGAGAAAGCTTGCTCTTACCACATAGTATAGGGTAAAGCGCCTTAGTTGCTGTCTTGACCTTCGCCACTCCAGAGGGGAACCGCATAGTAAAGAGTATTATTTTATTATAGGCAGTTAAGCCGTTTATATATCTTAACAAAACTTAAAAAGCATTTTCATTATTGTATATCTGTTTATATTACATTTAAGATTCTTGCAATAAACTTGTTTAACTTGGTTCCGTTAAGAAGATGTGACAATAATTACCTTATTTGTACATAATAATATTTGTTCAGTGTAGTCTCTGCCACACTGTTTGAGAAAGCGTTTAGAATAAAAATATTAGTTTAGGTCGTTTTTTGTTGGTTTGCTTTTAAATTATTATTTCTGTGTGGTTTATTATTATTTGAGTATATGTAATTTTTATTAGCGTCTCTCTAATTAGTCTCCTTTTCTTCCAATGAGAGCGTAGCTCTAATCCAATCGGTTTTCTTATGATATTAAATTTCTGTTATAATAAAACTTACTTTTAAAATTGACCAAAAGCGTTCTTTGCTGATGTGTTGTATAAATGGAAGGCCCTGTTCTTTGATTATGTGTGTTTAGTCGAACATCAGAATTTTCACTTTTCAGGATAATATTTCTTTGCGTGTTTGATTGAATGTGACTCAATATAAATGTTTTTTTTTAATTTTTCGTTTTTCGTTGGTGCTTTTTGACGATTTTACTTATTCTATTTGGGAACATTTATATTTATCTAGTTAGAAAATATAACTTTGTTTAGTATTAAAAAAAAGTTAATTAACATAAGGCCTCAATATTCTTCATTTATTCTCAAGTTAATAAGGTCTTACAAATAACAGCTAATAAGTCTTTAGTTAACAACTGTTTTATAAGGCATTGAATTCTCTCAACTACTATGTTCTCTATAATAAGTAATATGGTTTAACAACGAGTTAATATGACGTATGTGATCATAGCGTTCCACTTTAAACGAATTAACTAACTATATCACACTATTTTTAAACTTTCAATTGGAACAAAAGCTTTCAAATAAAGCATTTAATGTTAGAAACAGTTTTTGTTGTCCTACAGTTTATATCTGTTACCGAAAAAGTGTGTTATAGGTATTAGATTATGTATCCTCAATACCAGGAAACATTTACGCAACTGTTAGAAAGAATTTGTGTACTTACAACCTTTCCAAGCTTCAATAACTTTTTCTATAGTAGGTTCACAGTGAATAATTAAGTATATATAATATACAAGATGGGCAAATTTAAAAACGTAGCTCGTTGTCTACAACAAGGGAAGACTGATTCTGTTTGCTTTATTCGTAACTTTTTTATTCGAAGAATATATGTTATTATTAATAATTATCAATAATTACATCATATTAGTTAAAATGGGATTTTATTGGCAACAAAGAGCAATTCTTTCTTTACCCTATAAAAGCTTTTTAAAGTTGCCCTACAAATTCAGTTATATTTTTTTATATTTTACTAACTTATGTGGAGTTTTACTAATATAAAAGATTTTTTAACACTTGCATCGCGAGTGGCAAAGCCAGTTAAAAAAATCGTTAGGTTTCCCGCCACGTTAAAAGAAAATGCCCGCCTTAGGAGGAAGGGGCTTCTTCATTAAACTATCAAGTCCTAACACATTTCTCTCTTTAGTAAAAAGAAACATATTATTCATTTAGTTATATATAAAATTCATGATTTCCTTCCTCCAAGTTAAGGTGTTAGGTCAGGCTATTAAGAAAAAAACAGTTAAAACGTAACTCACAAGCACATGTAAAGGGGCATGCGCACTCATACTTGGTCTAAACTATTGTAATTTTTACCACGCAATCATGTGGAGATCCGTCTTAAGGTGGGGGGAAGCCTTTGAGGGGTCAAGTTCTAACTAAAATCAACGCAGAGAAGCAGACTACTACTATTTACAACAAGCAGGGGTTCAATAGATTAGCAAGGCAGGAAGTGTATTATTTCCCTGAAAACCCATATTAATACATTAGTTAAAGTGGGAGTACGTTCTGGCTATTACACTAGCAGCCCTACTACTTTAGAGCTTTTTCTTAATGAAGCAGCATTTTAGAGCATGATTAGTAGATTTTTAAGTATTTACTGCCTTGTGAAGCCATCACTTTGTTTTTCGGTTTTTAGCCACTTATTATAAAAAATTTCACTTAAACTCTGTATAATTTTGTTATTATTTTAGTATTGCGGAACTTTTGATGGAAAGCGCTTTATGACGACTAGGCGAATTAAAAAAATGTTAAAAGATTTAGAACAGTCAGGTTTAACCAGTGATGCTCAGAAAGAAGCGACTACTCTTAAAAGTACTCATATTGTAAAAAGGAGTCCAAAAAAGAAGAAATTAAGGCCTAAAATAGAAATAATAGCAGAAAAAAGTTCTCACTTTTAATACTTATAATATGTACTTGTTGACATTTATTATCTTCAAAGTTGGGATGGACATAGACGAGGTCATTCCCTTAGTTAGGGACAAATGGAATACTCTTATGTTGAAGGTTATTACAAAACTATTATAGTACAAGCTTTAATAATGAAAGCCTTAATAATGAAATAAGTCACTACTTTACTATAGAAATGGTACATACAACGCCATCTAAGCTCTGAAATTAATTCTGAAAAAGCCGTAACTCTTTCCGAATTAAAAGAATTTGATCACACTAACCTTTGGCTCTACCTTAAATTCGGTAGAGATTGGAAGCAGTATCTCCCGAGCGATGAGCTTGAAAGAGAGAGTTTGAAGAAAAGAATAATAACGCTGTCCACAAAACTTAATCGGAAAGCTGTAGAAGAGGAAGTCTCTAATTCCGTAGTTTTTGAAGAGCAGCAATTTTTAAACACCGCTGAGTAACGTAACTATATAACTTCTTTATTCTGTTCTTTCATAGTTTCTACAGAGATCCGCAGAGCAATAACACTTTGAAAGCCACCATCGACAGCGAACTTGAGGAAACTGTGGGTTTGGTGAGGGAAATATCCGCAGAGAACAAAGATAAAATCTTTGAAGAAATTCGAAATGCCAAACTCTTTACTGAGGTGTCTCTTCCCGCTACCTTTTTTATTCTGCATTTTAATTGCTCTAAAGCTACCTGACCGGTTGAAACCCACTAATTACGAAGAAGAGCTTCTTGAAAATCATTTGAGAGCGCAGGAAAGGAAAATATTTTATGCTGAGCACTTCAAAGATGAGGGTCCCTTTTTTTTTTCGAACTTTGCGAATTAATACTTACTCCTTTTAATCTTTAGCGGAGCTTTTTAAAGGAAACCCCGAAAACGAAGACGTGTTCAAGCTGCAGCCCAGCAACCGCCCCTTCCGTCTGCTCGACTGCCACACCATTCACGAAGTGGACGAATCTCATCCTTTCTACTTGACTTACTTGATCCCGGGGGTAACTTCTTGCTGGCTACGAGTTCACGCCCCACGTTGACAAATCCTCTTTTTCGCAGGAGCAGACTTTTTTACACTTAAACAGACCTGCAATAGCCCACGAGGTTTCCCAGTTAAAAAGTTCGTTTTCTATCTGACCTGCCGCTTCCTGCTACTATCACACTGTAATTCGTCAGGCCAGTGCCGTCCGTTTGAAGCGCCCACAGAGCAGCCGCAGGTGACGGTCACGTACACAACCCATCTTTTACCAGAACAGAAGCGACTTGAGAGCGACAGGCAAGTCCGGCTCGAGGTATAGATCCACCTTTTCCCTACTAGCGATAGTCAACACACGACCTCCCTCCCTAGCTCGATCTTAATCGACTCCCACTGAGTGAAGTTGAACAACGCTGCTTTCGGGTGCTGGCTAACGACTACCTTAAGGACGGAGAGACCTCTCTCTACGACTTTTTAGCGGAGCGATATGCCGCGAGGAGTATGAACTTCCAGCACCTTCTTGAACTTATCTATAAGCTAGTGGCGGCGTGCAAGTCCACTAGGGTTCAAAGCTTGTGCGAGGCCGCCGAAATAGAATTTTTTGTGGCGAAGGAAGGAAACCGTATGGGGGCGGTCTCCAATAAGGAGGTGCGACAAAAGAGGTTATTCGAGAGAAAAAAGAAGCAGGCCCTCGAAGACGAAAAAGTCGTGACTTATAAGTAATAAATCATTTTATCAAGTTGAATATATACGAGCGGCCTTCGCTCAGTTTGTTCAGCTGCTCTTCCTCAACTGCCTTTATCAAGCCGATTAGAGTAGCCTCGTGCAAGGAATTAGAAGAGATACTTACTAGCGGGACTTTCAATTGGTGGCAGGCTACAAAAAAAAGTGCGGCCAACTCATACTTGCCAATTTCCGTTAAAAGGTGAAAAGCCTTCTGGAATTGTCCTATTGAAAGTTGAAGCAAAATGGCGCTAGGCTTCAGATCCACGTGTGACGAGCACATGTAGTCCGACCACCGCATTAGCACTGTTGCCCACTTTCCCCGATCAAGTGTGCACTACAAGTATTTACAGACATCAGCATGGATTCTCGGCTTAGAGACGTTAAGCTTACACAGAGAACCTTGGCAAGCTCGGCTGCCCGTTCCCACAAACCATAATCTTGAAGGTAGCTGCAGGCCGCTGAGAAATTTTCGAGAGTACAGAGAAGTGCCACACCATCATCGACAAAACCTTTAGGAGAAGTGTGAGAAAAGAGTATCTACGTGTCTTCTTGAGCCTTTCGGCTGGTTCATACCAGAGCCCAGCAAGTTTACAGCAATCATCATTGTTATAGAAGAGTTTGGCGCCTGTTGAGTCGCTGAGACAAGAGTGCAAGCCCTGAAGGAGTTTTCTAGAAAGTGGACATCCTCGGGATCCTGTAGTACACGCTTTATAAAAAAGATCAAAATTAAAAGTGATATTACGGTGGCCAAAAGAGTAGCGATGGCATTGTCGCGATCCCCGAGAGTTAGCTTTTCCAAGGCGGCTACCTTCTTGGCGTGCTGCTCGTTTGGAGGTAAGCAATTTTTTTTCTGGTGAGACCTCAGATAACCACCTGCGGCAGGGAAGCTAGTGCGCGTGCGCCACAACGACTTTCAATGCTTTTCCGCACGCCATACTGATCCTCATATATTCCATGAAAGGGGCGCAGTGGAGAACACGGAAAAGACATGTCTCCATAGAACTTAGAATAAACCGCTTAAAGTACACGTGGCAAGCAAGACCTGCAGTTTGTCCTGCCGAGTCTCGTGACGTCTCAAGGACTTGAGGGATGTGCAAACGAGCTAGACTCCAGAAAGCATGTTCAAACGGCTCGCCAAATATCTTAAGACAACCAATTAACAATCTTATGAAGCTAAGCTTAATTTTAAGCAAATCTGAAATCTTTATCTGCGAAAACACAACATATTAACTTAAGTGTATGAAGATTATAAATTAACTATTACTCGCTTACATTAAGTCAGTTTTATAAATATTAAACATGAGGCATGTTGTCAATTTACTATTTACTTCAGAAACGAGTTGGAAGCATTCCTCGTATGAAGTGCATGATGAGAGAGCCTCCCCATAGACTTTCTTTATCAATTTCACCAACGCTCTGCTTAGCTGGTAATCGCAAGTTGAAAGGGCCATCTGTTCTGTGGTGGCGGATGAGCGTTCTGCGCTAAGGCCACCGGGTAAAGTGTAGAGCGCACTTTTAATATAAGCTTGAACCTCTCATACAAGAAAAGAGGTAACTGCTAGTGAAGACTAAGCTCTAACTCCATTGTACCTGTTTGTTGTATAGTGAAGGGCACCAAAAATTTGGTACTGGAGAATGTCGCATTGAACACGCGGATTTCTTCAACTTCTGGTCGCTTATGCGAATGCAGCCGTTTGAAAACAGCACAACCAAAAATGCGTTAGCCCATCTAATCACATTGCACGAGAAGAAGTGATGGTAAAAAGGTACTTTGCGGTACGCGAATCAAAAAAAAATACGTTATATCTTTTATGCCGAGGGCTTCTTCTCGGTTGTTCTTGAGCAACTTGTTAGCTTTTGAGAGCTTGCTTGAGGTAGAAAGGTCCCAAAGCTCGAATCTATTGACGTAAAGGGCATACAACTATTGCACACTGCAAGTTAATAGAAGAACAAAAAAACGAAGAGAGCAGGACTTTATAAAGCGACGGTATCGGTGAGAATTCGAGTTTTAAAAGAACGGGTTGCTCGCTAGAAACTTCCCTGGAAAGATTTACAGGCAATTCCTTGCCCACCTCGTACATGCGCAAATCACCAGTAGCGTTTCCAGAGACTATGTAATTGTCCTTCCAGCCTTATCGACTCGTAAGCGCGAGCGGGTTAATAAGCGTATTCAGGACACATACACAGACTGGTAACAACGACAGGAGGACTGCTTTGAACGAACACGTGGTCCGAGCTAATAATCTTGTCCTCGAGAGTAAACAAGTGTATACTGCCTCCTTTAGACGCGGCAGCAAAGCGCTTTGTATAATGATCAATTAATTACTAGTATAATACAAAAATTGTAAAAGGGTCGATCTACCAACTTGTGAAGGGCAATGGCTTCTGTCATACACCAGGTAGTTGCTGTGACTTCTACTGCGTTTGGTGTACTTTTGAGCAAAGCTGGAGCGCTACCTAACTCCCATATTTCTAGACGCTGGAATAGTTTTTTCCTTTAAGGCAGTAAACACTTCAACGGCAAAAAGACTGGCCTCGCCAACTAGTAGTAATGCGTGTCCACCATTAAAGGACACCTTCATGTCCCTCAGTGCACCACTTTCCAGGGTTTTTCTTAAGCGGATAAAATACACGCGGCCCGTCTGTAGGTCGACACAGCTTACGATGTTTTTAAACCTGCATTGCTAAATAATTTAAAAAGCGGTTTGCCGAAAAAAAATGATCTACTTTTCTTTAGTAGGGGAACTGTGGGAAAATGCATACAATAAGTTCGCGTCAACCCAAGAGAAGCCCAAAAGAGGTAATTGGTGTATAGTAAACTCTCGGACGACTCGACCAGTGTGAAGGTTAATAAGCTGCAACGATCCGACCTAAGTCCGGGTAAATTATAAGTGGAACTTGTAATGCGGAAGAAAGAAGACCTCATTCCCCACAGCAGCGTAAATGTTCTGCTCGTCAATGACCTGTAGAAGATATGTAAAACTAGAGGGACGGCTGCACGCAGCAGAGTGCCTTGCAGCTGATGCACGTGGGGCTGGCGGACACACGATCTGCTAGTCCTTCCAGAACAAACTTGTGTTTGCTGTGGGATAGACGTCTGAAATAAAGTGAAAAAATTCAAATCAACGCGAAAGTGTGTACCCTCCGACGGTTTTGTATTTCTCACCAGAAGAAGAGAGTCTCCACTTAATGCTTTAAGAAAAAATAAAGATTCCACCAAGTTACGGTGATAGATTTATACACTTTTCCCTGCTGTAGCACACCAACGAGTGTCTCCTGCCTCACTGGATCTAACAAAGATATAGCAACAAAATTTTTTTTTGGCAAGTTTAGCGCGGAGGAATGGGCTTCCATTATGAACGTGCCATTTTTCCAGATAATTGAAGAGATACTTGCATAGCAATATTTAATAGAATAAAAGATGCTTAAATTTATATATAAATTAATATAAAACTGAAATTAACTTAATAAGTTTAAAAAGTTAAGGTTTTTAATAAAAGATAATTAAATTATTTTTGCGTTATAAAAAGCAGTTGCGTTAACTATCTATATAAATTCTCTTTGGTCAATAATACTGTAAAAAATAAAAAAATTAAATGTAAGCGCGAAACAAAATCTACCTTCCATTCTCATGTACGCAAAGTAGCAAGCCAGACAATTTACAAGTAGAGAAAATTTTTACCAACGAAGTATGGTTTTTATCCACAGTAAATTTATTAATTACCTAAAACAAACCTTTAAGAAAAATCATAAGATTTAAAACGTTTTCCAATTTAAAAAAAGTTGGGGATCTATTTCAGAAAACACATATGTAAACAGTCATAGTAAAGCGATATACGGTTTTCAAAGAAGTGTCAAATACGGAAATCACATAATCTTCAGCAATAAAGAAAAGGTAAGGAGTTGAACTGCTGTAAGCAACGCTTTTTACCTAATAAAAAACTCTTTAATTTAAAATCAAAGTATAAAGATTGTGCAGACTAAATTAACCTTGTTATGGTTCAAAGGTTGGAAGTCTTTTTCACAAATTTCTTTTTTTGAGATAAAGTCTAAACATGAATACATTCTTATATGTGTAATGGCAAACAAACATTAAATTTTGTACTTTCAGAGACGATCAGCTTAAAACCGGTGACTATAGCAAGGGAAAATGTGCAAAAAGGGTCAAAGACCAGAAAGTCTATTATTTCGGAAAATTCTTTTCTAAAAGTTAGAGTGTAATTTTCCCATAAGCAAACACAGGAAGGCTCATGACTGGAAATTAAAACATTCGTTCTAGTTTGATGCCATTCAAGATTGGTAACTTTTTCCCCATAATAAAGTTCTTTTAAGCACTATTATGAAAACACTACTTAGAAGTCAAAAACTTTGTAACTTTAATATTAAATTACATTTCCATCTACAACTTCAGTTATGTTAATTATACCACTTGTGTCACCAGAAGCTAATATCAGCTGTGTTTCATCTACTTCCCTCCTTATGTTTGGCTTCCATTTAACCTTTTATCCGAACTAAAGTTTAACTAGAGCTATGAACAGTCAAATATTGTAGATTCATACAGAAGAAACAAAGGCTTTATGCCGTAAAATTTCTTGAACAATAAAAAGCGTCTTTTGGTCGAGGATAACGACGTGTTTTTGAGAACCAAAAGCTATTAAACCATTCCAATTCCAATCTCCGGAATTAATATTTTCCTTGCTAAGAGTTCCGTAAAAAGATCGTGGTGGTAAGGCCATAACTAAATTTATTTGCTAAACTATTATCGCCTGGCAGGAGAAATGCTACTCTTATATTTCATAAACTCCATAGAGTCCGTTTTCTATATAAGGTGAAAATAGGCCTAAACTCTTTAATGCAGGAAACTGTATATTTATATGTAAAAAAAAATTCTTCTCCCTCGTAGTAATAAAAAGAGTTCTATATAGTACGCTGGTGATTGTCAAAAAGTATATAGTTAAATAAATTATTTAAATCATTTTCGTCAGATGAACATCCGTAGAAACCAGTGGAAGGTTAAAAGAAGAGTTTGTCAGTTTTTAGAATGCAGTTGATTGGGCATATGTACAGAGCGTTAAGTAAAACCAGTTACAATTTATTATACAATCAAAAGAGTAAACGTGTGACGGTACTGAGTGAAGGGGTCTACATGCACGGCAAGTAGTTTTCTGATGTAGACCAATGCACTACCGATTTTTGTTAAAAAGAGAGAAAATATATATTTATTAAAATGGTAGCTAAAAAAGGAAAATAATGCTTACCTAGAATAGCGGTTTCGTGCTTAATTTATATTTTTGCAAATTTTGCAAGATTTGCCTTATTAAGTTAGGTCTTTCTGTCCCCATTAGGCTTAGCCAGTTTTTAATTATGTTGACTCAATAACTTAATAAATAATTGTTGGTTTCTTAGGGAGGACTTCCTTTTTTGGTTGTAAATTTAACAGATTATGACACAACTTTACCAACCGCTCTTCATGCAGGTAAGCCTTGCTTCGCGAGTCGGAAGAAATTTTGTTTGGCCGAATTAAGAGCTAGAGGTTTTACGGCAATGTGGTGACTATCTATCCGTTGTCTCTTTGCTGTCATATATGTGCTACATGTGTACAAAGGCGGTTCAGGAAATAATACCCCAGTCCACTAAAAATTCGATAGGATTCTGAGAAATTGATTTTTAAGGTAATACCTTACTCTTATCACTTTTTACAATTGCTATTACTAAAAAACACCTTTCGTAGGGTGTCTTATGAACAGGACCAGAAATATGTGAAGCTTTACGGGACGAGTTTGGCGCGTTATCTGATTATGAGTCGGAGGCTAATAATGAATCAGTAGGCGAGGGAGAATTTCGTCGTACGACATAACAAACAATAATTTTTCGGTTAAGGATAAGAGAAAGATGCATAATGGGGACTCACAGGCGGTGAAGAAGATTTTTTTGTTGACACAAATAATGTTAGATGGTCTAAAAAGTCAAATTTGAAAATGTAAGAACACGCTCAGAGAATGTTCTGAAATTTTTATCTTTATATTTCAAAGACCAGCTGCTAAATTATATTATTCAAGATACAAGTGTGAAACTAATGAGAATATCCCAATCATATGATACTGCACACACCAATATTTGGTGAAATCAACGAATGTATCAGAGTTAAAAGTAGTATTGAGCTTGTTTTATTTGGCTGGATCGTATATATAAAAGCAGGGTGATTTTCAATGTACCGATGGCAGTGGAGTAGAGATATTTAGAGCTACCTTGGCAAAACAAAGATTTTATATATTATTACAACCCATGCGTTTTCACAATATGCAAAATAGAGCTTAACTACGTGAAACTAACAAAATAGCGTCAATTAGAACCATTTATGATAGATTTATGAAAAATGTTAAAACTGTAGTACTCTTAATGGGTATATCTCGCAATAGGTGAAACATAGGAAGCATTTCAGAGTCGAGTTTCTTTTCTTCAGTATATTTGCAACAAACCGTCGAAAGCTGGTCTAAAAGTTTTGCTCTTGCGAGGCAAAAACATATTTTTTGCGTAAAAATGGAGTGGGAGTGAAACAGGAGGGGTTATATAGAGAAAGCAGTTCTCGTTATGATGTAGTAACGACTTCTTGTTGATTCCGTCCAGGGGACCAAAGGGAATATCACGTTTGACTACTAGTTTACCAGCTGTCCACTGATGATAATTATTAAATAATTACCATCTTACTTCTGTAGGCACGGTAAATACGACAAAAAACACATCCCTCGAAATTTATTGTCAACAAGAGATAGAGCACTGTATAGTTCTCTGTTTGCATATTAACCTAAATTGCGGTTGTTTCACAAACTCCTAAAAAAAAATTTAATGTAATTCTGTTTTCTAAATTACATCACTCCGACTAATATATTCCGGAATGTTTAGATAAGCAACTTCCATAAATAATAGAATTCTATAACATGAGTTAGGTAGGAGGAGATACGCTTGATGAATTATGTACCATTTATTGTGTCGCAAGGTATAGCCAAAGGTGGACAATGACAACTTTTTACTCTCCTGGACAGATGTCACTGCTAGAATAATATGCAAAACACATACTAAAGTTTATGGTTTGAAAAGGCATTCATTTTTGAAAAAAGTTAGGTATGTCGTTGACAGAGGGCTGACGAATAATAAGACAGGGTAACCCTTGAAATCGTCGCGATTTATGTTTCAGTACCGAAGATACCTGAACAACTTTAGGCTAAGAGAGAGAAAAATCTTTTATAACTGTAGGTGCTATATTCGCATATATCTAAACCATAAGCATTTGCTCTGTAAAAATATGTTGACTTTAAATAAACACAGGTTTTACATTTTTATAATATTTCATTGCGATTTTTGTACTTTTTCCAATTAATCTTTTTGTTTACATATAATATAGTTAGATTTTTTACAACAATACACAAAAATTTAGTTTGTACGATTTTTAAAAATAAATGGGTGTTCTTTCTATTGAAAAAATCTGACATTTAAAAAAAAGCCCACTTATAAATTATTTAAAGTGTTTTAGCTTTAAAGTAAAAGTCCCAATACAGGTAAAAATATATATATTCCTAAAGATTGAGAGAATTATTTGCTAAATAAATGGAATTTTTTTTTTTGGTAGGGGGGGTGGTATTCTAAACCGTTTCCCCACCAATTCTAGGCTTTATGGCGAAAATCCGGGGAGGTTCATGTTCGCTTTCTCTCAGTCCTTGAGGAAGGTCATCTATTTCTACGGAAAATGTGTGAGCGCCTAAAACAGGGCTATGCGTTCTAGCTCTAGTTAACGAGCATTCGCAGCAGTCATCAGAAATATCTAATAATTAGCTCTCTTTTTAGTTGTTTTTATTAAAATATTAGTAGAGGAACTTACGCCCTTGTACCTAGTGTAATAGGCGTGCACGTTCTTTAGGAGGCGTCCAAAAAATTTACTAAAAGATTTAAAGGGAAATTGTGCTATTATAAAAAGTTTGTTATTAATTTATTTATACTCGTGACTCATTGTCAAAAATATGTGCACTAGTATTTTTGATATGTTATATTTTGACACTATAAATTTTTCGCTAAAAATTAACTCGTATACATTTTTTTTATATTTCCGCTTTTCTTATGTATAAACTTTTGCCTCCGATCATCTTGACACTGACTTTTTTTTTGCAAATGAGACCTATAATTCGATTAGCTTTGCGAAGTGGAAAACAAAGTCATAGCAATAAGCCTTCTCTACTAAAGAAAGGACGATCCGCTGAAAGTTATAAGTTCCTATATTTTATTAACATTGCCCTTAAACCCTTAATGAATGAAATGCAAAGCTAAAGTGCTGGAGGTTAATAATTGAATAGTTCACTATATTCCATTTTTACATATTTCCTATTAGACTACTGAGTGGAATTAAACACTTAAGTTCTGGTTTTACTTCTGCATTACAGGGAGATTTTGACTAAAGTTTTTAATATTCAGCTCTGGTTCCAGGCTTAAATAAAGCATCAACAAAAAGTTACCTTATATTTGGACTACTGTTAATTATGTGTATGAAGGTCTGTAAACTAAAGTAATGTAGACAGTAAGCATTTATATTTTCAGTAAATATACTAAAAGTTAATTAATAAACTTGAAACAATGAATTAATTTTTCACTTAGTTTCAACTCTTTAGGTGAATACTCCTATCCACTCACTCGCTTAACACCAAAATCAGAAAACGGCTCTCTCCTTTTAAAAGGGCTTGTATTTTAAAAGAGTTTTATCTTAACTAAATTAAAAGCGCGCATGCCACTATTTGTCACCAATGCTGTTTAATTTGCCAAATCTTTTGATTACTGAGACCGACAGGTTCACTTCACCCCCATCCTACTTGGACGCGCGTCCTATAAGGAGGGCGTTGTGTTTAAACTTTAGCCCAAAGAAGCGAAACTCAACATTTCAAGAAGTCTATAATTGCAGAAGCTACCCTTTTAATGCAATTTTACAATTATTTTACATCTTAGGTTCAGTCAAAAATGGGGAATACAAATGAAAACAACTTTTATGAGAGCTTGCCCATATAGCAATTACTAATTTATTATAAAAAAATTTTTATACTACAAAATTTTTTCTCCCTGAATAAGCTGCAAAAAAGGGGTAATAAAATTAGGTTGCCACCTTTTTGACTATTTTGTCTTCTTTTAGTCTATATCACATATTAAATGTAAATTAAGTTAAAACTAAAAATAAAGGTTTTACGTTGTTTAATATGAAATCCTTGTCTGTACCATAGACTCACTACTACTTTTTTAGTGTTCAAGCCAGCATACTATTAGATATGTGGACGAAATAATACTTTCAATTGCCCTTTAGACAATTAAGGAAAGACGAAAAAGGCCCAATTTTTGTGAAAGAAAAAAGCTTATATAAATTTAGGATAGAAAAATACTTCTTTCTGTAGCACTGATAAAACGCCTACTGTTGTGCTGCTTTTAAAGACGCCACACCTACATCAATTCTGGTTTTTTTCGAGGTTTTCATGCTGAATCGACAGGAATTTTAGTTTAGTGTAGAGTCTGCCGCCCCAGGCTGCAACAGCTCTAGTGTCTTGTTTAAAAAGAGCTCGTGATCTCAACTATAAAATACACCGGAGCAATTTTTCTGCGTATGGAGAAGACCTCTAGTCGCGTCTAACATCAAGATCCCTTGTACAAATTGCTATAACGTTTTCGTGTTCTTATCGCACTTCACCCTCACCCTCACCCCAACTCCCTCTGATCGAAGGGGTAATGTAAGGCCTTTCTTATTGCTGTTCGGGCATGTACACGCCCCTATACTGCTGTCAACTGGCACACGCTCATAGTCTAGGAGTTCTAAATTTATTGTTCAGCGTAATACTACTTGAAAATCCTCGCCAGCTGATGTAGACAGAGGGGCATAGAATTTTTCATGATAATGCACAAGACTCCTATCAGTTTAAAATGCACTTTCTCCTTTTTTTTAAAAGGATAAAGAAATCAGACAACCTCTAGGTTAATTTTTTTTGGAATTTTATTAATAACATATTGACATGGCAACAACAATACGTTGTATGTCATAGGAAAGGTAAAGGCTGCAACGCAAAACTTTTTCCGCTACTGTATCTAAAGGGCAAGACGTTCCTTGCCCGAAAAGTTGCAATTATACACGATGGGCGTACAGTCGATCGTGGCCTACGCTTCTCCTGCGTGAGCATTTGACGCATCGGTTATTGTGACAGCACTGCAAGTACAAGAAAGCAAGATTTTGAAGTTGACGCGCTTAAGTCCTCGGTTCGGTGAGACTGTTTCATAAACTTCTTTTTAACCTTCTTTTTAACCATTTTAATTGACAGGTATTTTTATATTTTTATAAAATTAGGTGTTCCACGTTTTTTTTACTCAACGATACCTTTTACGACAACCTTATAACTCGAAGATTTTTCTTCGAAGAGCAAGCGTTGTCTATCTAAATCGCTGCTGAGCACAAGGATTCACCTACGAAGCCCCAGAAAGGCTTGCGTTACCCCGCCCCCGTGATGTCTCATAAGGACTTTCTTATATTCTAGGAGACATGCTATACACAAGAGATATATAAGATGTAACAACATGGTAAACACGGTAAAGAAGAAGTATACTGGCGAAAAGCACTTCATCCCTTCAGATCTGAGGTCAGACCAAAAAATTGATTAGTACTGCGGTGGGTAACCAGAAGGCTAAGCACGTACTACACTCCCCCTCTAGAAACCAAAACATACATGATACTCCACCGGATGTACAGGCGCCTATTTGCGCCCAAATCAGACAAGCGGTCTGCGCTCGACTTATCAAGCATCCGCAGAAATCATTAAGAAAAAAAATAGATGGTAAACATAAAAATTATAGGAAGTGAAATAAAAATTAAACGGCAATTTTTTTTTTTGAATAAAAAATAAAGTAGTTTATGCTAATTGGTAAGTAAGCTGCAACTGCTTTACCTTGGACAACCGTTAAAGGTCAACATTTCTTTCATGAAGTCTACTTTTGACCCTCTACTGCAGAGGGAATAAGGATTAAGCAGCAAAAAGAATGTAATTTTTTGACTGTAACAGCCAACTTCATTAATAATACATAAAAACGTGTTCAACCAGAGCATGCAGTGTCCGCACGAAATTGACGAGCTTTTACAAGTCATATATTAAGAAAGTGTAAATAGTGAGCATATAAAGTAATTGCAACTAGGCACTCATTCAAAACGTTGGTCTCTGTGGTGTAGAGTGGGGAATAAAGCCATTAGGTTTGTAAATGTTTTACCTCCTACAGTCTAAACCAAAGAATGCTTCTTTAAGGTGACCTTGCAGTCGTAATATTAGGAAATCCCAAGTCATTCAACGTAGTAGTGCTCTTCCTATGTAAAGTAGTGGAGCCATCTCTAAAAAAATCAACCCAAAACACGGCATAACGCTGAATTAAAAGATTGCTTTCAAAAACAACAATGCTCATTGTTCGCTGTCTTCCGTAAAGACCCAACTTTTTTTTAATACTAACCGTGGTTTCTCTATTAAAAAAAACAAGAAAGTTGAGGAAACCAGCTGATAAGGCTCGCTAATAGCAATTTAGTATGTATTTTTTATTAAAAAATTCTAAACTATTTTTTAAAAAATTATAAGTTGGTGTCTTTCTATGATGCTCTCTAAATTCTTAAAAAACTTAAACAGTTTTACTAAAACGTGTTGCGCGAAGGAAAATAATTCCTCGCCTAACATTAACTTGCAACTAATAGAAGATATGCTTCGCAAAAAGTAGACTTGCTCTTTGTTAGAGCCCTCACCATCTCAAAAGTGAACATCCGCTTATCGATTACCTAATTTATTTAGCTATAGCGCTTATTAAAATAAAAATCAGGTTACATTATATGATTATAATCCTATATTATTCCAGATGAACCAACGTTAAAAACCAGTTCTTTATAAAAAAAATAAACATTTATAACTTCCAAAATAAACTTTTTTATTACATTTACATTTATAATAAAAAAGATCTTTAGTTAATAAGACCTAGTCATTTTAAGCTTCTGCCAAAACTAAATATGACGTCGGTTAACGCCAATAGGCTAGTTAAGAACTTTTTTCAACTGGAATAAATTTTACTTCACGTAGCAATTTAAAAGTAAAAGTATCGGGTGTCTTAATACACTTCGCTTTTTTGGCTCTTAGCTCCTTAGACCAAGGAACTAACTTTGGTTTAGAAGGGGCCAAAATTTCTTCTTCCTAAGTGCATACCGTTATAATATGGAAGGCAAAGAATGTTTTAAAGAAATTAATAACTCGTGAAAAATAAGGATTTCTTAACAAAACTTCGTTATCAAAAGCTCTTTCTTCTTTTCTCTTTTTGTTCCTTAATCGACATCTGGTCATAGGTCTTACTTTTTTGTACTTCCTAAAGATATAATAAATTCAATAACAAATAAAAGAGTTTTCAAAACATTTTACCCGATCCATTGGTAACCGCTAAAGTTAATTCTCGATATATGCATATCAAGCAAAACCTTAGAAAATGCAAACGAGCGACGCGTGGCCTAGAAACTTCACGTCAAGCCCAAATCACAAGAGGTACATACATATATGAACAGAGAGGAGGGATATTAAGTTGCCACCCGCTTAAACTTTACTGTGTTACAAGTGACTGCTTTAAAGACAACTTAATACTTCGAGGTCACTTTGCTAGTATAGAATTAAAAAAATAAACAGTCTATATTCGCAAACTTTCTTTTTAAAGCAACATTAAATTAATAAACAGTTTTTTATGATCGTAGCGAGGCTAACGTCTAAGTCGCAAAATTTTTATGTCACTTATTATCAGGTATTAAAAATTTTATTTATTTTTTATAGGGAATATTATTATAAGCTATGATCTACGCCGACAATTTTATAAGTCTAGTTAACTCTATGCCTTAATTTTTGGTAACAAAATCAATATTAATACTGAGTGATGGTAGGGCTAATTATTCCGCTGTATTTGGTTATTGCCGTTTATGTTAGATCGCTTATAGTATGTCTGTCGCCATGAAAGATTTACTCAAGGGCTTATGATGTCGTCGCCCCGTTAAGGTTTGAAGTTTTATAATAACCAGGAGCCTATTTATTTGATAGACTAAATAATGGATGTTGTGTTATTAACAAACATAACTGTAGACGCTAGAAAAAATAATATCTTGCTTGCCATTCACTTACTTTTGCATTAGCTTTTTTTTAAAGCAGCACTAGATTTCTACAGCCATATAGGTTCTGTTATCATTATTAATATAACTTAAAATTATAAAACAACTATAGTAAAGCCGGCAATTATTAAATTATGTCTTCCGCAATTAAAGTAATTAAAACTACCCCCTATGCCGATCAAAAACCCGGAACTTCGGGTAAATCTTATTCAAATAAGAGTTTTAAAGCACATATATACATATATATAATAAGGTCTTAGGAAAAAAGTTAAGATTTTTAAACAAAAATATTACGTTGAAAACTTTGTTCAATCCTGCTTTAACGCCATTTCCTCAGAAATTAAGCAAGGTGAAATTTTAAAATCTATTTATTGTTTTTTATTTGCTGAGTATTACGCTGCTTTTATCTAGGAGGTACTTTTGTTGTTGGTGGTGATGGCCGTTTTCTTATGATGGAGGTTTTGCATAAAATTATTTCCGTGGGAGCTGCCGCTAATGTATTAAAGGCCGGTTTTTAAAATTCTCGCCAAAATCTGAATTTAATTTATTTAGGTTAAAAAATTTATTATCGGTGTGAACGGATTACTTTCCACTCCTTGTGTTTCTGGCTTGATTCGCAAGTTTAAAGCGGATGGCGGATTTGTGTTAACCGCCAGTCACAATCCCGGAGGCGAATCAAAAGATTTTGGCATCAAGTACAATTGTTCTAACGGAGGTATTCTTTTTCTTAAAAGCTATTCAACAAGCCTCTGAGGCTAAGCAGCGCCTCTCGCAATCTATAAGGGCCTGCTCTAGAGTGCTTGACTGATAAAATCTACCAATTTTCTAAATCCATAACCGAGTAATACTCGATAGTTTCTAACTTTTATTGAATTCAAATTTAACGTTAAGCAGATTCAAATGGGTTGAACTCCCTACACTTGACCTTCACAAGCCAACAACCTTTTCACTTTTTGCCGATTGTCTAGTGCAAGTAGTTGATGGCGTCTCCCTTTATAGTGAATTAATGAAAGAAATTTTTAACTTTACAAGCATTTCCAAACTTCTTCAAGAAAAAAATTTTAAGATCAAAATTGATTGTATGAACGGAGGTATTTTTAATTCTGATAACTTTAATTAAATTTTCTTATAAAATAATTAGTCACCGGCCCTTTTGCTAAAAATATTTTTATAAACGAGCTGGAGGCCCCTGAGGATTCGGTTATAAATTTCACTCCTCTTCCAGATTTTGGAGGTGTTGAAGCCACTTACTTTATTTAATCTATATATAATATATATTTTAATTATTCTTCAATATATTTTTAAATTTAAAGATTAATTTATTAATCAAATAATATATTTCTTCTTTTCTATATAAACGAGGCCTCCATCCCGATCCCAATCTTACTTACGCTAAAAATTTAGTGGATTTGATGGCTCATGGCAAACATGACTTTGGCGCCGCATTTGATGGAGACGGCGTACTAAATTTATCGTTATAGATTTTTTTTGACTTTGATTTAAATCTGAATGTTTACTGCTAAACTTTATTTCCTGTAATAGAATAGATTATAGAAGATCCAGAAACTTTTCTGTCCTACTTTACTTTAATATAAAATTCTTAAAACGCTAATGTAACAGTTTTTAACCGACTTTACTGGTTATCTTTATATGGATGCTCCGCGTTTATGAAATTTAGACCGCATATATAACAGAATATCTATATCAAGTCCAACTTTAAGATGTCTTTTATTAGATTTCTTCTTTTTCACGTTAAAATCACTTGAGGCTAGTTAGTTTAACCAATTAATTTAGGTAATAAAGATAGTTTGGTATTTCGTTTTCGATAAAGTAGTATAAGGAATTCACTAACAAAAAAAATTCCGCACTTCCAAAAGTTCCAAATATTATTATATTTTTACTTTAAAGTTAGAGTAGAAGTTAGTAGCTTCGGCGTTACTAATAACTAGCAAAACCGTTCTGATCCACCGCATTGAAGAGCTATTCTTAGAAAGGATTATTTCATATATAAATATATTCTATGCGCGCTCTAATTTTTTTATAAAAAACATAAAAGTCGTAATTTACTATAGAAATTTAGTAAGCTAAGTGTTTACAGAAATGTACTTATAGTATTTTTTTATCTTTGCAATAAAGGATCGGAACATGATTCTTGGACGCGATGTCTTTGTAAATCCTTCCGACTCGGTGGCCATTATAGCCGCAAACTACGCTTGTATCCCGCACTTCCGCGCCGGCTTGAAAGGTGTTGCTAGAAGCATGCCCACCAGCGGGGCGTTGGACAGGTGGATGCATCAAGAAGGTCGCCATCATCAGTATAACCTTTAACAAAACATTTTCAGCGTGGCGAGAAAGTTCGGGATTAATCTCTTCGAAACGCCCACCGGCTGGAAATATTTCGTCAACCTGATGGAGGCGGGCCGCCTCTCAATATGCGGAGAAGAATCTTTCGGGCAGGGATCAGACCACGTGCGCGAGAAAGACGGAATCTGGGCAGTTTTGGGCAAGGACTTTTTGTGTAAAGCTTGTAGTTGCTGTGCGGGTTATACATCACACCCTATTCAGCGTGGTTATCTATTATTGCCTCTACAAAGAAAGCAGTAAAAACTATTATTGAGGATCACTGGCGGGAGTACGGAAGAAACTTCTTTACTCGATATGATTATGAGGAAGTATCGGAGAAAGCCGCCAACGATCTCATGCAGCACTTAAGAAAGAAGATTGGCATGTTTGTTGTGGCAAATACTAATTGGAAACAATTATTACTTCTATGAGCATTCTAATTTAGACTCCAAGTCGCTTTGCGGCCAAATGGTAGCGGACGGCGAGATGGTTGTGAAGGGCGATGACTTCTGTTACGTGGACCCCGTGGACGGTACAGTTGCAAATAACCAGGCGAGTCACGACAGCTACTTTCCAAACAGGATCATTATAACAATAAATAAACTTCCGCAGGGAATCCGGATCCTTTTCGAAAGCGGCTCGCGCATAATATACAGGCTTTCGGGGACAGGAAGCACAGGCGCCACCATCAGAATATACGTTGACAAGAGGGACACGGAGACCTCAAACATTTTTAAGAGCTCTCATGTTATTATTATTATTATTGTTATTATTATTACAGTTATTAAAACTAACAACATGTTGTTAGGAAGCATTAAAAGAACTTATGGATTTTGCTCTTCGAATATCCCGTCTCGAAATCTTTACAGGAAGAACGCAACCAACTGTGATAACGTAGTGCGCAACAAACCGCGCGTTTTTCTTAAAAAACTTTTAAGATTATAACGCTGCAAAAGAAACTGCTTTATTATTTTGATACTCCAAAGTTAGCAGCGCCACGAGGGCTTTTACCGAGTAAAGATGTCCTAATCATGTAGTTTGAGTAGAATCCGCATGTATAGTAAGCTGAGTGCAAGATGAGGTGTCTTCACCTGGCCTTGTCGAGCCGGAAGCGGGGACCACGCTCTCTAACTTTCTCACGCGGCCTCTCCCGCTCGTGGCCATGTGTTTTCTCCCTTTCCCTGCTCCGCACGTCCTTTTCGTGTCCTTTCGATTTTTCTCGTTCTCTTTCGTGAGCGCGGTGGTGGCTTCTGCTCTCTTTGTCTTTAGAGGAATGTTTCTCGCGCCCTCTCTCCTTGGCACGGCTCTTTTCCTTCTCTCTCTCCCGCGAGCGGGTCCTGTAGGGGCCGCCTTTGGAGCTATTGCCCGTGCCGACCAACTCCGTGTACGCTGGCGCGTGCGATGCAGGGTGGTAACGAGAGGAGCCGCGGTTAGGAACATGAGCCAGGTGGGAAGGCGATTCGCGAACAGGTGATCGGTAGGGTACCCTTGGCGTCGAAGATACTCCCCGTACGGAAACACGGTGGGCGGATAGTGGCGAGTCGTGCTGTTCGCTGTATCTCTCTCGCCTGTGATATGCCTCGTACGTCGGTAGTCCAAGGGGGGTTCTGGCAGGGGGATAATTAAGTTCATCTGGCTCGTATTCGTGGCCGTGCTCGTCGTAAAAAGGGCTCCTCATCCTGCCGTCGAGAGGCGGATAGCTGTCCTGAGTTACTGGGCCGTCCAGGCATGGCAGTTGCTCGGGAGGGCTCCTTATTAAAAAAGTTTAGAGTTCCACAGCGGGAAGCGTAGGCTCATCAAAGCCGCCGTACCAGTACTCCTCGTGTGCATCCACGCCGTCATACTGCTGGGGAATTCCTGGCAAATACAGATTATACATATAAAAAAGCTGTTGGCTCATGTGCTACATACCTCCTCCTCTGCCTTATGAACATACAAAAAAATATTAAAGCGAAGAAAAAAAAAATAAAAAAACGAACCCGCAGCGCGCCTAACACGCGGTCGCGACCATTCGCCTCCGTAACAGATCTGCCCATAGTAGGAAATATAAGAGATGCACACCGCATTTTTAAGGCGGGGGCTGGACGTACGTCAGGCTCCGGAGGAAGGTAAGGAGGTTGCTGCGCGGAAGAGGTCAACCCGCGACTCCTGCCCCGTGTGTTTCTCGAGCGAGCGGTCATCCGGGGAAAAATTGGAGGTTCCGGATAATCTACTAGCATTGCGCACGTGCTAGTCAGGGCCACTAAAATCACGTAGAAAAGCAAAACGCAATTACATCGCTTTATGTAAAGATCGGCGCCCTTTGCGTACATCTTCGGCACTTCTGCAACGGGGACGGGATAGATGACAACCTCGCCGTCCGGCTCACTGCGGAGGCAGAGAAAAAAATGGACCGCCGCGGGAAAGGAGACCGCCTTTATCAACCTTATAGGCAACTTTGCGTCCGTAAGCACTGCCAGCGCCTTTTTTCCATCGCTTTCTTCAGAAAACTCAATGATACAAGTACTGAATAGTAAAGAAGAGAAAAGCCATAAGCGAGCTTGAACAATAGTAAAGCTAAAATAATGTTACTAGAAAAGTTAAGCAAATTAATTTAATTACAAAAATATTTATAAAAAAGATGAAGACATAAAATATTAATGTAACAGCGGAGTTCTTTTCTGTTTGTTTTGCTTTAATATTGTTGATCAGTTCTTATAGTCATAGCGGTAATAATAAATAGTTGAAAAAAGTTATTTATAGAAAAAAATTGCAAAAAAAGTTTGAATCTGCATTACTAATCAGATTCTTAAAAAAGTAATATTTACTGTTCAGTTACACGTTGCGTTAAAAATAAATCTAAAATATCTGAAACAGAAATGTTTCAAAAGTTAAAAGCAATTAACTCAAATACCAAAACTTTTAAAGGTTTTTTTCATTATTTTTCTTTAAATGACATTTTTTTTACTTGTTAAAATAGAAAAACAAATTTTACTTTTAAAAAGTTTAGCACAAATTTAATTCTTTCAAAAATAATTAAATTCTATAAAAAATTACTTAAAAATGTTTTACTTAAAGGAAAAAGTAAGATATTAATTTGACTATCAATAAAAGAAAGCTCCTATCATTAAATTTAGTTTCCATTTCTCCATTACATAAGCTCGTCATATCACAAAAACGAAGAGCTTAAACAGTCAACACAGAAACCGAATCTCTCAAAAGCATATAAATTTATAATAAATTATTAAAAAAGTTCTACTTACTAAACAAATTAATGCAACCAATTTTAAAAATGAAAATAAATCTTTTTAAAATAATTAATGAACTAACAAACTAAATCCGTAATGATATAAACAAGCAAACCCGCTAGAGGAGCCGTTACTGCGATACTCAATGAAACGAATGCACACAATATTATTGATTCCAGCGGCGTGAAGTTTTTCTTCTACAAAAGCGTCGCTCACCCACTAAAAAAATTATCTTAAAAAAAAAGTAAAACAAAAAATGTAAAGTAAATTGTTTTAAAAAACTTTATAAAAAATTCATTTATAAAAAAATTTTCAAAATAAGGAAATAGGAAAGTATAAAGTAAAATACTTCAAGAAATTTAACAAGAATATAATAGAAAAAAATTATAAATTCGGAAAGAGTTGAAAATAAAATAAATTTAAAGATAAAAAAAAATTCTTAAAAAAAAAGAAGACAAAAAAGAAAAGTAATTTAAAAAAAATTTTAAAAAAAAAATTACGTTGAATAAAAGGTAAAAAGTAAAAATAGGAAACAAAGAATCAAATTACTGTTGCAAAAAGAAATTTAATAAAAATAAAAAAAAAATTACGTTGAATAAAACTTTAACGGAAATGTATAAATAAAATTTTAAAAATTAATTTAAATAAAATTAACTTAAAAAAAAATTAATAACAAATTAATTAAATTAATATCAACTTCTATAAAAATATAAAAAAAAATTTCAACCTAAAATAATTTTAAGTATTAAATAAAGTAAATGATAACTTAAGAAAATTTAAAAAAACAATTTCAAGTTAAACTCTAATTCTTTTAATAAATAAGTTATAAATTTCCTATAATTCTACTATAAATTTATAAAAAAATTAAATCCAAGATTAAATGAATTAAATAAGGAAACAAAATAAAATTATTTTTAGTTAAAGGCATTTATAATCATTAAGCTTATATACATTAATATATAGTCTTTATATTAATAATAGTAATTTAAAATATTTAAAAAAAAGTAAATTTATTAAATTTCAGCAAAACATAAAATTATTGACATAAAAATGTCAGTATCAAAATTTATTTAATAATAAAGTAAAGTGTAAAAAGATTATGTATGAAAGAAATTCAAAATTTCTCGTGATTTTATAAAAATAAATAGCTTAAAACGTTATTGAGGTTATATATTTTAAAAATTTAAGAGTTAATAAAATTTAATTAAAATTAAAAAAGAAAAAAGTCTGCTGAAAAGTATATGTAGAGTTAATTAAAATTTTAATAAAAGTAAAAACGTAAATATTTATATAAAATTTAAAAATCGAAAGTTTTAAATTAATTTATTTTTATATAAATATAAAGAAAATTTTCCGAAACTAAATTCGAGTAAATTATAAAATCATTGTTATATAAAATAATCCATAAAAGATTATATAAAACTGAAAATTGTAAATAACAAATGAAAAATGGCTGTATTTAAATAACTACCCACAAAAGTGGTTCCACTTTGAGAGCAAAAACTGAATTTTTGTTGCGATGGACATCTAAAAGATTTAAAATTGGCGAAGCCCGTCGTGGCGGCGGAGTTTTTCTAAAAAGTAAATTCGAAAAAAGTAAGATTGTGAAAAATAGTTTACAAGTATAGACTCATTATTCAATCATTATTTTCTATTATTAATTCTATAGTAGAAGAAATTTTATTACGTTTATAAAAGATTTCAAACTTTTAATAAACTATAAAAAGTTATTAAACAAAATATTTTTGATAATATTAAAGTTTTTAGTAAGAAAAATATATAATAAGTTATTCACTAAATCTTTCTATTTATATTTTTAAATCTTTTTTATATCTATCAAATTTACGTGAATAAACTGAAGTTGTTAAAAAAAAATTTTACATAACAATTTTTAAGCAAAGTTAAGATAAATAAATTTAATTAATAGCTCAAAAAAGCATAAGAAATAAAGTTTGAAATGAAAAAATAGTCATGAATTTTAAGTTTAATTTTATCCTCATATAAATATTTAAAAACAACAAACAAAAATCCACTGAAAAAAAAGTTAAAACCTATAAGATTTGCCCTCGAAGTTTTCTTAATTTAAAGGAAAAAAATAAAGTTAGATTAATTATAATTATTTTAAAATAATTATTGCAAAGAAGAACTCGGACGAAAAAATTACTCGGTATAGCAGACCCAGTCGAAAAAGTATTAATATCCTTTAATAAAATATTATTTTGGAATTAACAATTCTGCGTAGTATGTACTAGTAAAACACCTCCTTCCCGATTTGAGGAGAATTGGAATTTATAAGCTGAACGCTCTGCTTGTATATAGATGCCGCAACAGAATCTTCAAAGTCATATATATCAACTTGGCTTGGGTTCTCAAGAGAATTCGGGGATCCTAAATAATAAAGCCAATAACGACTAATAGGAAAAATAATAAAAATTAAAACCTTCAAAGTTAACGTTCAGTTTAGAAGGACTAGCCTCTTCGAAATCGAGCTGGGCATAATAATAAACTGACTTATTTTACATTATACTAGAAGGTAAAAAAAGGTGTTTACGTCGTATATGTCTATGTCCGACGCATTCATTAAAGAAATTAAACTTGAAGAAAGTTTAAATTAAACGTCGGTGGCTCTGAGCAATATTTATATTATTCTTTAACAATAAACTAAGATTAAAAAAAAGCTATATAACTTTTAAAAAAAATTGAAGATAACTAAAATAACTTTAAATAAAGTAGATATTGTCCCTTCTCACAATATATTACAATATTAAGGTGCTAAAAGGAGTACTAGCAAAGTAAATGCACAAGCTGACAAATGTTAAACGCCCTGTACTCCCGTGGGAACTCCCATCGCTTGTGGGCCCGCATCTGTTTTTTTCTAGTGATGCTAGGCATGAATAGCTACAGTTATTCAAAATAAGTCATTAGTTTTATTATTGTTACCGCGTTCTTCTGAGGGAAAATCTCTTGTTTTGCACACCACAGTGACTTTTTTAAAATTTAGTTTTAACGGAAGTCAGAGGAAAGAATTTAAAGAAAAAAGGGTTTTCAACGGTATTAAACCGAGTTTTAAGAGATAATAGTTTTTTAATAAAACGTTACTTCGCATTTTCCTGTAAATGCTTTACGCTTTTAACTTTAGTCTGCTTTTTATAATATCTCTGTCGGAAAAAAGATTATTCACATTTTTCAGAGCTCACTTTATATGGTCATAAAAACTTTCATATTTATCTTATATTGAGAACAGTTTCCTGTAGAGATTCTCTTTATTTCTATCTGGTCTCTATTTTAAACGGGCCCATTATTGTTTGCGAAGTGGTTAAGTTTATACTTAAATTAGGAAGACACGTTCTTCTTTATCTTAAATATTTTAAGAATTTTTTTATTGCTTGTTTTACTTAAGTTAACTTCTCGGGATTTATAGGTAATAATGGTGTAAGTAAAAAAGAATTTGTTCAAGGTAGGCAATTCCCTTGACGTAACTTTATCTTCTCGTCAGTCCGAAATAAGAATGCGCCAGTAGCAGAGTTCTTTAACGGCATTTATTTTTATAGAGCTTCTTTGTTATTATAATATTCATGTTTTTTACCATTTATATTTATAAAAATAAAGTAACTGCTTACTTAACTATCATGGTGTACTGCAAAAACATTTTTACTACTTGTTTTATAAACAGTATTGTTTTCTTTAAACGATGTGATATTGCAGAATAAATTCAAAAGTACTTTATTACATTTTACAGGCCTTACAATTACGTTACTCTCATAAAGCAAAAAAATTGCTGGCCTCCTGTATTGCTTTATCAATCTATAACATTTTATAATATTTTTCTAATTAGAACTGGTCTTCCTTAATTTAACCAGGAATAATATTATATATTTCTTTCGAAGCATGATTACAACCTATTTTTTAAACTTTCTTACTCCTTTATTAAATGAACTACGAAAGGGTTTCTAAGTTTTAAAAATTAAAAAATTCCAGATAAACAGTTATATTTAAATATATTTTAATTAAACCGAAAAATTTTTAAAATATGTGTATAAACCACGTACTACAATATCACCACTAAGTTGGGCTTAGAAGAAGTAGATATTGATAAAAAAAATAGTAAAATATTTTTAAAGCAGAAATTTTTTGTATGCAAAAGATAGGTCAGTTAACTGATATTTTAAATTACCTAAAGTAGCTTTGGTTAATGCATGCCCATTATTCTCTGCAAACTTAGGGATATAATGAATATTATAGTTAGTTTTTATTTACAGATAATACCTTAGTATGGATAAAAATTTTACAGTAATAAGTTATATAGAGTTAAACTTTTGTTGTAAGAGCTAAGCTTAACGAAAAAAATAAATGTTTATAATTGCTATAACGCTGGCCGGAGCAATCTCTTTTAAAAGGATTAATATTTACCTTGGATGGGTTAAAAAATTAATATATCAGACAAAAAATCAAATTATAAAAGCTCAAACTAATCTTTTTAAACTAAATTTCGACTTCTTTATTGCTTAAGAAAAACCTATTATTGAAAAAGATAGTTAACTATTTAAGCTAACAATTAAGTAACTAAAAAATTTAACTCCAAGATCAACCCCAAAGGGAGTTTTTTATGTTTATGTTATTTTACTTTCCGCTTAAGCTCAAATAATAATTATAAATACTTAAGAAGATACTAAACAACTAAGTGGTTATTTTACTTTCCACTTAAGTCAAATAATAATTATAAACACCCAAGAAGGTACTAATCAACTAAGTAAACACATGAGAAAGAGCAATCAAAGAGAAGTTTAACAATTTTGATCGCTCAGTTAGTGGCTAGTCAGCGCATTACCCACACGTGGTGGTTACCTATTAAAAAAGTACGTCTGCTTTTTTCAAGTGTTTTTCTGCATTTGGCTCTCCCCCTCGGCTTTCTTGGTGGTTCGTGACCCTATTATGTACTAATTTTTTTTTGTTCTAAGTTTGGTTATTTATTTAATTATTTTTAAAATATTTATTTATTGAGCTTTATTTGTTTTTTGGAGAAGCTTCTGTTCGCTATACCATGGGGAAATATTTCACCTGCGTCATATCAGGAGACGAAATTATATCGGATTCTTATAAAAATTTTAGAGAAATTGATGATTTTTTTTATGAATGTGAAGGTGAATATATAAACGTTAACGAGTCGATACCAGATTCTGTTTTTGGGGGTAATCCTTCTGTTGAAGATGCTATCGACACAACTTCAGGAATTCCTGTTGAAAGGAAAATTAATGTTATTTTTAATTATGATCTTCAAGCTGTACATATGGATCAGAAAACATTGGTAGGGTGTATAAAAAATTATGTTAAAGCTGTTGCCACATATTTGGAAGAGACAAATCCTGAGCGCGTTCCTATTTTTAAAAAATTAGCCAACGAATTAATAAAAAAACGCATTTTCTCAAACTTTAACAATCTTGAAATTTTATCGGGTCCCTCTTATACTCTTGACGGAACTCTTTTATTTCAAGATTATCGTGAAGATGGTGTGACGCCTTATTTTTTTGTTATGAAAGATGGACTTAAGGAGCACAAAGTTTGAAATAAAAAAGGATTTTTTTCGTGTGTTGACCATGTTTTTACCGATATATATATTAATTTTTTGCTTTGATCGCTTGTTTTTTAAAAAAGTCTACTTTATTTATAAATAGTAACCAGCTATAGGCATAATTTTATTTTCTTATTGGGTATACAATATTGACAGAACAATTTGGAATTTATAGTTATTAGTAAGAAAAGGCCATACGTAAGCGTGAAAAACCATGTTTAATAATTTAAAAAACTAATAGTAACCAATATATTTTATTATAATTTTGGTAAAACATAGTGCTAACTGTTATAAAATCTTTTTACAAATACAAGAAGGCTCTATTTGTCCTCTGGCGTTGTCTTGCAGTCAATAATGGCTTCTTCCTCCATTGCTTTTAAGACAGTAACAGTCAAGTTGTCCCCCTTATTAAAGCGCTCTATCACTCTCTGACGTAATTCGTCGTTAGTGATTCTCAAATCCTCCTTGACGGCGCCCGTCTTATTGTCACAAAGAGAAGTATAGCCATCCTCCTCCACATTTAAGAGCTTTAAAAAAAAAAATCAAAAAGATAAAAAGCGTGTTAAAATTTTTTTTTTGCCTGATACTCGCTACGCTTGATTATAGGTACATCAACCATTACACCAGATTGACACATATCCTCTACTTTACTTCCTGTAAAGATGTCCACAGCCGTAAACGTGTACTTAGCGGAGCCATGTTTCCCTGGTTTCCCATAGTATACACAAACTCGTTACATAAAACTTAGTAATAATTTATATATATAAGCACCAGGTTTAGACTTTGAAACATCTACAATCTTGCAAGGGCGGCCCTTTACGAGAATATGTCCATTCTTGACTAAAGAAGTCGAAGCAGGCGCAGTGGTAAACGACATAAGGAAATGCTCCCGTGAACAAAAAAAATGGTGCCGCCCTTTTAGGTTAAAACGAGCATATAAGTGCGCAAGATAGGTATACTCGGCACGTTGTTCACTTTACCCTTTGCACTAAGCAAGGGGGTTATGCCTTAATTTGTGCTGAAAAACTATTAGTAACGGGTGGACTAGTTATAAAACTTCACATTTGGCATCCATTGCGTTAAAAAATTCGTTATGACTTTCTATAAATGTAGTTGGCTATGGAATACTTGAGAAAAAAAAGCCAAAATATCTATTTGTGTCTGCACTTTGGTAAAATGGCGTGGAAAAAAGCATCTCTAAGTAATCATGGTACAAATTTTATGAGCAAAAAAAGAGATCGTGGAAAGTCATTCACTTACGAATAATTTCCTGTCGAAAATGTATCATATCAATTTTATGCACTATACTGTAACTTTTTGAGAGCGGAGCGAGCGTGTATATAAAAAAAAGGACTTGATCTTTAAGATGTCAAAATCACCAGACAGTAACTCTTGAAAGTCAAAAAAATGTTTGAAGCAGTTTTCTCTTCGCTTAGTCGCTAGAAAATTTAGTGGAAGCTTTTCTGATTTTTGTAATATTTTTATGAATAAAACAAACTTGAGATATCGGAGAAAGCAATCTTACTAAAGCCTTCAGCAAATCAAATTAAACTTGCAATTTGAAAGTACGGTTGTCTTTTGCAGAATTTTTTTTCGTTCACTATTTTCTTTTGGACGAAGAGTAAGATTTACTCTTTCATATACTAATATTAAGGAAGATGTTCATTTTTACAGATAATATTTCTGAAGCATCTCCTAGTGTTAAGTTTACCGCTAGAACAAATTTTAAGGCAAAATGATGGTATGAGTCGTTCATTAACTCGTAAACTAGATTTGCATATAATTTTAAAGTGTACATAATTGACTGTATTAAACAAATATTAATCCGTATATTCGTTGCTAGTTACCAGAATGATCAACATGCCCTGTTTCGATCTAGCCAGCTCGTTATGCTAAGATCGTGGTTGGTCATTTGCGATAAGGGGACACCGACTTTGTCGAAAAAGAGGACAATCCAGCTCATTGCCCTGAAGCAAGCCCAATCAAGGATTTTTGGCACTGTAAAAGGAAGGGCTTAGCTAGAAAGTAAAGAGCTACAAATACAACGCAGTTGATAGCACGGATCATATAATGCTTGAGCAAAATAAATTTTGGTGTGGTTCGAAAGTTTTTTAAGTCTACATAAAAAAGAATCGAATTTTTAAGAAGAAAAGGTGTAATTGTAGTTTGATTAATTTTTTTTTAGTTAATAACTACACCAACTGTCAAAATAACTTAAAAAAGTTCCTCTGTTCTTATCATTTATTTTAATAGAATGTTAAACTGTAGTCAAGATTTTTAAAAACACCGGTTATACGGCTGCAATGTGGTTGTTTAGTTTCAACTTATTGCAAATAAATTGGAGCAAAGCAAAGATTCCTTATGTAGCTACACAATTTTCTTAAACCGTAATTGCATTTATTACTACAGTAACATCACTGTATATATTCGTGATTTAACTTTTTAAGTAATATTAACAAAAATAAATCGTTTATCAACAATGAACCACTTGCTCTTAAATAAAAAAATTGAAAAGCACTTGAACGGTCAATAAACTAATAATACATATAAAAATATTAGTATCATTTTATTAATTTATATTAAAAACTGATAAGAGTATAGCTTCCAATTTTTTTTTCAAAAATAAAGGTACTCTAGGATATTATTGCTTTATTAGCCAGCTTCTTGGCACACATGGTATAGTTTTCTAGTTTTCATTGACTAACTTTTTTAATGCCACGATAAAAAAATTAAATATCGGTTTTATTATTTTAATAGTTTTGATTAGTATTAAATAGGGTGATATTGAGCGGTAGCTATAATATACGAAGTAATTTGTAGAAAGCCTGTGAAACTTAAAGTAAAATTTTGCAAAGTAAACTTGTTTTTTCAGTAGTTTCCAGCGGAGGCACTTAGTTTGGCCATGCGCGGGAAAATTTTATATAAAAATTTTAAACATTGCTTTTTAGTGGATTCCGACTTAAAGGTGTTCAGTCATAATGTGGGCTGCAGGAAGATAGGGCTCCTTTCTCTTGCCTTCTTTTTCTGCCGCAGGAGGCGAGAACTTTTGTGTTTGGAAAAAGAAAAAAAAGCATTTTAGTTAGTAACCGGAAAGTATACCCGTGATGTGGTGCGCGTGGGTAAGAAAAATTAAATGCAAGCAAGGTTAATATTTCTGAAAAACAAAGGAATAACGGCTCTGACTTCCGCCATGAAGCCTAGAATAATAGGAAAAACCGCTAAGTAACCACTAACGGGAGGGGTGGCCCCGAGCACTAGACTTAAGGGCACCGGAAAATGACCTCGCTTGCTATTAAACCAAGCTTTTCGACTAAGAGCCTCCGCATATTGCTCGTGTAGACGCTGGGTAAAATTTAGGGAAGATAAATTAGTTTTTTTTATTAAATTATTAATCGTAGACATTGCTTGCGTTGTTGCATCTGCAGGAGTGCAATTGTAGATAGTCTTTGTACCTTCAAACAAAAGATGTGTAGGCCATAGAAGACCGCAAGTATACTTTATAGGGGAGCAGTTTAGTGCGCAGGTTAGAAGTTGCCTTTATCCTTGCTTCAGCATCTTTCTAAATTAACAATATTTAAAACATTACACCTCTTAAGTAGGGAAAGTTCGCTTTTCACCCGAACTGTCGCCTTTAAAAAAGTGCAGAAGTGAAAGGCCTACTAGAAAAAATTATCGGTTACTTTATAAAAAAGGTTGTCCCCGAGAAGATTACAAGATTATATCCCTAATTTATTTAACAAATAAAAATAGTAAGCGAAATAGCCTTAGCTGCTATAGTCAACGACAGAGGAAAAAAGCAGATATCTTTCATGGGAAAGAGTTTGATTGGAAATATACGAGATTAAAACCGCGCTAAACCTGAACTCTTAGTTCTGGTAAAAAAAATTAGTGGTCCGATCTCTCCTGCAACCCCCTGGGGATAATCTGGTCAAGTAAAAATAAAAAGTAAAACTAAACAGATAGCAAAGGGAAGCTTGTTTAAACATGCTGAGTAGCCTTTATAACTACTAAAAAAAAATTACAAAATTTTTTTAAAAATATACAGACCCATTCAAATTTACAAAGAGGACTAGGCCTAACTTATGCGTAGTTCATCCTCTGTGTTTAGTCTTCGTTGTATTGATACTTTTTAAAAAGTAACTTTTGGCTTAAAAAGGCTTACAGCAGATACGTTTAACACAGGTTCTCTAACACTTAGGTTAAGGTATTCATCACGGGTTTTTTAAATATGTTATAAACTTAGACAACTAAATGAAATATATTAGAAATCGATATTAATTTTTTTTACAAGATATAATAATTTTTGTACTTTAAATAATTAAGTGTAAGTAGTTGTAGTATGGTCGGATGCGAAACGGCTTTTTTATTTGGGTACTTAAACTATTTTTAAACATTATTAAGTCGGCCTTGTTCTCATATTAAATTAAGTAAATTTCTCTGCAAGGCTGCTAACTTAGTAGCTGTCTTTAAAGTTACTTTTAGCTACTACTCTACGGTACCGCTACAGTTACCTTCTTTAAGTTTTACTGAAGCAATTACGTTAAATATAGAAGAGCACGTACACCTTTTTTAATAATCTTTTTAAAATTGCGATCTAGACTGTATGGTAGAGTGATGGGATATAGGATGTGTTACCTTAAAACACACCATTCATGTTACTCTTTGTAGCAGTAATATATTTATTCAAGAGGAAAAAGTTGAGGCTTTAAAGAGCGAAAAAGCTTCTTGCTAGAAATTGTGTATATCAAAAAAAAAAAAAATTAACTTTAGTATAACCGTATATTTGATCTTTCACTACATTCAGCTTGGACAATTTAATTTATGACTGTAGGGTAGATTCTTTATAAATGAAAAAGGAGAGTTTTGTCTATTTACTTAAGATTAACAAAGAGTAAACTTATATATCTAACTATCAGCCCATCTATGTTATGACGTTAACTGCTTTTTTGGTGTAACTCATGCTTTTATAAAAACGTACAGTCAATAGTTTATAATACCCACCTAAATGTTGTGGTTGGTTGTTAACTAAGTTTCGATTCAGCGGGTACATAAAGAGTTTAAAAAGTCTCTACTAATAATATACCTGACTTTCATGAAAAGAAATTTATTAAAATAAATTTACAAAATTTGAAGCCAGTGACAAGGCCACTAGGAAAATAAATTATAAGGAAGAGAGGAATTCAGCTAAGCTGCACTTTGGTGATGGTTCTCTAGAAGCTTGTCGGTTAAGCAAAGTCTTCAGACTACGTCTAATACTATTTTTCTTCCTAAAATATGAGAGGTTAAAAGACAGAATTTACATTAAAATCTATCAAAATTTCACTTTTTACTATTCTGAAGGGGCTGATTTAAAGCAGGAAGAGATAGCCGGTTTTTGACGTTTTTCACGTTGTAGAGAATTTTAAGTTCAGGTGTTGACAACTGGCGTTGCTTTCTTACAACGCAACTTTTATCCTTTGCTTCAAGCAAAGTTGAGGAATCTAAGTTCGAACGATTATTCAATTCTGAACCAGAGCGAGCTCCTGCAATAAATAAAGTTATTCTAATGCGGAGGTATACTTAACTTTATTAATAATTACGGACAGACTTGCTTTTAGTTACGTAGTAACTTACTCGTCCACAAATTTTGCAGAAAACGGACTTAAAAAGTAAAAATGGTAAAAAGAATTAACGAAGATATTTTTAAGACTTAAAACTTTTACCAAAACACAAGCCTTATTAAATTTATTGGACGAATTGGGGTTAACAAGTTTACACGATTTCTCCTTAAAAAACTTTCGCCCTATATATTTTAAATACCTTAATAACGTGTGGAAAGATGTTAAAACGTCCTTACTTTTTGTGGTTACTTTATAATCTGCTGTAATAAAAGGTGAAAATATATTTCCACAAAAGGTGCAATAACGTCCTTTAACTTTTTCCGATAACTCTAAATATTTATTATAACTTTAATAGAAACCACAATTCACAAAAGTATGAAATCAGTATAACAGTTAAGACAAATAAAAATAAGTATAAGTGCAGCAACCAACTTCATGCTTTTTGGCCAACTTTTGAAAACAAAGTCTATAAAGTAAAATTACACCAAAGAAAATTTAATAATATAACTTATTGACATACAACAGATGCCTTGAAAGCGATGGATTCTTTTCTTGGGTCTGCTGGGATAAATCCCACAAAAAGTTCAATCTATTTAAAAACAAACTGGTACTTAGTGGCGTCCCCTGATTGTTACCTTTCATCCAGGAATGTGCATAAGTTTTGAAAAAAGATGTTAATATCCCGAAGTGTAGTTTCAAATAAAGTTTCCTTCCCGACTTAGGTTTTGGGGTACCAGATTTACCTTCAGTTGCAGTGGGGTCTGTCATGCTGATTTGTAGAAACTGTAGAGCTAAAGCTTTTAATAAGGGTTTCTGCGAGTTAAGCTCTGGTTAATGCCTTTGCCTACCCTTTTGATCGTTATAAAAAATTTTAGTTTCGTATTTCTTTAGTAAAAAAATTAGAAAACTCATCTTATAAGCCCTTACACAAATTGTTCATTGTAAATGCAATTCCTTTATTAATAAAAATGCTTTAAAGTTTCTCTCGCCAAAATTAAATGAGCAGAAAGGCTGTATGTATACATGGTCGTATGTGTAAGAACCAATTTTATACAGTAGCTTCTGAGCTTGCCACTCGTGATTAAAGGTGCATTCTCTATTAAAAAGTATTAATGTTGACCCTTTAGCTGTATTAAACAATCATTTTATGCTTAATAAACTGTATATCAAACTTTCTCTTTTCCAGTCGGATTGTTTACAAAAAAAAGTTTGGTAAATCGTAGTATCATTGCCTACTTTGATATAAGTGGATTAAGGTAGAGAAAAATAAAGACATCTGGAACAAATATACAAACAGATGATCACGTAATATACAGCTTTGTGTTGTTATTAATATAAACAACGCTGCATACAAGCAACATCAACCCGAGCTTTTTAATAAATATAGTATGGTACCGCATCTTATTTTCCTTTTCCTTATACTTCTTATATGCATCTCTACTTACTCCTTTCTCCGCACAACTGCTCTTAAAGTTTCTTGCCATTTTTTAATATATGTTTAATTAAAACTCAGCTTAAACATCCCCAGCTGTTTCCTAGTGCTTACGTTTGGCACTTTAGCAGCTCCTTGAAATATGTCAAATTATTTATGTCCAATACGTAATTTCGAGGGTGTAATAAATGTTAACGGTCATTGTTAATGTTTTAAAGATTTCTTGTAACGAATATTGGAGGCTTAAAACTCTAGTAAATTGCTATGATGCATTTTTTAGGTTAAAAGTAATTAGTTAATGCCGTTTGATCTAAAAAATGTATAATTAGTATACTAGCGGGCCATATATATTTACATATATACTTAATAAAAGATTTACCCCTAGCACTTTGCGTAAAAGACAGATGTGTTCAAACTTGGAAAAAAAGGTCCGAGACACTTTATTCAAGAACGAGGAAGCCATAAACGCAAACTCCGAAAAAGCCAGTTGCTGAACGGACTATGTACGACGTCATTATCAGTGACCTAGTGGTTCACTACTCACCTCGGAAGCCTTTACGAATAAAGATGACATTCAATCTATAATCGAAAAACTTAACGCTATGAAGAGCATGGCTCCTGGTAAAATTTCAAATAAAAGGCTTAGAAATCTTCCTATAAACGCAATTAATTACCTTACAGAGCTCATAAACACGATTATTACCCATGGTTATTTTTTTTTTAAGATGGAAGCAAGGTGAAGGTTGTCTTAATACCGAAAACAATTCGTCCAAGCAACCACGCTAAGGACTATTGCCCTATTAGCCTACTTTACGGCCCAGGAAAAGTTGAAGAGGCTGTGCTTCTTTAAGGTTGCAAAATTTTGTTGAATGATGAAAGCTTTATCCCAGCTTTCGATTTAGTTTTGGAAGAAGCCACCTTAAGGTTATTGGAAAAACAACTAATGCCTTAATAGCAAGAAATCCGCTCATGGTTTTTTAGATATACAGAAGGTTTTCGACAATTGTGCATTACCCGCGTACTTAATACAAATTATAGAATGACACCTCAGCAGTAGATCCTTCATGGTCCGTGTAGAAAAAGAACTATCAGACTCTAAACTACTTAACTTTGGGGCCCCAAGGGGTTTTTATTGTCTTCGTCTTTATTCTCATTATACATGTATGATATACCTCTCCTTGCGCTCAAAGTTCTTTGACGATGTATGCAGTCCTACCTTAAGATAGTTGAAGATTGGTTAGCAACGTGGAAAGTAACCGTTAATGCTTTAAAGCGCCATGCCATGCTTACCTCGAAGAAAAGAAAGAAGAGAGTGTTACAAGACATTTCTATTTCATATTCCCCTCACCTAGAAAAACCAAGTCAAATAACTCGATGTTACCCTTGATAACAAACTAAATTAGAAGGCCCACATTCAATATTTGGTTAAAAAAAATTAGAAATACGACACGCTTTATCTCCGCTTATATGCAAAAAAGTGTCCTTAACCTTGATAACGAATTGATCATTTACAAAGCTATTTTAAAACCAATGATGAATTATGCATCAGCAGCTTGGCACTATACCCCGATCCCCAACGTGAATAGACTGCAACTTATGCAAGTAAGCTTTTAAGGATATTTTCAGGGGCCCTTGGTATATAAGACCCTTCCAATTATATCGTGAATGCGGCTGGAACATTTTTGAAGTTTCCTAAGCGCTTAGCTGAGGAGACTGCATAAGAACATCTGAAAGTAATTGTAACAGATTACTAGCTAATTCCCTAAATTACTACCATTCTCACTTTCCCAAATATAGAAAACAGAAACCTCTCCTTACTATATTCAATAATAATTTTGAATGCAATATTTTTACTAAAAAATAATACAGTAATCCTAATAATAATAGTGAACAAATAGTAATAATAATATATTGCTAATGTTGTCTATACTAATATTATAATATTAATAAAACCTAAAATTTAAAAAAAAAATGTCCTAGTATAGTAATTATTTATTTTGGCAGATCCACTTTTAAGTAGATATGGCTTCTAAAAGTAGCATTTCTGCAGGGAGGGAACCCCTCTGAACCCCCTCACTAGGTGATTGTAGATAGAGCAGTTTAAGTTATTTTACTTATAACGACTGGAGCATGCCAGTGCAATAAAAATAAATCAGTAAAAGATTTAAGGGAGTTCTCTATTCTGGTGAGGAGCTCATAGTCGGGGAGGGCCGGGCTACTAGTGGGGCTAGCTGGTGTCTCCAGGTAGCCTCGAGTCTTGGGCCTAAGGCCCTCTCTCTCGGTTGTGATGTTTGCTGTTTTCCACCACATTAGGCAGAGTGGCGGGTGTCCGGGCCCGATATTTTTCACTTTTTAGTTCTTCGGGCCAGTCATTATAGCTCTCTAAAGAGCGTACACTGGTGGGCCCTCGTGCTCTAACCACTTCAGAAGAGGGGAATTACAAGGCAGTAGTAGGCCAGTGCTAAAAAAAAGGTTTATCGGATTTTTCTCCTATTTCGAGCTTCTCTGCCTTGTAGTTGTTCATTTTAAGCTGCAGGACTTAGTAATTGATTAAAGCTCAAAACAGAACCAACCAACCAAACAATATAAACTCAATTAGTGATCTAAAGGGTTACTAATAACACGAAACATTATTTATTAAAACAGTTAATGTATTTAATCTCTTGGCCTATTTACTTATGTGAATAGAGACTTATTGGTTACAGATGCTCTTTTTTCTGCAACAATGAAACAGGTCCTTCGTAACTAGAAGTTATAGCCTCAGTGTCTAACAGGTTGGTTAAATTACGTAAGTTCTTACGTAAACAACACTATATTTCTTAAAGGCCTTACATTTATTAGATTATAAGCTACGATTTATTAAATTTTGAGGTATTGTATTGAAACATTATTGTAGTTTTTAAGTAATAAATAGCTAAGACCGCTAATGTAAACAGGTAACCTTTTTTGATAAATAAAAGCACGGATAAATGTTGTATTAAATAATAACCAGATTTTAAAATTAATAAATAAGCACCCATATAAAGAGTGTTTAAGTTTATTAAGCATGACACTTTTAAAAGTGTTTTAGCAAACGATTTTATGGGACGTGTCCTTGTTTTAAAATATAGCATGTAACCCACACACCGTTGACGAAAATGCGTGATATCTGTTAACCCTATAACGGCAGAACTCTGGGGCATAAAATAGACGTTCACTGGTAACTAAATTTATACTTTTTTATATATTGTTGGTTGCTGCCTAACCGTTAGAACATGGTACTCAAATTTACCAGAGATAGGTTCAGAGACCTGTCGTTTAGGGTCAATTTCCATAGACCTACTCTTGCAAATTGAACCTAGGAGACAAGTGGTAAACAGAGTAACCAGTAATCTAAAAGGTGTTCAAAAAGTTGGTGTATTTATATGGCATTTTTTTCGCGTGCTATATCTTGTACAGTATTATCTTTTTTTTATATATTTTAATTTTTGAAAACTCAATATCTTAAAAAAATGCTTTTCTGCCTCCATAAGGCAACAATTATTAATACTAAGATAACAAATGGTTAATGCGCCCAAAAAATAAGTTATTAGGAATGTCAAATAATTTTTTAATAGGATAAAGTATAGTTGAGGGTAAAAACAGAACTATTAAGAAGTATAACAATAAACGATCTATGATAGAGAATAAAAAATGACCTTAAATTTTTAGTTAAGAAGGAGTAACGTAGTGCATAGCAAAACAAAGATTTTCCACATGTGTTGCTCCTGATCTTTTACGCTTAGAGTTCACTGGTATTAAAGCATAGCGCCTATTAGCAAAATAGCAAGATAGGTAGGAAAGGATAAGTGATAATATTAAATTAGTTTGCTCTTGCACAAGAGTTTTAAAAGTGCTTTGGTAGGCAGGACTTTCACGTAACATAAATATATGATTAAAGCGTACTTACAAATAAATTAAATTCCGAATTGAAAAGAACAAAATTTCAAAAGTATGTTTCATGTGTACAGTTTTCCAGTCGACTGGAATTTATAAATCTCTTATTGGATTCGTTTGGGCGCTCCTTTCCAGTACACCAAATAATTACCAAATATGAAAAATTAGGGGCGAAACGTAAAAAATTTGATAAACCAAGAATTATAATTTGACAGCTACAACAAAAACGAGAAAAAATTTTGACTGGACCTTATATAATGATTTTTAGAAGCTTCTTGAAAGTAGTTAAACTCAAGGCATTAGAAGACTTTATAAGCAGGAGGTTTTTTATAAAAAGCTTATCTACTTGGAACTAAAATTGTTGAAGTTTAATTTAACAAAAATCTTATTGGTATAGTTTTTTTTTTGGCAGAGCCCAAAATTTAATAATAGAAGTTTTTTAAGAGCAACTGATGGGTTATATTTAATATGTTAACATATTTTTTGTTGTGCTGTAGAAATAGGTTTATGGTTCTTTTGAAATTTTTAATCCTCTATATTTGGTAATTTTTATTGGTTCGCAATGAAGATGCATTAGTTTTTTTAGTGGGCATAATCTTTTTTTTCTATTTTTTATAATATACGCCATCTATCTATCTAATTTAAAACGCTCTTAATATATTGTTTCTACATTAATTTTTTTCACAGAGTTAACTTTTTAAACATAAGCTTAAATAAGTTAGTAATACCTGATCAGTTGAAGGAATAATTAATTTTTTCATTATTTTTACATGTTGGTCAAGAAAAGTTTGATAACTTGTCGCTGTAGATGGCTTAAGTTCTCTTAAAGGTTTTTTAATAAATTTTGGGTCAAGGGCATTGATCTACGGCGTCGTGTAATCAAGCAAAAATAAATAACATCTTTGAAACTTGACTAAATTTTAATTTAAAATTAAATTTACTATCTTAGTAATTAATACTACAATACAATATATATAAAGTAGCACGTGGCGCTTACAAAAATTTTATATATAAAACTGATATCAAAAGCAACCACCTAATTGTGAATAATGGAGCCAGAATAAGTCATATTTATCGTGCAATTAAACCCTATTTGAGACTATTCCGTTCCAAATTACAATTTTCCAGAGGCATACTTTTTGTCCGCACTTGCTGTACCTTTGCAATCTGATTTTCTCGGTTGGTTATCTCTGTTTTCATTCTCTTCAAGTGCTCAGCATGTCATCGTCTATGAAACTATTAGTCGTTAGTGCATTAGCTTTTATCTTTGCTGTATTTGCTGACAATTCGGAGGTTATACTAAATAACGGTGTTTATTCACTGGACCGCAACACTTACTCGGATTTCTTGGACAAGAATGAATTTGTTATGGTCAAGTTTTGTAAGTATATCTTTGTCTCAACCTTTTTTAAAGACTTAAATTATATAATTATAGTTGCTTTATAAATAATATTTGTTTATGAGTTTCCTATAAATAATGTTACTTGCGACTAATATATAGATGCGCCTTGGTGTGGGCATTGTAAGAATCTAGCTCCTATATATGAAAAAGTTGCTTTGAAGTTTACTCAGAATAACCCTCAAGTGAAATTTGCAAAATTTGATGCGACTGCAGAGGATGCTTCCAAACTTTTAAGCCCCTTAGATATAAAAGGATATCCTACCTTGTATTGGTTTAAATCTAAAAAACCAATTTTGTACGATGGTGGACGAAGCGAAGATGAAATCTCTAACTGGGTCACAAAAAAAAGCGGGCCTTCAGTTTCTCCCATCTCAACGTATGCAGATTTGAAAGATAAGTTAGCAGCGCATAAGGTTGTGGTGTTAGGCACCTTTGATAAAATCGAAGGTAATTCGAACTTTGAAGTTTTTTCGGATTTAGCTTACCATATTAATGGGGTGGAGTTTTATTATTCTACTAGCCATGAAATTTTTAAAGAGGTTGGTAGTAACAAAGTTGTCATGTTCCGACAATTTGATGAGCCAAAGCTTGTGTTTGAGGATGAATTTAATTACAATAATCTTGAGAATTTTATTACTTCAAACAAAAATCCTCTCGTTATAGAACTCGGCCCCGAGACACATAAATTTATTTTTGGTGATCCAAAGAAAAAAGTTGTACTCCTTTTTTCACTCTTAAGTGGTCTTGACAAAAACATTGTAGGCTGTTACAAGGATGCCGCTAAAAAATATAAAGAAAAAGCCGTACTGGCTTTAGTAGATAGCAACATCGAGAATAACGCTAATATTATATCTTTTTTTGGTTTAAAAAAAGATGATGAGGCTGTTGCTATTCTCGATATTGAAAAGGATTTGCGCAAGTACCGACTTAAAGGGGATATGACTTGCCCAGCCATTGAGGGCTTCCTCCAAAACTATTTTGAAGATAAACTTACTCCTTTTTATATGTCGGAAGAGGTTCCCGCTGATTGGAATGAAAAAGATGTTTATACTTTAGTAGGGAAAAACTTTAAGGAGGTTGTCTCAAATTCCAATAAGGCTGTATTTGTTAAGTTTTGTAAGTATTTTTTGTATTATATATATTTATTTAATTATGGACATCTTTCTGATAGATGCTCCCTGGTGCGGCCATTGTAAGGCTTTGGCACCCACCTGGGAAAAACTAGGGGCCTCTTACAAAAATAATGCCAACGTCGTTATTGCCAAGATAGATGCAACCAAGAATGAGGTAGAAGGCATCACCATTGAGGGATTTCCGCAACTTAAACTTTTTCTTCCTGGAGAAAAAGAAAGCATTGCGTATGAAGGTCAGCGAGATATCGCATCTCTAAAGAATTTCTTGGAGAGTCATGTCCCAGGCTTGTTGGAAAAAAGTCAAAAGGATGAGCTATAAAACTTCTTTTGGGTTTGACTGCAACATAGACAATAAAGATTAATCTTCTGTTTATAAAATTTAAAATTGAGGCGGTAAGATAACTATTTTAAATTTCTTGCAGGTAATATTTAGTGTGTAGAACTATAGTCACAACCCTTGATGCAATTTAGACCATATTAAACAATTACAAATTTTTAGTAGAGAGGTGCATCCTTTACACGTTAGTTATAAGTTAGTATGTTGCTTTTTTATCTACAGATCAACGCGGGCGGTAAAACTGCATGAGCTCTTGCAGTGTAACTTAATACACTGGAAACATTTTTATGACCAATAACTTCTAATAAATGCATTCTATAAACAACAAAAAAAGAGAAAACTAAACAAGAGTCTAAAAGTATTGTTTATTTGTTATAATAGTTTGTAAATCTCGCAAAACAGAAAAACTCTAAATTATATGTAAGTCTTTTTCCTGGTAGAATTCATTATCAAAAGTAGTAGTAAGAAGGCACATAGACCAAAAAAAGCTGTGTTATTGGTCTTCTTTTCTTCATCTTCAGTACGAGAATCTTTAAAAATTTTTCTGATACCAGATAACATTGTGGTGAGTCCGAACCGCGAGTGCGTAAGGAGTAGTCAAGCTTCTTGAAAAGTAGCTTTTTCGCCGGCGAACCTAGTTTCTCATTTTTGTATATTTACTCAGCTACAAAAGCGTGAGTTTTGTTTTAGGTGACGCTCTTTCCTTTTAATAGCTTTACTATTTTACATAATTGGCATATTTTTAATATATGTGAGCGCAAACAATAATTAAACCCATTAATTGTAATAAATAAAGATATTTTTTTAGAAAAATCGAAGAGTCAATAGTATATTTTAGATTAAAAATAGTACTTTATTTTCTTTTATTAAGTTTACTCACTTGAAGCATGTTTTTAAAAAAGTGTAATTGCAATAATTAGTTAGACACTTATTTTATTCAAATACAGGAGGCATGATATAATATCTATCAAAAAGTTATTTATCTAAATAAACTTGAGACTAATAATATATACTATACTATCAGTAATAATAAATACTTTCAATAAGATGCACAGATTGGACTATATTACTTCCCTCAACTCTTACTTAGTAAGTCAACAATTAACCTCTAAGCAAACAGTGCTAAACGGGCAACTGATTTCTCAAGAAGAAGAAGCGTACAAGCAACAGGCAAAATTACTTCTCCATATATATATATATATCGCTTTCTAGTTTGCATGCGTTAGAAGTAAAGTTATGAACATTTTGACTTTCGTTTTTTTTTTTTGAAATTAAAAATTAACATGCCTCGTGAATTCGTTTAATAATAACTTTTATTCATAGTAAAGGTTACCTATCCACGTATTAGATAATCACTCTTACCGATGGAAATTCACAAAGCGTTCCCTTGGGAATGACTGGTGCCGAGTATCACCTATACACGTCAGGGGTGCTTTACTGACCTGATATCAAGGCACACTATTAATAGATTTTGTTTTAGGTTGTAGAAGAGGACCTAGGCGAGACTGAAGATATCGAAATTGAATTAGTACGTAATTATCAAGTCATAAATCTAGTTTGTAGTTTGTATAACAGTTTGTAAATTTTGGGGGTTTCCCGTCCAATGTATATAATAATCTTTTGGTCGAAAAAATTTGGTAACATTTATTTTTTACTAACTTCAACAATAATTTATGTGAGGACACTTCCGCGGAAGAGGATCACGACGACAGCTTACAACAATAGTCAGTTTTTTTAAAAAGTTTGTTCGAGTTAAAAATTATTATAAAGCTTTATATTATGTAGAAATTTACTTTATTATCAACGGAGGCAACCTTAAAAGTTTATAAAGTTTATTTGTCTAATAAACAAAAAGACAACCAGCACCTAGTGATTGTTTCTTAATAAAAAAAAAATCTCAGCGACAGCGAGTATTAACCGCTTTAGTGATTTTATACGTAAACGAATTTTTTTTTGGTGTCAAGTTCAAGAAAGTAACATTGCTGCCACGAATGCGAAGGCAAAGAAAGATGGGAACTAGACAGTCGCATTCAAAAATATACATACTTATTTACGTAAGATAATGTTTTGTTTTAAGCGGTGCTTCACACATTTCATTATAAGCTCCGCCTAAAACTTATAATGTAAATAAAGTCGTCACAAGAAAAGAAACGAGGACATACGGGTAAAACTAAGAGTCATTTGATACGGCATTATTTGATAAGAAAAACAAACTCATCAAGTATGAAAAGCTAGGGGTGCTAAAAAAATAAAGTATTATGACCGTAAAACAACGAGCTAAAGCCATAAAGATTAAGGTTGCGTAAGAAGTCACCAAGAAGTAAGTTGCCACTCTCATCAGGACACTTGCAACAGATATTTTTAACCCTGAATCACTAACGCAAACAAATGCAATCCTTTTTCTATAAAATTTATGGAAACGACAAGTAGTTTTGATAGCAGGCTACGCGGAAATAAATTTTGACAACTTTTAAAGGTGAATTTGGGATTAAGCGAAACCCCGCTCAGAAGTTAAAAGGTGACTCAAACTGAAAAAAAAGGAATAAAAAAGGGAAAAAATAGCCCAGAATTTAGCCTCTTGTGATATTCGTTTATTTCCAAAAGTTAAAGAAGTGCTTTAGCTGCGCTACACTATATTGAACCCAAAATTATGATGTGAAAACGCTTTCAAAGCTTAGTTCTTTGGGTCACAACCTCAGAATATGTGTTATCCTGTCTTATTCGATGGGCCAAGTAAATATATAAGTGAATAGAGTGAGAATAATTTACTAAACAATTAAGTTAAAATAAGTTTTTTAATTATATTTAAACATATAAAGAGCAAGGGGGGTATAGTTTGATACTTTTTTTTATAAGGAGTGGGCGAGAAGGTTATAAAACTATACAAAAAAGTAATAAGTAGCTAACTTGTCCCTTCCCTACTTTATAAAAATCATAAGAATCCACCTTATGAAGTAAAAAGGATTATATATATATTAATTGCCTTATGTAAATTTGCATATAAGACTTTTTATAACTATGTTTTCAAAAGATTTAATAATTAACTATCCGTGGTATTTGAAAGAAAATAGCTTTTTATTCAATTTAGAGTTTAAGTTTTAAGATTTCAGTTATTGATAATGCAACCATTAAAAACCACAAAAATATAGCCAAAGTACATATCTTACCCTTAGGGATAGTGTAGCCTCATAAAAGGCAGGCATTTAATTTAGAAAAAAACAGTCAACGCATCAAAAGTGTTAAGTAGAAATTTTAATATAATCTCATATAAAAGTGTAACAGTCAACCATAACAAAACATTAAAAATTAGTATACTATTACGGTTGTTTCGTACAATTCGATTGAGCACATGGGTTTTATAGGAAAAATAATACGAAACTAGATATTATTTTAAGTAGCAATATTAATACCGGACAAGTATTGACTACATTTTGGAAGATAATTGCAAAAAACGAGGTATAGACATTATTAAAAAAGACTACATAGTCAAGGCATATATTAAAACAAGATAATGCGACTATGCTTTTATTTTTACGTCAGTTAAAAACAAAACATACAAAGTTGATAAATATGAGTAAAGATTGTAGCAAAGATCCTAAAAAAATACTAAATAGCACAAAATATAAAAACTTAATCTGAAAATTCACAAGCGCTCGATAAAGTTTTTTGTAAATAAATTTATGGAATGAATTCTCCTAGAATAGCAATTTTTATTCATAACAGGTTTAGCAGCGTTAATAAACCTTACTAAGTAAAAAAGGAAAATCCTTTTTTTTTCTTTAATAAGTATTAGGGGTGCAAATAGAACAAGAAATTTCTGAGCTGAGCTAAAAAAAGAGAAACTTTGATCTAGAGGAGATCAAAAGATATTTAGCTTACTTCTTCACAATTACGAATACTGCCCGAGAGTAAAAATAAATGCAAGTCCACGTTTGTTAGCTACAAAGAAATCTTAAAAAGAGCACATTATAGTAAGTTAATTTCAAATTATTAATTTTATTTTAATTTTGGAATAAAAATTAGTGTAATAATTTACAAAAAAAAAATGTAGTAAAGGTTTAAATTTGCATCAAGTAATAATTTTAACGCATGGGACTTGTTTTAATAAAATGTTATAGTTAAAAAAATTTTTTTAAGAGTAATCCTAGAAGCGTGCTGGTAGGTATCCACTTCTAGCCTTCTTCAAAAACAAAAATTGTGTACTTAACAAAGTATTAGTAGTAAACAAATATTTAAATCCCTGGTAATACACACAACGAAAGTTTTTATTAAGTACGCCAATGCATCTCGTTTCTAGCCTTGTAATTTGTAGTGATTAAGATAGTGACTTGTGTTTACCGAAAACATGTGGCCACAGGCCCCTGAGTCAAGGGATAATAAATTATTATAAAGAAATCTTATACTACCGCGGAGTCGCAGCAGCGGCCCCCTACCTAAATATGGCGAGGGTGCACATCAGCCCTTTGAATTTGGCAAATTATAACGACCTTCAGGAACTTCTTCACAATTATGGCAACATTTTAGATTTCACCTTAAAGGAGCACTCGGGTTTCTATGGTTTTGTTAGAATTCAAACTTTTTGATTCATTTTTATATAATTTATAGCTTATGTTTTGTTTGAGAGGGAATCCGATGCTATAAAGGCAATTGAAGATTCGCAAAACGGCCACCCAAGCCTTGGGTCCTCTACCTGTACGCTTATAAGGAATGACGAAAAAGGTCTTCTTTGTACACGTATTTTTTTGATCGCTATATGTTAATTACAGATTTAGCCTTGCCAAGTAGATCACCACTTGGTTTAGATTTAAACAAAAAGGTGCTAATAACGTTGTCATTCGCTTAAAAATACTTTTTAACTTATTTAGTTTTGTTTTTTCTTTCTTTAGAATAAAATGATAGAAGCCGCCAGAACACTTCTTGAAGGTTTGGGTGAAGATGTTAGGAGAGAAGGCCTTTTAAAAACACCCGAAAGAATGGTTGAAGCGCTCCTTTATTTCACAAGAGGATATACGCAGACACCTTCAGGTGCTTTATGGTGAAAGATTATAAAGATTTGCGGATCTACTAAAGTGTTATATACGCATCAAACATTTTTGTTACGCATTTTACTTTAGTCCTTAACCGGCTTTTTTGAGATTGCTTAAAGTAGTTAATTTCTTAGACGTTGTCAATGGAGCCATGTTTCATGAAGAGCATGAAGACATGATCATCGTTAAAGACATTGATCTTTATTCTATGTGTGAACATCATGTGGTTCCCTTTTTTGGCAAGGCGCATATTTGTTACTTTCTTGTTTAAAATAATTTTACTGTTTCATAATAAAATTAATGTTATATTAAATGTAACTTTTTTATGTGTTCGCTCACGTTATTTACCACTTCGTGTGCAGGCACACGTCGCTTATGTTCCCGATAAGAAAGTTTTGGGTCTTAGCAAAGTCGCTAGAATTGTGGAAATATATAGTAGACGACTGCAAATTCAAGTTAGAATAATTATATTTGAACTTGAATTTTTTCATTTAATTTTTTTTAGGAGCGTCTTACAAAGAACATCGCCGCAGCGGTTATGGACACCATTGAGCCGAGAGGCGTTGCAGTGGTGGTCGAGTCTCGGTATGGCGGCATACTGGTTCCTCTACAGTTTTTATTATAATCTTTAATTTTACGACTCAGACATCTTTGCATGGTAATGAGAGGAGTCCAAAAAACGCAGTCGGTGACAACCACGAGCGCGATGCTCGGCATTTTTCAAGATGGAAAACTTCGAACGGAATTTTTTTCGCTTATAAAGTAAATCGCATGGACAGTGGAGTTAATTTTTTTTAATAAAGGCATTTTTTAATCACTTCTCAACATTTGTGGTATCCGTTAAGGCAACTACAATGGCAGCAGCTGCTGCTGCGGTCTTGCTGGGAGCGTTATTGACCTTTGCAAATTCCTCTTCTTTTTTTTTCATCTGCGTGTACAGCTCAAGGATGTTTGCTTTCACTTTTTCTCTAGCTTTGCGGATCTTATGGAGTTGATTTTTTTCTTCGTCCTTCCCTAAGCAAGTAAAGTTTTCGGTCGTACGCGCTACGGTATAGGGAAACAATACAATTTCTGAGACTGCCTTGCTCATCTCTGGTAAAGTACGAGTGTATTTTATTAAACACTGCCTCTTCTGGTTCATGAAAAATCTATTTATTATATTACGCCAGCGCAGAACGTGATGAAACTTAATAAAAAAGAATTGGAATTAGGTTTACTATTTCATCGTATTGTTCGCAGGCGATTATTTTCTTATCAATTGTAATAGTGTTCTCTCCGGCGTACTATTTATTAATAAAATTTACAAAAGTTGATAAATCTATAAAGCTGTTTGAGGACTTGATAATTTATAATTTAATAAAGACAAATTCTACTACTTATAAATATCAAGTTTGATGCACTTTTTGTGCAAATATTACGTAAACTGAAACAATTGGTGCGCTTACAAGTTTTAATAGATGTGTGATTGTCAAAGTACGCTCTCCTAGTAAGAAAAATAAGATAATAAAACGTTTAAGTCTTAAAAAAAAAAAAAAAGCAGAGTTTGCACCTAAAGTATACAGCTTAATCACCACTTCGAATTCTCCCCAACCATCTTCCTCAATTTCAAAAGGAGGATTTTTTATAACTGTATTGATAAACTACTTTAAAAGTTTAGTTGTTCGTAATATTAAAGAAGACCCCGAGTAGGAATTGGAAAGCTGTCATGAAGTTTAAAAACAACTTTAGTAATAAAAGCGGACAAGTCATCACCGTATAATCCTATCAATGATGCCAACAATAAATATTTTGCTAGTTTATATTACGATTAACGAAAACCACAAAAAAGATTTTTATTTTAATTAAAAAACTTTATTACCTCTTACAAATAAAGTCCAGTGATGCGTGTTTGAAGAAACATCGCGAGTGTTTAGCAGTTTGGCGGTGTTTCCATAAACTATGGGCGGTAATACGTACCCTATATATTGTCTTTAATAAGTTAAAGATTCCTAAAGAAAAGTAAATACTTTTTGGTCAATAGTATGAGGTACAAATAATAACATTTATTATACAAAAGATATATAATTGAGCTTATCTAAAAAATAGTATTTAGTAAAAACAACTCCGGCAGATGTTTGCCAATTATGGGGCCTACTTTTATTCTTTTCACTTCAGTAGTCATAAGAAGTATTTTTTCGGGGCGCAACAACTACAAAACTAAAAAACTCGGTCTTACAGAAGTATAGACATATTCCGAAAAAAAAAGTTACTCCCAGTCTCTCCTCTTAAGAGGGGGCCGAAGAGACATTACTCAGTGAATACCCTGAAGGTGATCATGACTGTCTCGTGAAGAGTAAAAGGCGTGTTGTTTTCCTGAAGCGGTTAAAAACAGCTACGGGTTAAGGTTACCCCATTCTATAGGCAGCTAGACTTCTCTGTCTTATCTTGCTATCTGAATGTACTTTTTTTTTCTTAACTAACACCATTGTCGTGTTGTTAGTAAAGTTAAGATGTACTGGGTTATAAACTAAATGTAGAGGAGCCTTCTATATAGGGTATATTACTGGATAACACTATCGCATTAGCGCTACTGTTATTTCTTAGGTGGCATTCTTGTAAGTAGCTGCTTGTAATAGAATAAATGACATATCCAAAGTGAGAACAAGTCTAAATTTATTTATAATATTTAAAATATCAGTGATTAGACCCTCTTACTCCGCTCTAGGGAGGAGAGCAAAATAATATTTAATCTCTTGTCATTGAGTCTTATCTTCTCTATTTATATTTTGGAGACCATGAAATAGCATGAAATAGTGCTTAATTGTATATTTCTTATCGTTAACAATACTAGGTAGAACCTTGAACTTAAATGACCCAGCGCGGGATGAGTATTGAATAGTATGCCAACGCTAAACTAGTACTAAAATTATGAGGAATGAAGCCCTAATATTATTTGCTATAACTCTAATCTCACTGACATGACCGTAGCTTTCGTTTGCGACTGTTGGCTTCACTCTCCGTATACAGGAATCTTAGACCAAGACTGCACCGTGGCTACCAGCTCTACTAGTTCAAAGGTGAAAGCCCAATTGAAAGAGTAGACAAGACCCTAGTATATCATTAACAGTATAAGCACATGCCATCATAGCGTAATTCCTCAACAAAGCAATCAACTTTTATACAGGTAACATTCTATCTAGCCGGTTTAGACTCTTTAAAATCAGACTTTACGACCTGTGCTGACAGCAACTTTCAATTCTCTTGTTACAAACATCTATGGGCATAGCTTTAAGGCACGGCCACCTTGGTCATATTTCATGGCGAGTGTTCATCATCCCTTTGTGGTAGAGCTTACTTAAATGCTTTAATAAAAATACCATAGAAGGTTCTAACCTGCGCCATATCTATTAATCACTACATTTAGCTAGTAAATCACCTGAGCAATGGTTCATCTCGATTACAAGCATTGAAGAGAGCCCTATTTAGGACACTTTGAAGAAGTCCTATAAGGTAGAACTACTGACCACCACTATAGGCCTGATCTTGTTCGGACAAGTACTATTGTTCAGTCCTAAGAGGATCTAGAATTAAATTCGAAAAGAATGCTTACTACTTAGAAAACTACTCAAAAAGATAGGTGAAGCAAGGCCATGGACATTACGCCATTCGACCTACCCCACCACCTCAGTAGGAAAAAAAATAATTCCTAAATCTTGTCTTAGATATAATTTAAGATTAATTATTGTACTACGCTTTTAGCAAATAATAAAAAATAACAATATTTACAGTTAACCACCCCAGCATTAGTTGGTCACAATAATTAAAGTCGCGCGAACAATATATTAGATAACATTGATATGCAAAAAAAAGTTTCCGGTTTTTATGGCAGTATATTGTTCATAAATAATAAATTAAGTGATTAACATAAAAATCTTTTTTTTTTAAAAAAATTACTATGTATTTTTGCTATGCGACCATATATTCTATTTATAAAACAAACAAAATGAGAGAGCTGATGATAACGACTGGGTATATGAAAGTATCGGCAATCTCATCTTTCCATTGGCATTGCTGTTATGTGGCTACCTTATTTTTGTAGCATTTTGGGCAGGTAAGTAGAAAATATGAAAATCCAAGCCTTGAAAAAAATTTAAAATAGGTATTTGTACAGTTTAGAACACAGAATTTATTAGTAATAAGAACTGTATGGTTTACCTATCACATAATAAATTATGAAGACATTTTTATAATATATATATTCATTTTTATCTAATATCAATACCAAGTTGGCAACTGAAACTGAAGTAAATCTTTTAAAAAAAGACTTTGCCAATTACTTAGATAATATTGATCCGTTCAAATCTTTAAGAGAAGAATTTTTTATTCCCCTGTTTTCTGGTTTACTAATCGCCTTCTTTACGTCGCCAACCTCATTAATATACTTCACGCTTTTTGTTATAGGCAGGGACTGCAGTCATTTATGCAGCTGTTCCCTGGCTTACAATGGAAAGAAGTCAAGATGGAGAAATTTGTATACATCGATATTACTTAGATACAAGTTTTTCTTAATCTTTAAATAATCAAAAATGGCTTAGGGGTATTTTAGGTCATTTTTTACCCCAAAAATCCTTGGGTTCTCAGTAGTGATCCACGAAGAGAAGATATGGCGGCTATTGTAAGCAATAAAGCCTACGAAAGTTATATTATAAATTTAAGAGCTAAAACTTCCGAGGTGATAGTCAGGAACACACTGTAAAGCATCTTTTCACGATTTCGCTTTACCAGCCTATTAAAAAAAAAAAAAAACAAAATTTTGATTGATAACAAACTTTTCCTTCTGATTATGTAAGAATTCGTCAGCTCTTTATAGAAGCATATGACTATTTAAAGTTTTATTGTAGGTAAGATATTTATTAATGTATCCCATAGTTTTATGTTCTTTGCTTATGTTATAGGTAGTATACTTAAAATCACTGAAATTAAAACTTAGCTAATTCAACTAAGCATTAAATGGATTAGTACTAATACCTTTCCTCATCATTCTCTGTAACTAGAAGGGATAAACTTAGTTAAGTACGTTAGGGAATCGTAAAATATTTAGTGGCTTTATATATATTTTTTGGGCCTATGACAGGTATTGGCTGTAAACAATAAAAAAATTTTCACTAAACAATTGGCCACTTATTAACCCCTTTTAGATTACCGGTTACTATGTTTACCACTTGTCGCCTAGGTTCAATTTGCAAGAGTAGATCTATGGAAACTGACCCTAAACGACAAACTCGGTCTCTGAACAATCTCTGGTAAACTTGAGTGCCATGTTCTAACGAATTAGGCAGCATGCCACAGAACATAAAAACGTGGTAAATTTAGTTTCATAGTGAACGTTAAGTTGAGCATGTGTTGCAAAGGGTTTATTCTGGGTGTAAGAAGTTTATTTTTGGTTAGAAAGGTAAGTAAACATTTGTTTTCCTGTTTTATTTTGAATGGAATATATAAAATAAAATTTTGAAACAAATATTGGACTTTAAAGTATGGTTTCAACATTGGAAGTGATTTCGTGGAAAAAACAAATCTATTTTAAGCTCCAGAGTTTAGCCAGTTAAAGGGTTAACTCGACACGCCAATAGTTTTTTGTAATTTCGCGGTTTGATCTTCACGGCTTCGATATTTTCAAATAAATTAAAATTAACGATGACGATGTAGTTGCGGTCATAAACGCTCATGCCAGAGAGGTTGGCTTTCCTGACAGTTCCTTTGAACGACTAAGGGTATTTATCTTCAGAGATGGCGCTGGTGCTGCTACCGGGAGTCCAGTATTACTTCGGCAAGTTTTCGACATTTTTGCTATATCAAAAGCAGCGCCCCAAGCCGTATTTTCTTTGAAAATAAGTAATACAGCATGTATCGCACTACATAGGTTGCGACCTCGCTCATACTGTCGGAAATATCCCCCTTTATCTTAACGAGTGGTACGCCTTAACCTTTCTTTTCCCCTCAACTGTTAGCTGTTGATAGTAGAAAAGTTGTTATTGTCAATATGTTTTTTACTTTTTCCCAACAGAAAGGACAAGTTGTTTCCATTTTCTAATTTAAGGGAATTGGACTTTGCTTGTTGGTGCACTTATAAATACCTTAACTCGGGGCCTGACTTTGTATGCGTTTTATCACAGAAAACATCATGAAAAGAGTTTGAAATAGGTACAGCAAAAGGATTAGCAATATTTTATCGGAACTTTTTAGTTGTATCTTTTCCAATTTGTTTACAACTTATTAAGATTGGCATCCTTCTCCTGGAGCTTTAGTTTATCAGCTCTCTACTCCCTCTGTCATCGACTACGCAAAGGTTCGGAAAGTGTTAATGTCTTTCTGCATTGCTTTCACCATATCATTTAGTTATAATATTATAATAGGTAAGAGCTTCACTTAAATTTTATAAAAGAAACGTCCATGGAAAAGTTAAGAGAAAAAATTGTTTTACTTACTGGTTATTTTGAGCTTTTACCTGAATTAAAATACTTAAGGCACGTAACTAATCTGATTATTTTCTCACTAATTATGTTTCTATGTAGGATAAAATAAAATTAGCAACTCCTAAAGATTCCTCTCAAAAAGGTTAATTTCCACAGCTTTCTTACATATTTCTTTGCTTGAATTCTTTTTAGGCTGTCACTTATCTCTACTTTTTAGTCAAAACGTTTATGCTGTATGCACAGAATTGAAGGCGCACAACTTCATATGCGATGTGAGGGTCGGTCTCCCTCCTAACCCCGTGCCGAGCTTAGTTAATGCTTTGCTGATAGAGGCCGGACTGTTTGCACATCTCGCTTATACCGTTATACAACCGCTACGCCGACGCTTATTATTTTGTCATGCGCCTATCGGAAACTTTGTAACAGTCACAGCCTGCAAGATGCACTTAAAATAATAAAGTTCATACGGTTTGCCAGATGATTTGCAGGACTTCTTAGTTACTAAGTTCTACTTGAGACACTATTAAAAAGTTGTAGTACTGTAAAAATTTCCACTCGTCAGTATTTACAACTTCTTTTCCTTTACAAGTTTAGTAAACACTACTGTTTAAGTAGTGAATGTAGAAACGATCTTAGTCGCGACTTTAAATTAAAATCGAACACAAGCTTTAAATAAAGATATTGAACAGAAGCAGCTTAAATCCACCTCGTTGAAAAGTTTTGTGCGGTGAGAAACTAATAAAAAGCTTTTCAATATTTTTATAAGTAACTTTTAAATAATTTTTAAGAGAATACTGAAGCTTAAAGTTAAAGCAAGTAAAACAATAAACTAATTACCCAAAGCAAAAAATATGTTAACTAGTGACAATAATAACCATCGTGCAATCTTTTATAAGCCGAATAACTCATAAACATATAACACCACCATTAAATATGATGAAGCCGACTATCGTAAGCTCTCTACGCGCCGCCAGGTGGGATGGAGGGGCAATCCCGGTGTTGTCTGGGGCCATAAATTTTCTAGAGTTTTCATGTAAACATTCTTAACGAAGGGGAAATTTACAAAAATTGTCGCTTTTGCACTTAGCCTATATACTGTATTTCGATAGCATTAAGAGGTTGTCAAAGTCCTTAGATGTCAATGACTGCTAAAGTGCACACGCCAACAGTTATAGGATGCGTGCGCAACTTAAAACAGGGTCTTCCATAAACTCTCCCCGGCTAATTAACTTATCCTACCGACAAAAAACCCTTCAAGGAATGTACCTAAAAATTAAAACGAAATTTCCAGGACGAAATAACATTTATAACTGCTTAATATACCTTATATAAATATTTATTATGGACACCCAATGAAAAGCTAGAAAATTATTTTATTATATAAAAAGCAGCAGCTTTGAAATGAAAAGTTCGCTGACGTACACTTAAACATTTTGAAATAACTTATAACCCGGAAAAATACTTAATTCTAATATATAAAAAAACTTAAGTTGGGCAGAATTCGTTTTAGAATACTTTTATTTACCACCCCCTTGTAGAAAATTTAATAAAAAACCTCATAATTAATATCTACTTAAAAAAAGGTAAAAATCTGTTAATGTCAAACTAAAGTAATAATAAGTCGAGCCAAGTGAAGTTTATAACAGATTAAGTTAACAAATATTGTTTGAGATCTCCAATCATAGGGATAAACTATTGACCTCGCTGAAAGTTCTGAAGATAAAAAAACTCTAAAATTTATAACAAATTACGCGAAGGAGGAGAAATTAGAATTATCCCATCTCCTCTAACGAAAAGCATTTCAAGTTGTCTTTTAACGGTCTGACAAAAGAAAATTATTAGTAACTTTAATAGTAATAACTCGTGTAGAAAAAAATATATTTTATTTTGAACCTTAACGATTTCCTCGTAGGTTTCCTCATCTATTTCGATGGAAGTTACAGTTTCTTCTACTTGACTGATTAGTATATTTAAATGTGAATCAAAAGCCTAATAAATATTGAAAAATATAATAATATGAAAGACAATATTATAAGGCGAAAAAAAAATAAATATTACATGCAATTTTCCGGTAAGTTCGCGATTACCTTTCATTTTTACGTAAATCCGTTCGTCAAGTGATAGTCTTACTAAGTCCCAAGGTTCCTCAACGTTGCCACCTTCCATTATCACTTGTACTCTTTGGAACTTAATAATAAAGAAAAAAGTTATAATTTAGATTGCTTTCAACGTCAATCAGCTATGGCTAAAAAAATGGGTAAAGTATTTCTAATATTAAAGTACCGCACAATTATTTTGTATTTAACAATGAACATTATAAGAGTTTATAATAGTCATGCAATACTTACAGCTCTTTATACTGTTTAAAAGGTTTGACGGAGTTTGCCAGAAATTGTTAAAAACGAGGTCAAACATGCAGTCAGTAATACAAATAGAAACATTCTCGTGAGCGGGAGAGAAGGTCCTTACTTTTACTTTTTAACTGCGGAGACAACATCACCAGACGGTGTGAAAAGCTACAGTTGAAAACGAGATTTTTAATAGATTTTAAAAAACAGTCGAAAAGAACATTGATTATAACAATTCTTTTCCCTTTTTCAAAGTTATGCATCCACATAGAAGTTTAAAAATAGTTCTTTAGTAAAAAAAACTAAATGAGTTAATTTAAAACAAAGACATTTAGAGGAATATTTAGTGCTATATTGCCACAATTAGAACCAGCAGAATTAATATAAAAGCCGAGTTAATATTTATACTTATAAATAAAAATTTACACTTACTATTTTAAAAAAAATTTCGGCAAGGCAATATTTTTAAGGTGTTACTAATATAAATTATAATTATTATGGCTAAGTAAATTGAAAAGGTTAAGGTTATCATGTGTTTTGGTCTTCTATACTTATGAAGATTATGAAAGTTAGGTATCGACTTCCTTATATCCATTGTTAGCTAATCGAACGTTTTTACCTCAAGGTGATCTTTTATATCCATCTTTATTAGTACCTAGGCAATCGTCTCTATTAAGTAATTAACGCTTCCTAATGAAGAATACTATACTGGACTAATAATGCCTTAATTTTTTTACGAGTTTTTACTAACTGAGGTCTTCAGAAAACCTTAAAGAGATAGGATTTTTTACCGCTCTATCGGAGCCCGAACTTACTTTATCGGTCTGTGCGATCTCAATAGCTTAAACTACGGCGATCTAAGCTTACTTCTTACGGTTTAAAAATTCTTCTAAAGCAACAGTGCAGAATTTGTTACTCTATCATCCATTGAAGAGTATGGTAGCAAACCAATAAATCCACTGTCTACTGGCGTGCTGGGGTAGGTCAATTGGCGTAATGTTACTAGCCTTGCATCCACCTATCTTTTGAGTTATCGTCTGAGCAGTGAGCATTCTTTTCGAATTTAATTCTAGATCCTCTTAGGACTGAACAATAGTACTTGTCCGAACAAGATCAGGCCTATAGTGGTGGTCAGTAGTTCTACCTTACAGGACTTCTTTAAAGTGCCCTAAACAAGGCTCTCTTCAATGCTTGTAATCGAGATGAACCATTGCTCAGGTGATTTACTAGCTAAATGTAGTGATTAATAGATATGGCGCAGGTTAGAACCTTCTATGGTATTTTTATTAAAGCATTTAAGTAAGCTCTACCACAAAGGGATGATGAACACTCGCCATGAAATATGACCAAGGTGGCCGTGCCTTAAAGCTATGCCCATAGATGTTTGTAACAAGAGAATTGAAAGTTGCTGTCAGCACAGGTCGTAAAGTCTGATTTTAAAGAGTCTAAACCGGCTGAATAAAGTATCACCCGCAAAAGTTCTATCTTTAACTGAACAAATCGTGCTACCCTTCTGGGGGTGTCTGTCTTGGTCATACATGGTGATATTGTATCAAACTTTTTGTGTAAAGAAGTGTATAAAACAAGTATATTAAAATAAAGGATACATTTTTTTTGATCAGTTTCGGTCTCTATTTATACCTTTACAAAAGGTTGAAATACGCTTCCATATATGACAATAAATTAATTGAACCGGGTAGAATTTTACTTTGTTTAGTTTGTATCCAATTAATAAGATAGGTCAACTTTAATTTTTTGTTGAATTCAATCTCTTTTCTTGTATTTTATTGGTTGTTTCTCAGGTTTCTGATTGGATCCATCACCGATTTTTTTGTGAAATTTGGAGTAGTTTTGTGTTTCAGTTTTGTTTCCTTTTGTGTTTGTGTTTTATGGTTGTGTACTTCATACTTAATGTATTATATAAATAATATGTTTTTTATAATTTAAGTATTTTTTTGTTTTTCTATTTGTGTTTGTTTTTTCATGTTTTTATAAATTGCTTTGTGTCTTATATGTTGTGTATACTAAGTTATTGTGTTATATTGTCATGTTGGAGAACTACGCAAATGTTAGCCTGTGTACTTATACTATTAATAACATACTAGAGTATTGCCTACTCTTTGGTTGAAGAACTTTTACCTTGATCTGGTAGATAGCGTAGCCTCAGTGGAATCTTGGGTTAAGTTTCCCGTTTACGGAGACTGATATTAACAGTAGCAAAAGAAAGCTATGGTCATGTCAGTGCAATGTAATGAGTGAAATATTATAGTTACAAAAAGATGCACATATTTAATCCGAGTTTTAAAGCTCAACGTGGGGATGCTCCCACGAGAGGGGTATGTAAGAGTGAAGAGAGGCAGCAAAGTTTTAAGAGAAATGTGCGTAAAATGGGCAGCTCGAATTGTCCGTTTTTTAAACATTGCTATACCGTTATGCTAGGCTTTTTACGGTCTCTCACTGCGTTTTTGCCAAATCAACAACTTATTCTGTATTCCCTTCCCCCATGACATTAGTCAAAAAAGTTCTCTTTATTTTTACAATAAAGACAACTCTGTTTAATAAAAACCAAGGCCTAAGATTGTTAATAATTGCATTAAAGTGCGCGCTTCAAAGACGTTATTTTAAACATAAAAAGTATTTTTACAAAAAGCCATTCTGAAAATTGCAAGGTAGATTATAAGGTAGATTATAGAGAATATTTTTTTAAAGTATATTTGTTAATTAAGTGCGAATATGCATTTTAAATATAAACTTTTTGTTATTAATTCATTTTCCATTGGGTATAGGTAACAAGATAATTAGGAGTTAACCTATGTTCTTTCGGCACAATTAGGAGGAAAAACCTGCCTTTAAATTAGCGTCTCGGTTTACTTAAAGACTTATTAAAGTGGGCGGCGTTGGGAGGCATACTCTTCGCGAAAGGTCAGAAGACCTAGTAGCAGCCGGAGAAGTTTCTCATTAAATTATCAGCTAAAAGGGACAATGTACGGCGCCTAATCTAAAATACGGATTAGCATTGGTTTTATTACTTAGATTAAGCAGGTTATACTCAAAAATATAAGGTATCCTGAAAAAGTCATTACAATATAATATATCAATAATTGGTTATATAACAAAATTAGCGCTTAGACATATCTTAAAAAATAGACTGCAAGATGTCCAGAAATGTTCAATAGATAACAATAAATCTAGCTTATGTTAAGGAATTCAAGTAGAGCTAATATACTTTCTTTAATCGGTTCACCACGAAGCTACTATTAACATTTACCTTAACCCTTCGTTAGTGTGTAGAAAATAGAGACACCGTTATTTTTGTGGGATATCAGTGATAGTTAATTTTGCAAATAATTTTCTCAATTATTTGGAATAAGTTTTCTACTTGTGCTATGGAAAAATAGGAATTATTGCTTTAAAGCTAAAGCATTTTGACTAATTACAAGAACCCCAAAAATGAGATATTCCATGCCCCACAACACTAAAGAAGGGTTAATAATAATAATAATGTACTTCTTTTTCTAGTCATACCAATAATAAAATTTGTTTAAACTTTGCGGATTTTCCACAACTTTATATTATAAATTTAAAATAACATAAAACATAAAAAATTAAGGGCTTCTTACACGTGCACTGAAACCTGCTTGGGGTCCAGTCGAGACGTGTTCAACGACAAAACATTTAGTTTTGACTTCATCTACACACTAATTATCTAACTATTTACTCGGCTTGGCGATATATCTGAACTTTTATCAACTTTATATAATTTACTATTTTAGTTGGTATAATGTTTGGAGTTTGCCACCAGTATCTTTCATCTTCTGTTATTGAAATAGCGCTAGAAGGTAAGAATTGACTATTAAATATGCAATTTTTTATTCTAGACAACCTATATAAATCCCAAGGATATTTTTGTTCATATGAAAGCAAGGAAATTTGCGTTGCCCGTAACGATGTTCTTGAGATCTATCGACTTATTACTTCAACAAATTCATCTAAACGAGAAAGCAGTAAAAGTAAACTAAGACATCATAATGTCACAACTCATAATAAAGGTTACCCCAAAATCACTTTGTACATGCACATATTAACTTTTTTTAATATATTGTTATCCAGTTAGGGTTAACCACAACGAAGCAGCTCGCCTGGAACTTGTATACTCTCAGCGCTTACATGGAAATATTGAATCGTTGGCAAAGGCTTCTAATCCCGGAAATTTGGATTCTATAATTCTTGCCTTTGGAGATTATAAAGTTTATTGATTTTTAAATTAAAGTTCTATTACAAGTATTAAATAAAATATTTGTTAAGGTTTCTGTTATTCACTTTGAGATGTCCACTTATTCATTTGGTACTAAATCAATGCATTGGTTCGAGGATGACGAAATTAAAGTTGTTTTAAATTATTGTTACTTTTTACTATTTTTATTTTTAGGTTTTTATTTTCTAGGATGGGCTTGTTTCTCGACATTCTCGGCCCATTGTAAAAGTAGATTCTTTAAGCCGTTGTGCTGCAGTGCTTTGTTATAACCGCTGCTTAGCTATTTTACCGTTAACAAGATTGGACGAAATGAATAATTCTTCTCCGTATTTTATTTATAATTCTTATACATATTTTTAAAAATTTTAAAAATAATTTATTTCTTTATAAAGGACAATTAGTAATTTACGGTCCTTTATTGTATATCCTTCCTATGAAGTAAACGGTGCACTTCATAAGATCAACAACATTCGAGACATTGAATTTCTTGAAGCTTATTTTCATCCGACTCTCGCCATTTTATACGAAGAAGAAGGCAATTTTAATTACTCTATAAATTTCTTTTGGAAGTCAATGATTATTACTATAGAAACGTGGGCTGGTCGGTTGGCTGTTAAGGAAGATACATATTCTGTCATTGGTAATTTTTTTTTATGCAATTACTTATAGCGATTTAATTATTCTATTATATTGACTGCTCAGCAATTGCAGTTCAGAGTGAAGATGCGAAGAGTTTGGCTTTTCGGGTCAACAATTTGCCTTTTGATTGTCTTCGTTTACAGGCAGTTCCTCAGCCTCGAGGTCGTGCCTTTTTTTTTTTCCATTCATATTTCATTTGTTTTGGATTAATAATAGGAGGCGTTCTTGTGTATACTGCTAATGCCTTGTTGTATTTAAATCAGAATATCACCCCTTATGGTTTTTTTTCCACCCATAAAATAAATACTCTGAAAGATTATAATTTTTTTAAATTCTCTCGAGGCATCTCCTTGAACAGCCTAGCGGAACGGTCAACCCGATTTCCTCTGGAACCGCTTCCGTCCGTCGTGGCCACGCTGGAGGAGAGCGTTAGCTTGTTCCTCAACGCCGATGTTTTTTTGATTTCACTCAAAAGTGGAGACATGTGCTTATTATAGAAATTTTCTTCGAAATAGTTTATTTTTTAGTCTAAATTTATATAATTTCTATAGACTTTTGGCGGTTATGACGAGTGACAGTGGCAAGAGCGTCCCTCGCTTCGAGATGAGGAGGACTATTTCTAGCGTGATTCCCAGTTGTGTATGTCCGATCCTAGAAACTATTCCAACGGGTTAAAGTTTGGGTTGCAGATCTGCTCGGTTGGCCACAATCACATATTTTTGGGTTCGCGCGTGGGAGATTCTCTGCTTATTTCCTACGAGAGTGTTGTACACGAGCTGGTTGCGTTGGGCGCTCAAAATAACAAAACGGTTCCTTTATTTTTTTATAATTATTTTTTTAAAAATTAAAATTGCACATTTTTCCTGCAGGACTCTGAGGAAAAAGGTCAGTTTTGTGAGGCGGAGGAACAGGAAGATGAATTGCTTGTCTTTGAAACTGACGATCAGGACTTATTCCATCGCATTTCTTATAACTTCAAAGTTTTTTTTTGGTGTATAAGCTTTTGTTCGTTTCTTAACTACTGCTCGGCAGGTTTGCGATAGTATAATAAATATCGGCCCGGTTGTCGGCCTAGATGTCGGAGAGCCGGAGTTTCTTTCAGAGGAAGTGATGATTTATTATTATTACTGTTGTTATTTTACTCATGCTGCGATGTAGTTTGCAGATCCTGAAAAGTTAGCCTTGGAGCTTGTCACGTGCTCGGGCTACGGCAAAAACGGCTGTCTGTGCGTCTTGCAAGAAGGCGTCCGCCCAATTGTTTTAATGTCCCATAACTACTCTGCGGTTGGTGCTCCGTCTCTTTCCTGTCCGTTCCGTCGTATCCACGTTTTTTTTATTTTTTGAAGGGCACTTCCTTGTGGGCGGAGCGACTGTGGGCCATTTACGACCCTCAAAAATCTTCAGCACAGCATGACTTTCTTTTTCTATCGAAACCAGACTCCACGATGGTTTACTAGCTTTGCCCTCCATCTCATTAGTAGCTTATTAATTGGCGCGTAGCTTATCTCTACCGCCGAGTCCGACTTTAGTGAAGCCGAGAAGACTTTCTTTGTGACCCAGGAATCCACCATTCACGTGTGTAACATGCTGAATGGCGCTGTAGTAGTGCAGGTTTTCAAGACCGGCCTACTAATCTACGATGGAGGTTTTCGTCTCTCGCCTTTTCGTTTGCGCTGGAGCATCTCTTTTTTTTCTACTAGAGACGTGCAATACCGTGCGCGTAGGAGGAGGAGGCATTGCTCGCTCTTGCAATAGTGAAACTTTTCTTGCTCTCGCGTTGGACAACGCCCATCTTCTTCTTTTTGAGATTAACGAAAACACCAAAATGTTAAATCCGCTCCCTTCCGAGGAACACTCAGTATATCGTGTTCAAGTTATTCGATTTTTTTTTTTAGCTTTTTTTTTAATAAAGTCGCCTGCCGTGACAAGCATGGCTCTCTTTACAGACAATGGCAACCTCGGCAGAGCAAAAGAGTACGGCCTTTTTATTTCTACGCTTCTTATCTTCGTCACTCATATTATTTGTTAACAGCGGCGAATTGGGCGTAAAGAGGGCCTGCTTTCATCAAAAAGAGGCTCACCCAATAATTTGGCATTAGTTTTATATGTCTCCTTAACTGTTATTGTTTTAAAGGAAAACGACTCGGATGATGAATTTCTATACGGCACTGCTGACGAGGAATTGCCCGATAGCAAAGAGTTTGAAGGAAAAAACCAGCAAGGCGATGTAGTTCATTGTTTTTTTCAAGGAACTTTTCGCCTTGACACAGTGTCCCCTAGGAGCCCACTCCCGTGAAAACCTACTTGTTCCTAGTTAGACTCAACGGAGACTTGGAGGTTTCCTTAAAACTTTTGAACCGTCTGTCATAAAGCTCACCTATTGGTTTCCCAGATTCGACTGTTGCCCGAAGGCTCTCTATGCTTCCTTGTCAGGGGCATGGCGCATGGCCCGCGTGTTCTTGTCGGCACGTAAGTTTAGTGTCATGTGTGCCTTCCGCATAGCTAATCGGGTTTTCACATTAGGGGAGCTTCCGATCACGAGGAGGCCTCGTGCTTTCGAAGGTGGAAGATCGATCCGAATCCACCCGTCATTACTGAACTGCTCGTAGTCTCTTTCGAGTGTCTTCATGGCGATATTGTTCTGCTAGTGCGCTCTACTCTTCTTTATATTAAGTAAATTCGTGCTTCTAGCGAATCCTTTTTTTCTACAGGCCATTACTCATTCGGGGGACCTTTTTGTCTACCGCTCGTATTCTTTTACTGAAACTGCCACCGAGTTTGACTGTCTTCCACTTCGGTTTCGGCGCATTGAACACGAAGTTACGTTAAGAAAAATGGACAACTACGAAGACGAATTTGCTTCATTGTTTGTACATCAGTTAGTACACTATAATCGCGACTTTTTATTTGTTCTTTCGGGGTTGTAAGAAAAAGGCACAAAGAAAAAGAATACGCTATTTGTGAGCTCAACGGTAAACCATCTGCCGCAGAGAGCACTGTACCAATCGCTACGGCTGCTGTAAAGGTTTGATTGGGCGATGAGTGGTGTGTGACTGTGCTCATTGGCCCAAGCTAGAGAACACCATGACCGTTTTTAATAACCTTGGCCCATACAGCGGCGTGGTGGTTACAGGCCCGGTCTCCTACTGGTAGGCTATCCAGATTCACGTGTTTGCTGCCCCGTCTTAGTTTTCTTTTCCAGGATTATGTTTTCTTCAAGTGGCCTCCATTTCCACCCGCTTTACGTCGAAAAAGGAATGAAGTGCATTACCTTTTTTAGGAATGCGGGCTGCCCTAACGGCTTTATTTACTTTACTGGCGAAGTATGTTTGTTGCACATATTTTACTTTAACAATGCACGTGTTTTTTGACTAGAATGCCATGCGACTGGCCCAACTGCCGTCGAATGTACAGTTCAACGCTCGATGGCCGCTGAGGAAAGTAATATTGAGAACCACACCGCACTTTTTGGCGTATCATCCACCCAGTAAGGTCCTTTCTTTCTTGTTTTAACATATCCGCAGAGGCTCGTAAAAAACTGTGACAGACTTTTGTAGTCGCAGTATCTTCGGAACAGCCCAACAAGTATAAAGCTCGTGCCGTTAACGATACCACCGAGCCGCTGGAGTTGGCGCAGGAAGGTTTGTTTTTCTGAACTTTGCTGGAAAAACTTATTGTTCAGCTTTGGATATGTTAGATGCGAGATTCGTTTACCCGCTCGAACATCGATTCGAGGTCCTCCTTTTAACCCCCGCCACTTGGGAAATCATCGACAGGTATGCCTACGGGGGTTAGTGGAGTTCCTTACTTATGTTGCGCACGGCCGTAAGGTTTGCGCTTGAGGAGTTTGAGCACATTTCCGCCTTAAAAGTTGTGAGTCTGAACAGTGAAGAGGGTATTTGTTATTATTGACTATGCGTTTTTTCACGGCGTCACTTTTTATATTTCCACCAGTGATTGAGGGGAAAAAATCATTTATTGCCGTGTCGACGATCGTGTCCCAGGGCGAGGACGTCACTTGCAAGGGCAAGGTGCCTCCCAGTACACTTTCTCGCTCACTCTGTATTTTGATTGGAAGGCTCTCAGGTTCATCTCTTTGATATCGTGGAAGTCGTACCGGAGCCCGGCCGGCCGCACACAACCCGTAAGCTGAAACTCGTATACTCCAAAGAACAAAGAGGTTATTATTATTATGATGCTGCTCGAAGGCTGCTGGCTGAACTATTTTGTTAAGGGCCAGTCACGTCGTTGTCGGCCGTGTCTGGTCATCTCTTATCAGCAATTGGTCAGAAGATATTCGCTTGGGCTTTTGTGAACGGAGAGCTCATTGGTCCCTTTACATTTCTGTTTACTTATACTTTTTATATATATTATTTTTTATGTCTTGCAGGAAAGGCCTTTATAGACTCGGACATCTACATCCATCGACTGGAGAGCGTGAAGGAGTTTGTTTTGAGCGCGGACATCCGTTCCGGCATTAGCCTGTTACGTTATCAAGTAAAATTTTGGTCTTCGTTTCATTGCATTTACGATTCATTTTTTTTATCAGGAAAGCCAAAAGACCATGTCGCTTGTCTCGCGGGACTATGACTTGGCCGATGCGTGCGCCGTTTCTTTTGTGGTGGACGACTTCACGCTAGCCTTTATGGTGGCCCACTGCTCGTCCCATTGAAGTACTAGCTATGAGCCCCTTTTTTATAGGTCGCTGACTTGGACGGAAACATTTACGTCTTGTGCTTCGCCCCTGAAGGTCCGACTTACTAGCGCTAACCCTTGGGGGCATTGATTATCCCTTGCGCCCTCTCCGTTACTATAGACCTCGCCAGCCTTGGCGGTACCCGGCTGACGAAGCGGGCAGACTTCAGGATTGGTTCTTGTGTGAACACGTTTCTTCGCGTGGGTTAGCCTGTTTGCGTGCAAGCGGCTGCCGGTGTGCTAGTCACTCTCTTGCGATAAGCATCTCAGAGTCTTCCTGGCGAAACGTTTTCTAGAGTCAGACACTTTAATATCTTCGGGACGTCCTCGGGTGCTCCATTTGCTACTGCAGGCTTAGTGTACTTTTTTTAAACTTGCGTACGTGTACAAATGCAGGCGAAATCGGCTTTTTTCTGCCACTCGACGAGAAGCAGTTCAGGAGACTTGCAATGCTGCAGTCCAAAATGGTGCATCTGCCCGGTAGAGGGGATCATGATTGGCCATGACTGGCCATAATATTTTTTAGACCACTCAGCTTCAACACGTGGCGGGGTTAAATCCTCGTGCTTATAGGATGGTTCAGCCCAACTTTGGCAGCCGCGTAACGCAGCCCTCCAAGAATATTCTCGATGCTGGTTGGGTCGCTTTTTATTCTTGAGTGTCTCTCTCTATTAAAGATGCGATAAAGGGCTCCTGTATCGCTTCATATCGCTGCCCATTACCGAACGCCGAGTCCTGGCTGCGCAGGTCAACCAGTACTTTGCAATTTCTAGCGGTGCACAACTATTTGTCGCAGATTGGAAGCACCGAAGCCAGCATTCTTCAGGATCTCCAGGAAATTAAGCGCTCCGTCGCAGTGTTTTAGTGCAGCCACACTCACTATATTCATTTTTATAATAAAGCCTGCACTGCCTTCATCGCGGGGGCTTATACAATAACAGCAGACGAAAGTGGATTTTAGTTTTATTTATACATATTTCAGTCGTCATCTGTTTCAGGGCGCGGAAGGTCATTGAGGTCCTGATTGGACCAAAAGTTAAATAAGTTTATCCAATGAGCAGCACGCCCACGTCGGGCCATAGTATACCGGCTCGGGCCCATTAAATATTGCGTGCGGGTAATTAAGACCTTTGCGTTAAAAAAAGTATACATTTTCACATGCAATAACACGTGAAGTGTCCTAACATGGAAACTTACTTTCAGTCAGCGCTACAAGATCCTCGAAGTCCAGTTCAGGCGCCTATCGTTCACGTGGTAGTTTGTACACATCATTATTTCTATGCAGTACACTACCGGTAGCTCCCCGAAGGCATCGTCGTCTGGCGGCTCGCCTAAGGTAGTGCCCTTACCGTTTATAGCCAATGGTGTGTCACATGGTGACCTCAACCTTCGCTTGGGGCAGAGGCAATTGATAGTCTTTCCAGCGTGAAGCTGCTGATCGCTTCCAAGTCGGGAGGCTGCAAGTACAGCAAGCAAACTTAACAAAAAAAATTAAATCAAAGCGGAATTGGCTTGAAGCTCACCGGGATGTCTATACTTCCTAGCGAAGGGGAAGGAGTAACACTGGGCGCTACATAGAAACAAATTTGGTAATGTAGTTAAGTTCATAATACTGGCAACCTCGTGCTGAGCTGCCTATCTCGTTGTCGTCTCGATCTGCTTCTCCTTTTCTAGACATTTTTTTAAAATTCTGCGTGTTTGTTTTATTAAAGTGTTTATATTGAAATACTTTGTGTCGCCGGTTTTCGAGCGAGATTGGCATTTGTTAATAGTTGCATCTTATATAAAGTAATTTATGATAAAAAAAATAAGAGCTAAATTTTAAGTCAAGTATGTGATAAGTGCACTAATTAAAATGAAGTAGTGCATTATTTAGGTTTGCCACTTATTAATAAGTATGCTTCGTAACGTCAACTACTGTACAGTTTTACCTTCTTTGTTATCGTCTTTTCTTTCTTCCTTTTCTCGGAAAAGTAATTTATTACAGGAATCAAAAATTTATAAAATTATAAAACCCGGAAGTTGAGGGAGTCCAGTGGAACGTGCGTTTTGCGTGTGTTTGCTACTATAAGTCTTTTACTACATATTGAAGAATGACGTACCAACCTTTGTATAAGTATCGCATAATTCTGTTTATTACTTGGTTGGCGTTTTATCGAAATTTTCAAGGTTTATATTATTCAAAACTTTTATATCAATGGGAGAAAAACTATTAGATTCAAAGAGAAATGTAAATACAAAATTATTATATAAGGTGGATGGTTTACTCCAAGTTAGACAAATTTTCAACTCGAACTTCCTTGGTTGCGGGTTGAGCATGTCCTAAATCTTTTAAAGAATTTATTTTTTGGGTATTATTTAGCAGTTTTAAAATTACCTTCACGAGAAGTTAAATATTTACTCAGAGGTACTTCTTTTAGGTAGATCTGTCTGGCCTTTATATTCTATCGGCAAACAAGTTATTTAAGCTATTAATTATTTACTCCCGTTTTAGAGTTATATTTAAATGGATGTATCTTTATACTAACATTTATAAGATTCATAGAGTTGCGCTCAAATATTTCAACTTTTTTTTCTTTTTCGGATAAAAGGCTGCCAAAGCACTCTAATATTTCTATAAAAGCCTGGCTAGTGCTATCTATCGAAGATCTAATCACAAGTTTAAAAAATATAAAAGAAAAGTAACAGAAAGTGATTAATTATAATAATCCACTTTAATTCATTATGAAGCAATTTTATATTTTCCTCTGGGGAGCTTGAGTTCGATAGTTTCTTCAAATAAGTTTTAGATATATTTTTCAACCGCATCGAATCTTTTGACAAGTCCTAGGTTTCATTAACTATTTAACGTCATCTAATGGTTTTATTTATTAACCTCTATAATAGAGAGACACCTAGCCGAGGAGTCTTCGCTCTCGGTCATTGCATAGAACTGTAGAAGTAAAGTAACTTACAAATAATATGCGCAAGTCTATATTATTAAAGTTCCTCCGACCAACTCGTACAGGAACAGCTCATCACTCGCAACGGTCCACTAGCAGATAAGTCATACTTTAATTGTGTTGTTCATAGATAGGGACACTGTTCCAATATAAAGAGAGCAAAAAACTTAAAGTTTTCCTTAGCAATTATAATTTTATATAAGTTCACAAAAAATATTTGCGATATCAGAATATATCGGGTTACTTGTTCAACCCTTAAGACTTGGATTAAGACTTAAATGTTTAACTATATGCTCCATTAAGGTTGGGACCTGTAAATTTTATTGTCAGTAACGCCTTTTCATCCAAAGATCTAATTTATAATTAACTAATTTTTTCTAAAATTATAAATTAAAATTGTATGTTGAAGTGTTTTTATTATAACTGTCCTGCAGACTATTAGCTCGTATCCTTTAACCTCCTATACTAGAGCTAATGTCTCCCTTGATAGAAGTTACTTTCAAATACCTTAAAAAATGTATTCTTGCGCCTTCCAAAAAAGGGATTATTTTTTAGGGTTAGGTGGGAAAGCTAACAAATTTGGATATATAAATTTGGCTAGTGACCGAGACCAGGCGTTTGGGGAGCTCCGAGACATATTAATTTAAAGATCTATAGGGCCTAAAAAACCTTTCAGTCATGACAGATGGCGCAACCAAAATTAAGGATCCTTCATTTTTATTTTAATTAATTCCGACAGCGTAAAGCTTTGGGATCTACCCAGAATTTTTATCTAATATGTTATTTTAAGGCGACTAGGCTGGTCGGTGGCACCAGTTTATAATAGTTTACTATGTATAGATAGAAGCCCCTGCAGCTTTGATACTGTTCTCAAATTTCTACTTTATATCCGACATAATTTTTATTGATTAAATTTATCCTTTTTATGAAACTACATTTATATTATAGTTTATTCTTTCATACTCTTACCAGGAACTTCAAAATAGTTGCAGTACCTTACGCATATAATAAAATTTTTTTAATGATAGTTTCTAAGAGCTCAGCACTTGTTAAATTAAAAGCAAGTTTTAAATGATTCAGTTTGTTGTAGTACAAAGCCTCAACCGATAATAACTCCTGGGCTATCAATCCTTTTTAAACGTTATTCATACATTATTATATTAATTCAGGTCAGAGGCTCTACCCATTAGAGAGATGTCTTTTTTTAACGTATTTATTCCGCTCTGAACCCTATGTCAAGAAGCTGGACCGGTATGTATCATAATTTTGATGAGCCAGACTGGTGCCATTAGCACCTTAAATTTTCTGCAAGCAGAGGGAATATACCTTAAGTGCAAGAGCCCTTATAAGTCTAAGTGTAGTATACTAGTGCAAAAAAGAAGCGAAAGCATGAAGCAGGCATCTTCTGGCGGAGCGCAGGTAGTCGAGAAGTCTGGCTGGGATCTTGTCAAACAGAGTAAAAAAGTCCATAATAACTATTGGAACACACTATCGCTGGTTGTAAATACCCTTTATTATTCTTATCTAATCTCGGGTAGAGCGCACGAGCGAAAAACATTTCACCCCGTCCGATCCGAGATTTCAAAGTTACAGGGCCTGGTTAGTACTAAGATTGAGTGGGTGAACACGGAGGTTACCACGTACTGCGCTATCATCTAGGAGAATTTGGGTATGCAAACTATGAATGACGAAAAAGATTCGCGATTATTATTTCTCGCTGAGAAAGTTCGAGTTTTCGAAGTTATTATCTCGATTGAGCATCAGAAGAAGTCATTTTTAAGTAAATAAATAATTAAATTTGGCCCTCAACGATTAATGTCAGGCTTATTTGAGAACTAGTGCGCCCGAGCCTTGTTACACTAAAATTTCTTACTGTAGTGATTTAATATACAGCCATATGGAGTCGGTCTCTACTATTCTCTTAAGTTTGCTTTTTCATCTCATCTCCATTTCGTTATTTTCATGGAATTCTTACTTTATTTCTGGTCTTAAAGAGTTTAAGTTATGACCCCGCCTCATTAAAATGGAATGATTACCACACACAAAATGAAGAAGAAAAGTATTGCTACTGTGGCAAGCCTCGAACCTTGTTTAAACTATCCTTATATTGTGAAACTTGCAATAATTGGGTTTAAATTATTTATAGTTTTAATAGTTTTACATTCTATTTTACTTTAGCAAGTAGTTTCATAAGGAATGTCTCTCCATAGAACTAGCGGATATGCTCCCGTTTACTTTAAACTATAAATTTTACTGCTTAAACTGCAGTACTCATAATTACACAGAGATCTTGACGCGCGTATGATGATATTGATATTCTGTATTAATAAATAAGTGGTTTTTACCAGACTAAAGCCTCTTGGCGTTGCATTATGCTTACCACTTTTCACAATCTTTTTCTTGAACTGCGTGAACAGTTTCCTGATACTACTTCAGTGAAAGGCTTTGTAATAAAGGATCAATGCCATTTTATTGCAAGGTATGCTTATTATTGTATTTTGTCACTACTTTGAAGGCTATAAAAATTTCTAGTTTCCAAATTTTCTTTGATCATTTCAGCTGCAAATAAGTTTTGTATATTACGTTATTAAATTATATGTACTCAGAAATTTTAAACTATAATTTATATATATATATATATCACCTTTATTTCAACTAAGCCGCGTTCTTATTAGTTCTTTGATTATATTTACTTAAAGTTAAGCCCGTGTTATACTTAAATATAGTTTTAAACAGAAACTGGGAGCGTCTTTGTCATGGGCGCGTTCGAAACGACGCCAACTTAATTGCCTCTATATGCACTGCTTTCAGCATACATAATAAACTTTTTCCTTATAGAGTTCTGTTTATAATTTAATTATTGTTATTTCTTTTGTTTAAAAGCAACTTACTTTTATAGTTGTACGAAGGGAAAAAATTTTATTACTTTGTTGGTAATCCCCTTGATTGGAAGCCTAATGCGGTTAATATAACAGCCGACTATTGTAGAACTTTAAATATATATTTGTATTTTTTTTTAACTCCTTTTTTTTCAGTTTCAAAAGCGGATCTTGTAGAATTTTTCAACGTTCCTTTTTCAACTGAACTTTCCTGTAGAAACATAGAAAACTCCTCATGTCGGCCAGGAAAAACTACCGAAGAACCCGTGCGAGCAAAAAAAGAAAAGACTATTATTCGCCACGGAAAGAAGCAGATTCTTGCCAATCAAGAAAAAAGCTGCAGAGGAAAAGCAAGCTCCAACGGGTCTCCTCTTCGTGGCCTTTGGGTTAACAATTCGGTTTCGGTTAAAGAAGAGTTTAATGAAGAGACAGCAGTGGGGTAGCAACTGCGCCTTTTTTTATATTTTTGAATTTTTTTTTACATTTCTTTCAGCTGTGCTCGCGCTCCTTACGCCTGCAGCACAACAGCAAGGAGGCCGCGCGTCGATCAGGAGCACGTCTACAACCGCAACGGCTACAGATACATCGATGTGGAAGTAATGAACTCTACGTTAAAAATAATTATGAAAGCGTTTAGGATTTATATTATACTTTTTATGCTCTTTACTCCACTCTTGTATAATAGTTTTAAATTTTATAAGGATTTTAAACTTTAGTTTTTTTATACTCACGAAGTCTAATATTATTTGATCTCAATACTTTATGTGAGTGCAGCCAGATCCTTTTGCAAGGGAAGTGGATTGTTTTCGACGAGCTCAGTATGACGAACTCAATGTGCTGCTATCTATTAAAGTTTTTTCATTAATATTTTCTTAAACTGCAACGAAGTTATATATATTTATATGTTATTTAATATCAGGACTGTGCCCCTCAACTGAAAATTCAGTCTGACTACTTGACCATAGAAGGTCACAAGGGTTATTGTTTAGCTCGGGCGACCCATGCGGTGGGTAAGTGTGTGGTTCCGCTGGATTGCTTTAACGGTGGTGGTTTTAAATTATGGTATGTGTGCGAAGGTGAGGGAACATGGTACTATGAAGTTCTCTTTGAAAAAAGCGAGAGTGGCGCTGGACACGTAAGAATAGGATGGGCCCAGGAGTATGGTAGCGACACTTCTTATAATATGTGGCTCCATTGTATACAATTTTATTGATAGCGAATGTTCAGGCCCCTGTAGGATACGATGAATTCAGTTACTCTTATAGGGATGTGAGCGGTACAAAATTCCACAAAAGCATAGGCACCCGTATGGCATGGGCTACGCTCCTGGGGACGTTATTGGCTGTTTAATTCACATCCCAACTCGAGCTGTACAGGCGGTGAGAAACTCTTTTACGTTGTTACAAAGAAAAAAATAATAATTGAATATGTATTTGTAGGTAACTGAACATTGTTACTTTTCTAAAGAGCTCACAAAGACGCTAAGTAAGAAAGACTTAAAAAAAATAAAAGAAAACTTTTTAAGGACGGAACGAAATGCACGGAGTGAGTATCGAGCACCTCCTTCGCACAGGAAAAAGCCTAAACTTATAGATTATAAAGGTCAAATAAAACTATTTTTTATTAAAGTGAGTGTAGCTTCGTCAAGTATATTGTGATTATTACCGATTTTATTACTAAAATTTTTTTACTATTAGCAGACTTATAATCAATTATAATTTCCTTGAAAATTTTGTTTTACCTTGTTTGCCTTTATATTAATAGTATAAAGCTTTATTATATCTGTTTTTACAGGTTTTACGTATGAAGAAGTGCCTGATGGATCCCGAGAAGCTCTTTCTACTCTAAAGCCAATCTTTGGGAGTAAACTACTATTTTTTAAAAACGGGGTTTGTCAAGGAATTGCTTTTGAAAACCTCAATTCCGGTATAGTTAATGCTTGTTTTGCTTTAATTTTGTTAAAGTCTTCCATTTCAACTGTTGATTTGTAAAAGGAGTATATTACCCATCCATATCTTTATATATGGGTGCACGTGTCAAACTCAACTTTGGTAACTGTCATTTCACCTTTGCGATTATCACATTCATTTTCCGCTGTTTTTCAATGATATTTCTAGGACCTCAGTTTACCTACGAACCCGTATTATTGCGGAAATTCCTTTTGAATAAAGAAGCCCATGAGGAATATTTTAAAAACTCGCATAATATATCGCAAGCGCAATCTTTCTCCTTCATTAACAAGCTAGAGCCTTGTTATTATATCCCTCAGCTTTTTGATTATACCTATAGAGACAACTGTCAAGTTTCCGACTCAGTCCCTATATGTTATAAAGCCGTCAATGATGCCGCGGTGGAAGCTCTTGCTAAGTTAATTATTGAAGATATACTCGATAAAGTGGAAGAAACATGCGAGCTAAATAATATGTGGTTATAAAAACCCTCGAATGCTTTAATAGTATGGAGTGGTATGGCGAGGTCAGTTGCAAGTCCTACGTTAGCCTTCTATTCGTAATGCGGATTTTAAATTTTCTTTAATAAAGTTTTTATTATTATAACTCTGTATCCATATTAATAAAACAATAATAAAAAATGCGCAGCAATACAGTTATTATATCCTTATTCGCCTCTAACTTTTAAAGGTTACCCCTTGCTATGTTCTAGAGACCTAGAAAAGTTTAAAGGTTTGAAGACCGGGCCGTCTCTTGATATTTTGCATTTTTATTCTTGGAGCCCCCGCACTTTAAACCATACTTAAAAGTTCCTGAGGCTTATAAAATTTTGTGCTATATTATTAATTATCTATAAAAGCTCTCCTAACATTGCAAACACTTATTTATTAACCTAAGAACTTAATACATAAAGTGATACCAGTTTTTAATGAATTGCAGTTATATACAACACTTCTTAATTATTTAGTTATTACTTTTTTATTTTAAAAACTGGTTTAATCACAAGAAAACGGATGGATTATAGTTTAACTGTAATTATTTATTCTAAGCCCAGAACTTTCCAGAAGGTTTATAATTTCTATACTCCTGTTAATTGCATCTTCTAAAGGTATTTGAGAGCGCAAGCTGACTGTTAAGTTTTATGCATAAAAAAGTTAATTTCAGTGCAAGAATTCCCTAAAGATTTGTAACAAGTTTTTAATTTTTACCGATTTCTAAAAAGAGATCCGTTGCTTCTCTTTCCCGAAAACATATATACGACGAGCAACCCACTACTGCGATGGCCTCTATCCACATTCTTTTTCTATTTTCTGTTTTTTGGCTTATAAATGGTACAACTGGGATAAGGATTTCCGTTGGTTGACCGGTAAAAGGGTTTATATATATTACTTTGTGCTAAAATCAAAATTGAAAGTCTGCTCGGTTATTAATTCTGTTACTTTTAAAAAAAGATCTCGCTGGCTCGACCAATTTGAATGCTCCCTGGTAAGTTTATTAAAAAAATTTTTTGTTATGTCTCCATTGTTCCTTTTTTAAGCGGGCTTATACACAAGCTGTACTAAGGGTGTATTTTTACATGGCTTGAAGAAACGTAAGATCGACGTAGGTGCCAATTGTCCAAAACGGAATCGAAAAGTTCACGTATTTGAGGATAGCGCACTCACACTAAAGACAATAAAACTCGGTTACTTCTCTTGCCTAAGCTTTAAAATAAATTAAACGCTGATTTTTATATTTTTTAGTGGTTGAGATTTCCCTTGTTAAATTTAAAACTAATCAGTTCGAGCTAACTTTACCGCCTTCCACCAGTTGCGCCTTTAGTGGTTACCAAGTTCTATAGGATCAATAAAACTAGGCAGAACGAAAAAGTTAGATGCTATTGGTCTCAGCTTATTAAGGTGACCACTTTTCGGAAGTGTTAAAAAAGTTTATTAACTAGAAAAGCGCTGGAATGGATGGGTTAGAATTGGGAGGAAGTTTTTTTTAACTTACATAACCTCTATCTTTTTAAGAAATCTGTAATCTAAATAAAGAATTGTTAGAGTTTTACTCTTCCATATACGCCTTACTTTAACAAATTAGTTTTTCTGCCTCTATCTCCTACAGAATAGCTACAAAATATAGTTAGATTATAAAAGTAAAAAAATAATATAAATACCTTTCTTAGGAAAGCATTGGTTAGTCTAAAGATCTTTAAAACTTTACTGTGACATAATTAGCGTTAGAAAAATAAAGGAGGGCAAAGCTAACCTTTTTTAATTCAAGGGAATCAAACAACTGACAAAGCTTGAATAAATTTTTATTTTTGGGTTGAAGAAACTGCAAAAACAGATTTTTATAAGTGCATACTGCGTGTTGGTTAGTGTAGCTTTAGAGCCTACCTTTGCACTTATAAATATGCAACTATTAATCTGGAGGTGAAGTTCTTTCTGTTGCTTTTTTAAGTCACTACTTTTATTAAATTGATAAAAGCTTAATAAAAAGACAAGTAAACTAACAACTCGGAGCGATTGATAAGTAGAGTTTCACTAATTTTCTGAGTCAAGGAAGTTTCAAATAGATGAAGTGCTGCAAAATTTTGTATCGAGTTTATACTTTGATTAACGAAAGAAAACCTGTATATTTGACAGTTTTGCTGAAACCATACTTAGAACATTGCGCAAAGATATACGCTTAAACAGGACAATAAATCATCAAGACATTGTGCTAGGATGAAATTAGTTATTTTATTACCAGAAAATTTTTGAGAGGTCAAGACCGGGGAATACGGTTCAGATAACTTGTAAGACGTATTATTACTGGTTAACTCTTTAAAAATGTCGCAAAGCAAATCGTTTTGGATTATTGTTTCCATTACAAGTCTGGAATTATTGAAGCTGTATTGTTGCAAGTTTATATAGTATTCTAAAGAAAACAGAGTGGCATGAAGTAAATTTTTTAATTCAAGTTACAACTATACCTTAGTTTCAGAAGTTCTTTAACGCCCCCATGTTACATTCGGTTATGGACTTAATATGTGCTTAAGTATGTATTTTTTAATAGAACAAATAACTAAATTTATAAACCCCATCTACTAAAACTAAACTCTGCAAAATAAAAGTGATTATATAACTTACTAATTTTTAATATTCACTTATAAAAGTTGAGTAATGCTAATAATTATATGAGTGGGGACAGTATCCCTCCAATTTTATAAAAAAAAATCACAATCTTTTTTGTTAAAAGAAATTGTTGGGGCATTGAGCACTATCGGAGTTCTCAAAATAAAAAAATTAACTTAACAACTGCTTTGTTAAAATACATTGAAAGCTGTTTTAGAGGCAAACGTGAAAACCTTATTACTCATTTTAACTTAACGAAATTCTGAGGGCCTATTTACACTAATTTTTTTGTTCCCTTCCACCCTATAATCGACCAATCTAAAAAGAACCGCCTTTAAACTGTTTTAAAAAATTTGCTATCTTTTGGAAATCATGTTCAACTCATAAAAATTTTAGTTTACAAGTTTTTGGTGACCCCCTATTATTGTTAACTGCCTATCTATGAACAATAGGTAAAACTCAAGTTAAACTAAACAGGGCGAAATTATCGTTAGTGTAGCGCTTAAATGACCGCAATACTCAGTTAGTATCTTTTAACTAATTTTTATGGAAGTAAAAACTATATATAATTTACAAAGTTAGCAAACCTCAAATCTATATTAACCATATGAGATAAAAAAGTTTCAAACTCTTTGGCCCACCAGTGATAACGGCCATATACCAGTTTACCCCCCGCTCCCCCTAGCGTGTAGGGGGGACTAAATAAAAATTAGTTTGTTTGTACGTATAGAAAACGAGGTATAAAAATAGTACTAATAATTCTTTCCGAATTATAATTTTTCTACTTTTAATATAATATTGTTTTGCGACACTCTTTTGCTTTCATATATGAACATCTTGCTTGTTAAATTTATTAAAAAAAATTTACATTGAGTAAATTGGGTTTTATGAGCTTTAAATAAGTAAATTATATAGTCAATGAAATTAATGTTAAAATATTAAAATGAGAAGGCTTCAAGTGTTGGTGCAATTACCTTGTCACTACGGAGGTAGTGGTAAATAGGAGACATAAAATGCGCAAATATACTTTTACTTTGTGTTTAACTTAAGAATTTTAATCCATGGTTTAATTTTTACGAACCTTTTCCGCTTAACTGATAACATATTAATAATAACACAAGATTCATTAATTTTTTTTAAAATTTATATACTAATTTAGAAATCAGGCTTAATTTAATGTGAAGATGTAATGCACTGTACTGAGCTAAGCGGACGGCGATATGCCTACTTTTATCATTAAGTACTAGCATTACTTATTATAGGATTATACCTAATACTTTGCTTTTTTATTGAATCACCAAATTTTTGTCGCACTATAACCTGTCTGATTGGTGTGTAGAAGTGTTAAGCAGCCTCTCGTTTTTAGAATAGAATGTCAAACTAACTGTTCAATAAAATATTAAATAAGGTATGCATTTCAACAATTAGTAAAATTTCAAATTGAAAAGAAGTAAATTATTAACAAGTTAATATTTCTCAGAAAAAGAAGTCATTAAGTGAATTTAATTCTTTATGAAAACCGTTAATTATTGTACACTTACTCTATATTATATAACCACTTTCTCCTAGTGCAGGGCTTTAGAATTGGTAAGAATTATTTAATTCTTACCCAAAATTATTACATCCACTTATATATTGCATAAGAACAGAAAATGTTTAGGAAGGAAAATAAGAACCCCAAAAAGCATCTTTCCCTAAGAAAGCTAAAAACACCGACTTCAACAGATAGAGCGGTCGCAACTGAAATGTGTACTACCACCATAAACCACTGTTACACCAAGTTTGCGAGAACTAACTCCCAATAAGTTTTTTTAGATTATTATTGGGACCTCTTAACATACATAGTGGAACGAAGGAAACGCAAACAAGAATATGATGAAAAAGTTGCAAAGGTTAAAGTATAGAAGAATATAGGAAACTCAATTGCTTGTTTGTAAATATTTTTAATAACACTTCTTCTTGTTAAGATGAATGAAGAAGATAAGAGCAAAGAATGGGAAAAATTCCGTAAAAAAGAAAGCGCTTACTTAAGAAGAAGACGTGCCAAGCAAAAAATTGAAGACTTTGAAATTATTATTCAGGTTTCTGTTCTAGTTGTTTTATTAAAGACCGCGTTTCTGTGGGCTTATATTTAAAACAGATAGGAAAAGGTGGTTACGGGGACGTGTTCTTAAGCAGAAATAAGGATACCAACGAGATTGTAGCATTGAAAAGAATGAGAAAAAAAGCTCTTCTTGCCCAAAATGAAATTCATCATATATTTAACGAAAGAAATGTGTTATCTGCAGCAAATTCTCCTTGGCTGGTTAAGCTGTTATGTTCTTTTCAGGATAGTTCCCATGTGTACCTCGCTATGGTTTTTATAGCCTTCGGTTATAAAAAAAATGTTTACTTATAAATTATATCACTGAACCCAAGGAATATGTCCCCGGAGGAGATATGAGAACATTGCTTAGTAACAGTGGCGTGCTGCATGAAAAACATGCAAGATTTTACCTTGCGGAAATGACGTGCGCGATTGATGCTTTGCACGAGTTAGGATTCATTCACAGGTTTAATTTTTATTTTAGCCTTTCGTTAAAAGCTTAACCCACTGTGTAGCGGAAAGGGTACATCAGCTTAATTATTGTTTATTGAATAGTACCCAGCAGAGCTGTGGTTAATGTTAGTGCACTATAAGATTAATGGTTTAAAGAAACTTACGTTGTTTAGGTCGAAAGCTTATTAATTTTAAAATGGTTATACAACTTCTAAGTAACTTTTGTTATGAAATAACTCAGAACTAATAAATTTTTTATTAGTACAAGTTAGTATTGTTTAGATTAGTCGCACATTGGAAGGGTCACAAGCATGTAGTGCCCACCCCATGAGCCCTATGATAGTTGTAAGAATAAATTCCTCACTTGAATTAGCTAAAGTTAAACTTTACTTATTTGGTATGCAGGAGCTTAACTATCATATCCTCCTATCTAAAAGTGCAAAAAATTATCTCAGCTTTACAGAAGAGTATAGTAATATGTTATACAAAAAATTTCAAGTATATTATATAGAATGAAACTAAGTTTATTATAGTTTTTTAACATCAGAAACTCAATAAACCATATCGTAGTTAATCATAGGTAAAAGCTTCGCTTTTGTTGGACTTATTAAAAAAAAACGCTAAAAGTTATATATTATAAAGTTAACGCTTTTCTCCTTGCCAGAGACTTGAAACCGGAAAACTTTCTGATTAGTTCCTCCGGACACCTAAAACTAACAGATTTCGGATTGGCCAAAGGAGTGCTATGCCCAGAATTTCGAGAAAAAATGCTAGAAAGGGTTTTTTATTCTATCCTCTCAATCTTTGGGATTAGCAGTGGGGCCTAGCTAAAATGACTTGCATTATATTTTTAAAGTTAGCGAGAGTTTAACAAAAGTTTAGGGCTATTGTACAACTCTTTTATATCGAACTTGTACAGGTTTAGCTGGCCTATAGTGACATTCAAACCGAACACAGTTTGCTTAACAAATTTTCATAGTTAGTGAAAGCTAAGCAAGGATCTGTTAGAAAATATGCTACAGCAGAAAAAAGGATATACTATGAAACACTTTTAAGAGATGAAAGAACTACTGTAAGGGGGTGTTTTATCAGTTGAGTCTCTACCTTAGTTACAACAAAAGAAAAAAATACTAGGCCTTCTCTCTTGTGGGATCTCCTGATTATATGGCGCCGGAGATGCTTACCCAGACAGTTACATAGCCCCTATCCATATATAAATGCCTTTTTTTTTTTTTTTATTAAGTTCTTGTCCTGCTCTCCTTAATCTAAGAAAGGAAAAAACACGCGTAGGGGCTGTAGTAAAATAGCAGAAAAGGGCTGCAAGCACTAGTTTTTATTACTAAAAAGCAAATGTTTTGCATGACTTAGTATTTTCAAAAACTGCTACCGGTTTTTCAAATCTCTTTTAAGAGAGCTTTCAGCCGTTTCTATATATTCTCCAGATGTGTGCATGTAGTGTTTAAACTGAAAATTTTCATTGTTGCAGAAACATTTTTAATAACATTTAAACTTTTTTCTTAAGTATTATTAAACTTTAAAATTTCATAAAACTTTTTAGCAAAACACTAATTTTTTTTTTACCTGTACAATACCATTTGCGATGAACAACAGGGATATGACAAACTGGTGGATTATTGGTCGATAGGTTGTATATTTTACGAATTCCTTACGGCTTTTCCGCCTTTCGGGGCGCCCACAATAGATGAAATTTGGGTTAATGTGTAAGTAAAGGAAGAAAAATCAAAGAAATTTTAGTTAATCTTAATTAAAATAAAAAACAGTTATCACTGGAGAGAAGTACTCGAGCGGCCCCATTATACTGGCGAAGATGCTGAATTTAACATGTCGGATGAGGCGTGGGATTTGATTACAAAGTGGCTTCTTTGCAGCCTTTTTTTGTTACTTTTTTGTCTTCCTCGTCTTTTATATAGGCTAATAACTGAAAAAGAAAAGAGAATTGATTGTATTGATGCAATAAAAAAACATTGTTGGTTTAAGGGATTTGAGTGGGACTTTTTACAGGACCAAGTAATCTCTAAAGTAAAATAGTAAAGGCAAAATGAATTATAGCAAAAACAGGCAGCGCCTTTTATTCCCGACTTGAGCAATGAAACGGATGCAACATATTTCACCGGTTGCGTGCAAGATGAGAAATTTAGCTTTTTAGATAATAGCAAGTACAAGGAATCACTGGTAATTAACAACGCAAATAGTGAATTTGCAGCTAGTATAGGTATAAATTTATTTACTTTCTCTAGCGGATCTTACAAATAAAAAATAGAGCTTAGCAAAGTTAAAAGAATTTGGGCCGGATGGACTTATAAATGTAATGAAAAAAGACCAGGGCATTACAATTTGCCCACAGAAAAGCTGATCTCATAGGCCTCTTAATCTATGCAACTTTTAAACAGACGGCTACATAAAATGCTGAGAGTACATTATTGTAATAATAAATTCAATTCTTGATACTGATCTTTTCTGTATAAACCTTCATTTTTTAAAAATCTAATTGTTGTTGAATCAGCAAAGATGAACAAGTAGCAATAAAAACTCTAGAGGTATGTTTTTATTAGTGAGCCCGTAATATGTTAGAGTAAAAGCTAAAAAATCCTTATCAAAAGCATGTACAAAAAGTTTAAAACAAAAAAAAGAAGTTCAAATGTATTTAATAGTAAATAAAGTTTTTCTTTTTAAAACTTCACTGAAATTATGATAATTTTTCAAGTATACCCTGCAAAAAATTTTCCAAGTCCTCTTCTTTCTGTAAATAAGGTCTTTCCCCCAACCTCTCGACTATCTGCAAAAATTAAAAGCGCTCAACAAAAGGGCAAACAATGCTCAACAATTATTACGGTAAACAACTCGACCAAACTCTTCGGTCGGTTGTTTAAAATCTGAAGTTGTTCACCCTTAGTCAACTGAAATTGTTTAAAAAAATTGCAAGCATCAGTAACAGTCAAGGAAGTTATCTGCTGCGTCCCATTCTCTTCTAAGTATTTGATAATCTGGAAAAAGAAAAAGAAAAGAAAAGTTTAAAATCATAAAAGTCAAGGAAAACAAAATTATTTGTGCCCATAAAAAATTCCTTTACAGTAGTATAGTAAAGCTTAAAATTAGTAAAACAAGGACAGAAGTTTTATTTAAGATATACTAAATTTTGAGGTAAGTAAGTCACCTCAAATTTAAGAGTATTAAAATTATTGTTACGGCCAGGTTTTTCTTCAAAGCTTTTTAAAAATTCCAAAACTTCAAAATTAGTGAGCAATTTAAATTGTTCTTCTAAACTGTTTAAAAATATATTTAAAAAAAAAAACAAAAAATTAAAAGTCTGACTTTCTGATACTATCAGTTATGAGCTAAACTAAGTGAAAATAAGAATAGCACATCTTCATGCCAAGCTCATCTAATTTTGACGGAGGCAAGCTGCCTTCTCAAGAAAAACTTGAAATATGCGAGCCTTTAGACAAAGGTAGGTTGGCTAGTACCCAAGAGACGATTAAGGACCCCTTAACTGGTCTAACTACAAAATTTCCCTGATATCGTGCGTCAAACTGGACTAAGAGGCAGAAGCTTCCAAGTAGTGGCCCTTTCTACTTTAGCCAAAGCAATGACTGTCAAACTTTATAGACAAGTTTCCTAAAAAGATTGCTGCGGTTTTGAGGTTTTAAAACACCACCTTAAGTTTAGATGTAAAGTTAATTAACGGCTGAGCTACGTCGACAACTTTCTATCCGAATTTTCATACACGCACGTTAAAAGACGGTTTTTAAAGATAAACAGCATTGTTAAGGCCTTAAGCTGCTGGTCAACAAAAAGAATTTTGTCTATCACACCCACAAAGAAGACCATATTAGTATATACTTTCTGCTTAGAGTTAAATATACTTTACTTCTATATAATAAATTATTATAGACTCTTGTTTGTAGGTTAGTTTATATTTTTTGGTTTCAGTCACAACGTTAAAATTTTTTTTGCAGAAGGCAGAAGGGTGGGTGCCGTTAAGGAAAATTGGCACCTTCCTTTCATATAGCTTTTTATATACTCTTTACTCCTAAAACAAGTAAGTCAACTTCAAGGTCAGATGGTGAAGTTTGTTTTCTTCTACTGGAACATAATTTATAGCTGCTTATGTACTTTTGACAGAAGCTACCGCCGGACCTGTTTTTTACTTTGCTAAATTCATTAACCTCGGCTCCCTTTCTAAAAAACAACCTGATGGTTTAATTTTCAGTTGTGGTTTACTAAGAGCTAATTTTTTCTCTTTTTTAATAGGTTGAGAAAAATCTTTATAATAATAGAAAAAATAGGCCGCATTGGGTTGTAGTACTCCCCAGCGGGGTATTTTCAGTCCTACCATGCAGAGCATGGCTTTCTTCCCATCTACATTGCGTTTTGGCGTGGTTTTCGATGGTTGTCTTGCATTACAAATAGTTTTCCGGAAGTTTAGGGTTATCAAAATAGATACTGGTCTTCTTAGCCAGTCACAATCCGATGTAAAAGTTCTTAATTTTTTTGCCGGACACGCAGAATTTTGAAGGTGGTTTCTTTCTTTCAATACCTCTTCTAGTTCATGTGGTTACAATTTTGTTTCCTTGGTTACCTTTCCAAAGCTTTTAAACTTTTGGATGTGGCCGCTTTGGTAACATTAAACGATTTTGCAAGCCAGTTTTGCTTTTGCCATGAATCTTAACCCGCCTGAAGTTCTGTATCATTTAAACCTTCTTTGCTGACCTGGAATGTCTTTATCGCTCGTGTCAAGAGCACCACTTTTAAATCCTCTAAACCATTCCCTGCATTGCCTCTGAAAAAGAAGTATGCCATAAGCGTCAAGATGCATTGATAAAATTCAGCAGCGACTTTATTAGTGCAAATGAGGTTTATTTGGTTAAAGTACAGTCATTCCTTCGAGGTTAAAAACTATCTTTTTCCGTTGATCACAAACTTATTCATACTGAATATCGTTAGCAAAATGTTAAATTTTAACAATGATATTAGCTGCAATTTAAAGGTTGAATATCTACAAAGCTACAACAATTTTTGCCAAATGACTGGTTTCAAGTTATAGATTCTAACATTAAAACATATCACGTTATTAGGTTTGTAGGTCAACTTGTTAGCCTTAAACTACTTTAATTCTTATTAATAGGGGAAAAGGAGGTCGTTGTAGCCTTAAAGCTTTATGGTGCACTTTAGTACAAGATAAGCTCAACATGTCTAACTATTAAAAAAAAAGAACAATCTTTACTAGTCAAGAAGTTCACTGCTTTTTAACTACAAATAAAGTAGTATTCTAAAATTTTTGTCGAGACCCTGCAGGGCTTGCAGTTATACTGTATATAAACGAAAGTAGTGTTGCATTGCTCATATCAGCCCCACCCGAAATTGTTTATAAGGTTATCAGACCTCAATATCTCCGTTATTTGATTTTATTATCGATATTGCCATTCGACTTACATAATTGACAAAAATTAAAAAAATTCGGTAATAATCAATACTTTGCGATAAATACGTTTTTATTAAAAATAAACTCCGTAAAGACATAAAAGGCAGCTAAATTTTTGCTGTTAAGGCGTTTTTCTTAATAATTACCTCGTAATGGTATGAAAGCCCCAAAGTTGGGGCTTCCCACTTGGGGTGAAACTATTTGCGCTTTTAGTATTTCTCCATAGCCAAAAGTTCGTCCTTAACCATTTCAAAAGAGACATTACAAAAAGAGCTTGTCAGCTACAATATTTATTACTGTCACCAAGCCAGACAACCGTCTTTTCTATCCTTCTCTTATTAGGGGCGTTATGAGGAACCTAAGTTGACTTAATTTATCAGTTTCTAATTGGTGCTATTTCGGACACGTATAAGTTGGTCTTACCAGACTACTTCATAGCTGTTTTCATTTTGCACGCTATTATTATCGTTAATAACAACGTTAGACTTCCGGTTTCCACTATTCGCTTCGTTTTCGGATTATAAATATTGAAGCCATCGATACCGGTATAATTAATAGTGCAAAAGTAAGTCACTTTTGAAATTCACCAAAACTCTTGTCGATATACCTTAATGGGCGTTCTTCTTTAAGGTAAAATGGTCCTACTTAATTAATTTTAACTAAAAGCTAACGTCAAAGCTGTCGGGGTTTCCTTAACAACCCTTCAAAACCCTATGTGGGCGGGTTATGTAACTGTATTTAGGTTGACTAGAAATTTACGAGTCCTTTATTACCTACAAGTATTTTTAAGCTAAATTATTATTATATATACCCCTTAATCTGAGTATGACTATTCCAGATGTACACTCGTATTAAAACGATCGTTTAAAAACTTTTTAAAAACGACATATATAAACTTATTTTAAGGCATTGTTCAGAGAAGCCTTAGGCTCCCTAGACAAGCCATGTGCAGATCTTTGCACCACTAAGAAAGAGTTTAATCAACCTCCCCACCTCTAAATAAAATTTAGTTAGTAAGCCGTTATAATTAATTCATTTGAAACTTCTCACTATCTTGTAGGAAGAATTTACTTCTTTATATACCTCAAATTAATATTATCAGCTTTCCTTTGTACGTTAAATTATAGTAAATCCCTCAATTTTCAATATCATCATATATTCAGAAAAGTAAGCGATTCTTTAAAAATAAAAATTCCTTGCAGCACCCATTCTGTTGTAGTGTCTTCTTTATTGTCCTTTATACGTGGAAGTACTCCACACTTTTTATTTTTAACAACTTTATGTTCGTCACAAAATAGTCTAACGTATTATAGGTTTTCACTGGCATTTAAAACGGATAGCAGTTATCTATATAAGGACTCTCTTCAGTATCTAGGGCAGGTATACGGACAAATCAAGTTTGTAGTTTTAGACTAATTTTTCGCCCTTAACGATGCATAAAATGTCATTTCAAGTAAAGTGTTCATATTGTCTCGTCTTTTCAAAGTTTTTTGTTTTTCGCAATTACTTTATTTGGCTAGTTTGTAGACTATAGCCAAGCATCCGGTGAGTTAGCCAAAAAGCATTTAGCTTGAGTACTAAGGTTAACAGTAATATATTTAGTGAATTAAACGTGACAATATATTGTATATTTTAGAATCTGCATTCGGTATACAAAAAATATATATATAATTAGCTCAAGCGAAAAAAACCAAGGCCCAGGTCATAAAACATCCCGTGACGAGATAAAAAATTACACTACGCCGCTCTTCGCGAAATGGGATAATATATTTAACCACGTTTACGTTATATAATAAACCTTGTACATTTTAAACACAAATTTCACAGATTTATCAAGCATATAAACTTATAAAGTAAAAATCTACTGGCATTATTTGGTATGCTGTAGGGAGAGATCAGCAGGGTTTTTCTCCTTTTTAACATGTGATTTGTAGTAACTAGTGATTGGGCTTATCTGTCGCACGTGTAAAGTTTAATAACTCTTTCTTTATAATACACACTTTTTTTTATCAGGGTTACTTTCCTACAAGATGGAAACAATCGGAAGTTATTTATACCAAAAAGTAACCATACTAGCAACTATGCTAAAGATTATAGACCAATTAATTTACTTTCCTGTATTGGCAAAATTGCTGAGTTCACAATACTCTCCAGATTAAAAAATTTGCATATACTACAAATCTTGCCCCCCCCCCCCACCTTGCACACACACACCAATTTGGCTTTCGGGAAGGTCACTCCACACAGAAAATTTTAAAAATCATATACAAAGCCTTTAATTACAAGAAATCAATAGTTACGGTATTAGAAATTGAAGAAGCTTTTGGTAGAGTCTGGCATGAAGGACTTAAATTAATTATATACAAGTTGTAGCCAGAATACCTTGTGCATGTGCTCTTAGCAATAGATCATTTATCATACGAATAGGAGAAGTATTGTCCGTCCCCAGGACCCTTAAAACTGGAGTTCCTCAGAGCTCTCTACTATCACTTTTAATATCCTCTCTAAATACATGCGATATACCCCCCTACCAACAAAGTTTCCCTAGCTCTATAAACTGACGACACTGCCATATATTGTAGTTCGAAATCCACTGCGTTAGCTATTAATTACGTGCAGACTTTCTTTATACATTTGAAAAATGGTTTGCAAAGTGGAAAATTACGATAAACCCTACCAGATACCACTCGATGACTATCTCAAGAAAAAGAAAAAAAAGGGAAAATTAGAGCTCTAGCTTTCTCGTTAGTATCTCTACTTTGGTGCATTTAGTAAAATACCTTGGCGCTATTATTGACTCTAGATTTAACAGGAAGCCTCATATTATCTAGTTAAAAAAAATTAAGAATATAACCTTCTGCTTTCTGCTTTATACCCTCTCATTCGCAAAAGAAGTCATTTGAATTTTGAAATAAACTCCTTATATATAAAGCTATTATCAGTTATTTGTTACACATCTCTTTCATAGTCTTACTATTTCGACTTTGCATAAACAGACTTCAAAGATTTAAAACATCCTTAGAATGTTTACAGAAACCGGATATTGAATTATCTTTATAAATTTTTTTGGAGCAGAGGGGGGGGGTAAACGCTTAAATCACCAAGACATCGCTTTTGTCTTTATGTTTTGAGGGATTACCCGAGAGACTTTCTTTTGTAAAGAAGGCTATCTCCCTCAACTTTCTCCGTAATGAGGGAATTTTGTTTTAGTAGTTTAAGTTATACCAGATGTTCGGGTATTTAAACCATTACTGACCGGTATCTAAACCTTTAAGTCTTTTAGAATTAATTGTAAACAAATGTATATATAGAGAGAGATGTGCAGCGGTGACTTAAACAAAAAAAGCACTAAAAAATTAACACGATTGCCGGTTTACTTTTCTTGAACCTTCATTATATACTAACCACTGAGCAATGGAATAATCAATAAATTTCCTAAAATGGTAATTTGCGTTAAAACATGAACTGGGATCTTTTCCTCAACAGCAGATATAACGACTGTAGTACGTCAAAACAGTAAATAAATACACACTTTTTTTTAAAGTTTTTTAATAAAAGCATAAAATCGAAAATTTTAGGCTATTCCTTAAAAGAAAAAGACACTCTAGTTAGCTCATTATTACAAATTTAAGATTACTTTTCATAAAACCACCGCTAATATTTGCTTCCAAGCTATAGTAATTAAGTAAGTACCTTCTACTTTAGACGATCCATATCCCATTGTTAAGCAGTACTCTAAAAAATCTAGTCAGCTTCAACTAATAACTAACTTGAATAAAGTTGTCCTGACTTTAACAATAAATCTTAATAAAGTTATTCTAAATAATATTATCTCTCTAATGTTGGCTAGAGCGAAGTTATTAGTGATATACTTCACAAAACTTGTAAAACCATTTTTTTTTTATTTTTCTGTTGGCGCGCAGCCTTCTTCCTACAAGGCTAATTGCATGGTTTAATATGATTTATTGATGAACGCACTTTAAAGAGGTTTATATTTCACCTAGCCTACCAAAGTTAACTAGATAATTTTACAGCACATTTTCTCTTTAGTAAATTGTGTCTTTTAATAATAATAATAAATGTTCAAGAACAAAAGCATTGTTATATTTTTATTAAGGCGAGCGCTGAATGTAAGTATATCAAGAAGCGGAGAAAAAGAATATATTATAATTCCTGTATTAATGGCAATAAAGCCTTTACCAAATTTTTAAATTAGTGCATATGACGGCAAATGTAATCTGTTAACATTTTTACTGCAAAGATCGGTAAAGAAGTATTTTTTTTTATATTATTTATTTATATTCTTACTTTTTTGTTTTATAAAGTTATTTATTTTAATCACATTAATTTAACTTTATAGAAGTTATTTCTTCATTTTTATTAACTGACATACCACAGTCAGGCCCTATACGAGGATCTAATATACTGCTTAATCTGATCTAAACTGGCATGAATGCCCACCCAAAAAGGGGTCTTGCACTGTCATGACTGAAAAAGCGGACAATACCGGGCGCGGACTCCCGCCAACCGCTAAAAACCACCATGGGGGAAGGCGAATTCAAGAATGTCCGAGTCCACCTGGGTATGTCATTTGTTGTAAAATTAACTGTATAAAGTTGTTTTTATTATGAAAAAATTTTATTTTTTCTGACAAACGACTTATATGTAAGTAGTTGCTTTTCTACAAAACGATAGAAAATTTGTAATTAATGACGAACGACATTATTAACTAAATATTTCAATACCTCAATTTTTTTTGATATTTTGTTTTATACACGATTTTTTCTAGAACTTCTAAGTTAATTGTTAATATATTAAGGTAAGGGAGAGCTTGATAACTTAACAAATGGTAATTAAACGCTAATAAGTAAAATCCTACATTAAGATATGATAGATACCGAGTTTTAAGGAGAGGAACTAATATACAATAGTCTAATATTGAGTGTGTTCTCAAAATAGATATAAATAATCTGAAGAACAAAAGGGGAAGCAGGCACCAGTTTGCGCGACATCTAGGCTACAATGGAGAACTAGATGTAAAAAGTCCGCTAGTTCGACTTCCTCGGTCTTCAGGTGTATTTAATTTAAAATTTTATTATACGATTAACCATAAATATTTTAATTATAATTTTGAGAACAAAAAAATATAGCCTACCTAATATATAGAATGCCGTTCAGTACCCGCAAAAACCCAGTTGAATATTGACGCCTCTCCTTTTGTAACCTGAGTTCTTTTTAAAATTGCCACTAGTAATAAAAATAAACCCTAAACCTGAGTTCTATATCAGTAACAATAGCAACAGTAGTTAGAGGCGGCGGGGTCAAAGTATACTTGAGTCCTGAAAATTATATCAGTCACACCAATGCGATAACGTGAGCAAACCGATATTTTTCTCTCCTGGGTACATGTTTTTATAACGTTCGTCACTTATAGGAGCTTAATTGTTATTAATAATTTCTTTGTACATATTATTTTATTAAAGGGAATGTTTGGCTATTTCTATGGGAGCGTCATATTCCTCAACGCTCTTTTTCTTTGGGAGCTGTAAGTTTTAGACAAATTTTTAGTTATTAACTTTGTATATGCTTATCATGACTCATAAGGTGTTTAATTGTTACTGTTATAGATACTTGAAACTTCGTCAACACGTTTCCTACAACGTAGAAACCATTCCTTCATCTTTAAAAAATGTCGTAGATGTGAACACCTTCAGGAGGGCAAGGTATTTAATCTTATTTTTCTATTTTTTATTAGTAAATTCATTATATTTGCATATAAGATGCTACGGCAAAGATAAAAGCTGGTTTCGATTATTTTATTCTTCTTTTCATTTCCTCGAGAATATGGCATTTTTTTTTAGTTTTCCTGTAAATGCTCTTCGAATTTAATAATTTTACTTTGCAGATCTCCCTTTTTTTCGGGTTTTTCCCTTTTTTTTGGGACTACGCTGGACATCTCTTATTCAGATTTTCCTTTGATTCTACTTACGAGGTTATAAAAGTTTTCCAAGTCTGTAAAATTTTTAGTTATATTTAATTCTACATGACTCCCGTTAAAATACATCAATTTTTAATTCAAAAATGTATCTTTACCAGATTTTGCAGTCCGTTATATTTTTGTACGTTCTATCAAGCTACCAGTTAGTTATTGAAATTCCTTGGGACGTTTACCACACTTTCGTTATTGAAGCCCGCCACGGATTTAACAGGTTCTATACTTTTTACTATTGTTTAAATCCTTTTTTGTTATTTTATTTTTAGACAAACTTTAAAATTTTACATCAAAGATCAAATTAAATCCTTTTTTCTTCAATTATTTGTTACTACCATCTTTACAGCGCCTTTATTGAAAGTTATAAAATGGGGTGTGTGCCTTTTTATAATTCTGTTTTTCTCAATTTGTAATTAATTTTATCAAGGCGGCCCGCATTTTTACTTGTACGCTTGGGTTTTTGTGCTTGCCTTTAGCCTGCTTGCTCTCACGGTGTATCCCATCTACATCGCTCCGATCTTCGATAAGTACACCCCACTGGAAGATGGCCAGCTAAAGCGCCGTATTGAATCTCTCGCTGGTTTTTTTTATTGTCCGCATTTTTTATAAAGGAATTTCTAATTTTTTTTGAAAGATTCTTTGCATTTTCCACTCACTAAGATTTTTGTTGTCGATGCATCCAACCGCTCATCGCACAGTAATGCCTATATTTATGGATTTTGGAAAAACAAGAGGATCGTGCTCTTCGACACGTTACTTCCTGCAAAGAAAAAGGATGAGAAAGAAGGTTTTTTTAATTTCTATCAGCGGTAGCGATTATTTTTAATCGCGATCCTTTTAAACTAAATTTATTATAAAACTTTTTTATATTATATAAAAATTCTATTTCTTTAATTTTTTATATATTTTTATTTGTTTATAAATTATTTTCAATAGCAATTTTTATAAATTATTTTTTTTATTAGAAATTTATTATATTTTTTTAATAAATAGTATTTATAAAAATATATTTATTAAAACAGAAAAAAAGCGAGAGGAGTTCAATGAGGAGGAAATTGTGGCTATACTTTCCCACGAGGCCCGCTGATCATTTTTTTAACAAAATTTAATTAATAATCTGCTTTTTTGCTATAGTTGGGTCACTGGAAACTATCTCACAGTCTTAAATTTTTTGTTCTCAGTCAGTTGAACATCTTCATTTCTTTTTTATTTTTTGGTTTGAAAAAATTTTATATTAAATTTTTCATTAAGAGAATTTTAATTTCCTTCTAAAGGAACTCTCATGCACGATCAAAAAATTTACAACGATTTTGGTTTTACCAGCAGCAATCCTTTATTGATCGGCCTTTTGTTCATCCTCACATACGTTTTTGCACCGTTCAACACCCTTTTAAAGTACGCATCTATCAAACTTTCCCGCAAACACGAGTTTGAGGCGGATGCTTTTTCAAAAGTTGTTTTGGGATCTATTTGCGGCGTGGGATTTTTTTTAATTCGCGATTATTTATTTAGAAAATTGGTTACGGGGAAAAATTAAGATCGGCACTTATAAAAATTAGTCTTGGAAATTTGGGGGATCTGAATCCCGATTCTTGGTTCTTCTAAGAATTCTTTTTACTTTTTACTTATTAATTAAATTTTACATTACTTTCAGGTATTCTGCATTTTATTATTCTCATCCTCCCCTTGTAGAGCGCTTGAATGCTTTAAACGATAAAGAAAAGATTGATTAGCTTTGATTAAACATTTTTTAAATTTTTATTGATTAATAAATTTTATATATAATTATTTACAGAAATTTATTTTAATTAAGTTTACTTTTGCTTAAATAAAGTTTACTTGCGGTCAGAATTAAGATCTAAAGAGTATGCTTGCGCTATAGATACAAAAACTATTATAAAATAAAATTTAATTATTCATAATAAGAAAATAAATTTAGACTGTTTTATTGCTAACAATTTCGTAAAAGAGTGAAGTATAAATGTGGGAAATTTCTTGTCGCTAAATATATATTAAAGAAAAACTTTTGTAAATATTGCTCCGAAAAACTTAAAATTGTTACTAGAAAGTGATAAATTTATATAATCCCAATAATAAAGCTTAAAATAAAAAGTTTATCGATAAAAAATAGTTTTAAATTTATTAACACTAAAGAAAAAAATTGAATTTTATAGGAGGTGCTATCTTCAAAAGTAGTATAAATTAATTTTTTCTTAAAAGGAAGAAATTCTATATTAAAGGCGCTAATGCTTGTAATTTGAGAAAATTTTTTCGTTGTAATAGTTCGGCAATAATCCCTTGCTTCTGCAATCTTGTGCCTATGGGTGCTCCTATTGGACATAAAAAATTTAAAGGAGTTTAATAAAATTTAAAGGAGTTTAATATAGTAGAAGTCCTACTTTAAAGTGGAAACCTTTTTTATCTATAAGAACGACGGCATTTTCTCCAAATTTTATATGCCTTCCATCAAAACAAGAAGCGCCTTTTCTAACGAAAGGAGATATAAAGGAAGTAAATTATATAATTTTTATTCTTTGAAGGTTTTAAAAAAACGGTTAACCTAGTCCTTGTGATAATGGCGTGTCTAATATCCGATTTACCGACTTTTTGCTTTCCTGTAGCGATATTCTTTCGTACTTCTTTACACACAACCACGCAACGATCACCAATATGTCCAGGAGAGCCTGCTTTTTTACCCAAAATTTTAATAACCATCGCTATTTTAGCACCTTGAAAGAAATGGATTAGCAATCTAGTTAACGTTCGTGACCAGTAACAAAAAACCTGAGTTGTCTGCTACATTTACCAGACTTCTCAAATACAACATCGCCGGAGCGCTTAACTACTATCAAATAAATTCGGAGTTGCTTAGCGTTAGCTGTAAAGTCTTTAGGGGGGTTGAAATGAGGCTCGTGTTTAGCTATACATGGAATTAATATATACACATATAAATTATTTTAACTCTTTATAGATACTTTGTAAAAAAATTATAAAAAAAATTAATAACTCATAAGCCTAACTGATTATTATTCACCGGTATATAAGGACCCACTGCATGTAAAGTTCATCGTTTTGAACTTTTAGGCAGGCCGTGACCGCTATAAAGAAAGGTACACAAGGAAGTATATATAAAAAGGGGGGAATAAAAAAGTTTTTTCCAACTAAATATATTACAATAAAAAAAATTTAGAGGGGTATATAGCAGGGAAATATTTAGACCTTTATAAACTTAGTTCACCAAAAACTGTCTCCAAGTTTCAATTAAAATAATATTCTTTTCGGTGAATCCTCCGCATAACAAAACTCAAAAGTGAATGTCTAAAAGGCGAGTAATGCAAAAAGTTCATCACAATGTGTTGACGTTGTGTTTTAAAACTATTACTTCTATTTTTAATTTCTGAAATTTTAAAAATTCAAAAATACTTAGAAGCACGTTAACCATATATATAAATCTTATAAGCCACCATTATGTGAAGTTGTAAGGTATAATAAAAGTAATACAGTTAGCTTACCTTTGTAGGGTTTGCTTCAGTTCACTAAATTTTTAATATAGTTTCTCAAATCACCGATTATGGTTGCTTAGTTTTTAAATAATTTTTTTTTTTTAAATTTTATAAGAGAAGCAATCACCGTGTTCAAGAGGAAAATGCTATATATTAAACACTAACAAAGGTATTGCTTAAACTAAAATAAAATTTGAGTACTGACTTTTTAGTTTTTAGTTTAAAAATTCTTCCTATGCAATTTTGCTACCTTGCATTATAATAAAATTAGTTTGGTTTTTTACTTAAAGAAGAGCTTCCACTTGCGAACATAAGAAGGCTCTTTCAAACCGTTAAGATTGACAAATGTAACTAGATTTTAATTTTACTTTCTCACACAGTTTCCCTTCTTGAGTCACTTTACTTCTGTTACAGGTATGCGTAAATAACCAAGTTTGCCATGAAACCAGAGGATATTATCATATGTACTACTAAAAGTTGTAGTTAGGTGCTTTTTGTTAAATCCGGTTTTAACTAGAAGCTACAAGCTACTGTTGATAAGCGCAGCTTATGTACAGAAGATAAAAGAAAAAGTATTACTGGAACTTTTAAAATAAACTTATTATGCTTTATAAATTTCCAGCATTAAATATTAGAGTACGAATAACCCAAACTGTCAAATACAAAAACTCAACATAATGAACAAGCAAAACAAAACCCCTCTCGCCTCTCTCCTCCCCTTCTCACAGGTCGTACGATAGCAGGTTTTGTAATAGGGCTTGTGGTTGAATACGTTTAAAAAAAAAACTTTTGCTTTTCTTATATCCTCTTTTCTATGAGTTTTACTGGCTTTGGTTTAAAAAGCCGTGAAAAAACTCCTGTTTTTAATCCCTTAGCCGATTCCGATTCAGCTTCAGAAGCTGGTAATAATTAGTAATATTGAGCTGCTTTTTCGCTTTTTAAATGTTAGTTTGTGTATGTATTTTAATACTGGTTACCTTTTTAATGATTTTTTTTAATTAAAGTGTTTATTAATTTTATTTTAGAAAAACCATGTAATGATTCTGATTCTGAAGATGCCTTAGATGCTTTTATGGCCGGTATAGAAAAACAAGTTGAAACTCAAAAAAATAGGGAAGGTATATACCTTTACTTTTTATTATAATAGCCTTGTCTGATTATTCTAATACATTGAAAGGGCCAAAGATTGTAAGGGAGGATTATGAATCCGAAGATCAACACGAGGAATTGTATAAATTTTTACAGCAGAAAAAAGTAGAAGAAGTTTCTATGGTAATAATTATTAGGAATTTTTTGTAAAGTAAACTGTGGGGATTATTATTTATATTTTTTTCGTTGTTTGTAATTATTTATAATTTTATTAAACTCGTTTTACTTTTAAAGATTTTAATTTGAATTTTTTTTTAAAAAATAGCTTATATTAAAAGTTTCTTATAAAATATAGAAAGTGATAAACTTAATAAAACAATTTTTTTTAATTATTGTGATTGTTCCTTTAATAACTAAAGAATTTTATAATTTAAATTTTATTTTCTTACTCTTCTTTATATCCATATTTATGTTTATTGGCATATATAATTACTATTTGACTTTCTGTGTTAGCTTAAAGATATGGAAGCAGAGATTGAGTACGACAGCGATGACAATCCGATTGTGGTGACCAGGGAAATACTTCCTTTACCTCCCCTGGATCATGAAAGTATCAGCTATATGGATTTTAATAAAAATTTTTATTGTGAGCACGAGACCATAAAGGTCACCCAGAAATTATTTATTAAACGTTGTAGATTTGTTAAATTTAGTTTTTAGGCTCTTTCTAACGAGGAAGTAAAGCAGTTTAGATCTAAAATGTCAATGCGAGTTTCTGGATTGGACCCCCCTCGACCCGTTTGCAGTTTTGCTCATTTTGGATTTGACGATAGGTTTATTATTTTAATATTCTATATATATAGCTAATAAGTTTTAAGTTAGAAATAAATTAATTAAGTTTTTGATAATTTATGTATATAGATTAATGCGACAGATCATCAAGATGGGATTTACTGAGCCTACTGCTATACAGGCACAAGCCATACCAGCCGGTTTTATACAATTTATATTTATTTGTAATATATAAATCATTTATTATAAATAACTTTAGCATTGTCAGGCCGCGATGTTATTGGCATTGCTAAAACAGGTATCTTGCTGCTTATACTTTTTTAATTGTAAATTTTTTATATATTTATTAGTAATTATAAAATTTTAATAAGGCTCTGGAAAAACATGTTCTTTTTTATGGCCCATGTTAGTCCACATTAATGATCAGCCTGAATTACCTATGGAAGAAGGCCCTATTGGTTTGGTGGGATACTCTTTTAGACTGAAAATATTAAAAATTATAAAAAAATTATTTACTGAAAGATTTGTGCGCCAACTAGAGAACTCGCACAACAAATCTTTGTTGAAGCTAAACGTTTTTCCTCGTGTTATGGATTTCGTGTTGTAGCGGTTTATGGTATGGTTTTAATTAAATAACATAAGTTAGTTTATTTTGGCAAGTAAATGCTGTTGAATTTAATAGCATTTTTACGTAGGTGGGGATAGCAAATACGAGCAAACTAAATCACTGAAAGACGGTGCCGAAATTGTAGTAGCAACTCCTGTATCCTATTATATAGATTTTTATTCGTTATTATAATTGGTATTATTATTACTGAAGGGACGCTTAATTGACCACGCAAAAACATTGAAGCAAAATTTTAGTTTTTTTAGAGTTACCTTTTTGGTTCTAGATGAGGCGGATCGGATGTTTGATCTCGGCTTTGAGCCGCAAGTTAAGTAATTTCGCCCTCATTGTATAAATCTCGGCAAATTATATCGTTATTTGGTTAATTTTATAGATCCATTGTGCAAAACACGCGTCCCGATAGGCAAAGTAGCCTTTTTATTATTAATGATAATATTTTTGCTTATTATATGGAAGCCATGCTTTTTAGCGCAACTTTTAAGGGAAAAGTAGAGAAACTGGCTCGTGAGTGTTTGACGGATCCAGTAAGAATAGTTATTGGTGACGTTGGAGAGGTAATAATAATAATAGTAATTATAAAATTAAAATAGTAACATTTAAAAATTTAAAAATAATTAAAGTCATAAAGGTATTATTATATAAATTAGTAACATTATATGTAATAAATATATGATATTATATAGTAAAAGAATTACCATAATATTTTTTATAGTAACAGTAATGAAATACATATTGTGAAAAAGCATTTTTATAACGTGATATAACATTTTAAACGGTTTATTTTTTACTGCAAAGTATGAAAGTAATTGTATTAATATTAATATATTTCATTTTACTAAGTATTATTATAAAATAAAAAGAACAACTTGATAGTAAGAAAAGGTTGTGGTGTAAGAAATAATATATTGTGTATAATACATAAGGCCAATGAAGATGTTACGCAGCATGTCCATATATTTCAAGAGCCAGCGCTGAAGTGGACGTGGTTAACAGAGAACATCGTCTCGTTCCTTTCTGGTCTATTTTTTATTTCTTTTTTTTTTTTGGATTGTGCGTTTATTACAACTTATAGAGGGAAGCGTGTTAATTTTTGTTAATAAAAAAGTCCACTGTGAAGAGCTTACTAATAATTTAAAAAGTTCCGGTTATGAAGGTTTCTTTTTACTATTTCATCTTCCAAGTTACTTATTGTAAATTTCAATAGTTTGCTGTCTTCACGGAGATATGGACCAAGTTAATAGAAATTTAGTACTTAACGAGTTTAAAAAAAACAAAATACCTCTGCTAGTGGCCACAGACGTGGCGGGTGAGACCATACGCAGCTCACATTGGTCTATTCTGCTTAATTAAAAACTGCGTTTAGCACGTGGCTTGGACATTCCGCTTATTAAAATTGTGGTTAACTACGATGTTGCTCGAGATATCGACACACACACCCACCGGATTGGTCGGACAGGCCGGGCAGGTGACCATTGCGGCATCTCTTGATTTAGATTTTGTCATAAAACTTGTGCATTAGGCTCCAAGGGGACCGCCCATACTTTGCTAACTCCTAAGGATGAAGTGTTTGCCGGGCACTTAGTTAGGAATCTTGAAGGCTTTTTTACACTTTTTTTTAAATACGTTGTAGTTTTTACTTACCCGCACTGATTTAGGAGCAAACCAGATTGTACCTACCGAATTGTTGGAACTTGCAAAGAAAGTCGTTTTATTTTGGACTTAGTTATAATTTTTTAAGTGGAATTTGTGTTTTCTAGAATCCTCGATTTTTGAAGTCGCGGTCGCATGGAAAAAACAAGTCAGGTCATGCCTTTGCATAAATTTAAATTTTATAAGAAGGTTTTTATATTGTCTCTTCAGGCGTAGGGAGATTCGGGGCCCGAAGCCATTTGGGGATAGGAATGAAGGACACGGATCAGGTTGTCCTCAAAAAACAAAAGAAGAAAAAAGCAGATTTTGTTTCCTTTGGGACATCCCGCTCTCAAGTATATTTTTTTATATTAATATTATTATTTCTACTATTTTTTATTAGGTAATGGCCCAGTTCAAGTCTACTTTTGTTTCGGGATCGCACCTTACCAACATCGACACTGAAGTGATTTCCAGGTGCGAAGAGAAAGAGAGGCAACGCAAAGCGAAGAAGGAAGAGGAAAATGGGAAAGTAAAAGGAGAGAGACAACTAGACTCTGCTTACAAAAGGCGAAGATTTCACTAGTGAATTAAAGGGTCATGCCCAGCAAAATAATGTGTAGACCGTTCACTTTTTTTGTCGTACAACGTTGGAGGTAATTTTTGTATATAAATAAAATTTCACTATTGTTTTTGTTTAAAAATATGTGCACAGCATTTAAGATCCAAATTATAAGGATTGTGATAAAAGAAATACTTAGTTTAACTTAATATTTATTTGGACATTCATACATATTTATATATTAGAAGTATATAAAAGTAATTATAGATTGGAAATATATTGTTTTTAACTAAAAATCCAGGAACGCAATACTTAGGCATTAATAGGGATATCGAGCTATTTTTAATTTTTTTTTCAAACAACGAAGAAGAAAACAAAAAAGACTTTCCTTTCTGAAGTTAACATTCTGTGGAGCGCAAATCATTTTTGGTTAAAAGTTAGTGAATTCTACATAAATAAAAGTTTCAGGGCTTAGCCAGTGTAGTTAGTGGTAGTTCTTTTTCATTTCTGAAATATAATTTTTCATATCTTCCGTTTAAGCGAGAGCACTGCATGGTAGGCTTACTTTATGGGTAGATTATATTATAACTTGGTTAAACTTCTTTTTTTAGCTCTATTTTTTGTTTAATACCGCTCCTACTTCGCTCACTTTTTTTAACAAAGTGAAACTAGCCAAGGGAACGTCGTTAGAAATAGTTCGTAACACCGTTAGGCAGATAAAATAACTTGGAGAACAAAATATAGTCAAACTGGGAAAGAGAGCGTCTTCTTTTCTAATAATAGTTTTTATAGCCCAAGCAGATTTTTAAATTGTAGTAAAAAAAAACTAATTTAGTAGGTTTTACTTCTCGCTACTCTGCCTATATCAAAGTCCTGTGTAATGGCTCTAAACGGAAAACAAACTTCCAGCCATGGCTTTACTGAGGCCTCTTGATATTTAGGACTTTAAAAATAGAGAACTGACCTGCTTAAAAGGAGAAAAGCCAGAAATGGAGCACTTTAAAGAGACCTCTCTTTAATAATGAGAGCCCTATAAATAATAAACTTAAAAAAAATTCTCGATTTTGTAACATTAGGTTTTTGCATGTACATATTTTTTAAACTTTTTATGAAGAGTAATATATAACTGTATGTACACCTAATGTAATCGCTGTTGGCCTACCCATAGTACTTATATAATGTTTTGTTAAGTTACACTAAACCGTGGAAGTAAAACCATGATTCTTCCAATCAAAACTTTTTTTGAAATCAGTAGAATTACAATTGTTAACACATTTTTATTGTGGTCATAGCTCGCAGATCTTCTGATTTACGCCTTTTCTAACTTTATCTATACTTTATAAAACAAATTTGTGTATAGTCATCTAACTTTTGTTAAAAAAAAATTCTTTTAACTCTGAATATTCCAATTCTTTTTATGGATTTTAGACATAATTACCCCTTGAGTCATTTGGAAATTCTGTGCGAATGAAGTTACAATAAGTACGACAACTAAGGCAGGAAGTACTCTGGAGTTCATTTCAAGATTAGTTTGGGTGATCGACGGTACGATCACTTTGGATTAAAATTAATTTAGAGTATTTTAATCACAGAAATCTTAAAAAACTCGCAAGATTTTTCTCCAATTATATTTTTAAAATTATTGGGGACTACGTTTTACGAAAGACAATAATGAATAATTTCGGTCCACGAGCTATATTTAACGTTAATAAAAATTTTCAATAAAGCAGTAAATACGCGGGTTAAATTGGTCGAGTCAGCGTAAAGAATATTTACCATAAAAAATTTTTAATATTAAACTTTAATTTTTTTTTTTTTATAAAAAAATATTTCAGACAAGTTTAAACTGAACATTTAATATAGAAAGTGGTGCTTTTCCCGCCTCGTCATACTCGGTAAAATCTCCTTTATTTATAAATTCTAAAGTAATATTAAGAAAGGATCGGAACTTAAAATCTGTACCTTCAGTGAGTTCAACTTCATCAAAAGTCGTGGCAGAGCTGAGGGCTCTACAGGAAAATCCAGACTTGGGTAAAAAGAATAACATTAATAATCTAATTAAGAAAAGCGAAATTTTATATAAAGCAAAAGTTTTCTATAATTTGAAGCCCGTTGAAGTTGTTTTATATTATAATTAAGTGGAAGCCAAGTATAATAAAAATTACTCTATACTCAAAATCTTGAGGGGTCCACCCTCTAGTATTAAAGGAAATAATGGTTTTCCATGACTCAGAATCTTCATAAAGATAGGCACGAATAGAACCTTGCACAACACCTGTATTGTTTATTATAAAAATTCTGCATAATACTAGGCAAAGTGAAAATTACTAATCGAGTTATTTGAGGAACAAAATTTGCACTTCATCACTAGATTAGCAGCCCCCCTACTTTCGGGAATCTCGCAAAATTCCTTATAATAAATTTCAAAAATGTAGTTTACTAAGTTTATAATAACTAGAACAGCATGATACCGTAGCACAGACATAAATCCACTTATTATATATTTCCCCACAACGGCAGCGAACCTTTGAGTGCCGAATAGAAATACGTTATAAAAATATTTAAAAAATTATAATATTTATTGTTAAAAAACTTTTAAATGGTATCTATAATCCGGAGGAAAAACAATTTCTGTAACATTTTCCAACTGTGCTTTTAATTGTAAGTGCACAACCTTTTTTTAAAAATTGAAAAATGGATATGAATATACTGACATGGCAAATATTTGTACAAAAAATCAATAATAAAAAGAGAAAAAAAGTCCCATCGTCCTCTATCTGGCTAATAAGGTGAAAGCAGGGTTGATAATGGCTTTTATTCAAAATTCTAACTGAAACAATAAATTAAAGTTTCCCTAAGTTTTGCGTCTTTACCGATGAAAGGACGCCCCTTAACTTAAAGAATAAAAGACAAAGAAAATAGCGATTTTATTCTGGTTATTTTTACAGAAATCTAAAAATATTTGTTTTTAAGTTTTGCGTTAATCTAAGACCGCAACCATATTCCGGGCACGTTTACAAAATTGAATTTAAATTTACTTTTTACCCCTATACTAAATTAACCAGTAATTGGTGGTTGTCAAACCAGGCTGAATTAAGAAGTGTTGTTACATGATTATAGGTAGTAGGGTCATTAACAGTCTTTGTACCTTTCAATGAGTTCGCTCTCTACCGGTGTAGTAAGCGCACACTGCGAAATAATATTTTAATTTGAACTATACCCCTGCAGATCCTACCCCGCTTCTCTATCTACGTTGCTCTTATTTCCTCAATTTGTGTTATGACCTCCCCGTTTCAGGACGTTTGTGAATCCGATGATTCCGGTTTTGAGGGATAGGCAACAAATTTTTTTAATGAGTTAGACATTTAGTGGTGACGAAGGAGGCATAGAGGACCCAGGCTTCGTTAGTGATCATGACCGTGATTCCCAAAAAGCCAACTACAGAAAAAAAGCAGAAGGAAAATTCCAAAGCATATTATGAAAAGAACAATTTCGTACGGTCTGCAGAACCTCCATAGTCTAACGTCCGAACAAGGATGTGTAACATAACTACACACCTCCGAGGCATTATTGGTCCAGCAAAGCAGAAAGGATGTGTACTCAGCTTTCTGCCGAGGGCTATTATTCAGATGAAATATTGAAAAAAACATTCAACGGATAAACGAAAAGGTGACGCAAGTTAGACTGCGGCTTTCCTTAGAAGTTAGATTCGGTTACAGAGATGTAAAACTCATAGGATTTTGAGAGTTCCTGAAGAATTTGAGATATTCTTCAGCTCTTAAATTGTATCATAATGATCTTAAAGCAAGTTGCTACAGATGGCACCAGTCGCGAGTATCTTCGTTGCGTCATCTCTTTAAAATGGATACTAGTCTTTCTAGCATGCGTTCGCTTTAATAATGCCTCTGATAAAGCAAAGAAAAATAAAAACTGCTACAACTGCTGCAATTTTCTTGGGTATTAGAGGCCGTTGTAAAAATTATCAACCATGCTACTTTATTAAATACGCTTGCGTAGACGGAAATGATTGTTGAATTTAGAGGGCCATGTATTCCGTACGTATATGCCAAGTAAACCTCGAAAGTACGGTGTAAAAATGATGGTATTGAACGTTGCGAAAACCCACCTCTACTCGAACGCCTATATATATTCTGACTTACCTTTTATGAAAATTAAAAAATGGGGAAAACAGGCACAGTCAGTTTACGTTAGGCTTCCACTCATGGAACCAACCGAAACATTACTGCTGATAACTGGTTCTCATTCATCCCTCTTGCACTGGAACTATAGAAGAAATAAATGACATTGTTAGGACTTTGAAAAGGAAGAAAGAGAAGTACCTCTTGAATTTCTTCCTGCAAAAAGAAGAGAAGAAATGTCCGCCCATTTCTGTTTTACTAAAGACCTTAATTTAGTGTCTTTTGTGCCAAAGAATAATTTTGACTGCTAATTTCGTCAGTGCACCTCGATAGCCAGAAATTATCCAGTTTTACAATGAAACACCATTGGAAGCGTGGAAGCTTTAACTGCAAAAACACCATTTGTTCTATTGGTCATCGAACCAACCGATGGCCTCAAGCTATTTTCTTTACTCTTATAAACATTTGCATCGTGGAGGCTTAGGTATTATTTTATAGTTTTCTTGAAAGTCCTGGGCAGAAGAGAACTGAATGTATCAAAAGTTTTGCTAAACAACTTGTAGAGCTTCATCTGCTCAGAAGGCTGCTTGGAACAGTCACCTACCTCGTGAATACCACTGATCATCCCACAAAATCCTCGAAAAGTTTATTACCAGCCCGTCGCTCATAACTCTGGAATGACAATGTATATGGGGTATGTCCAAGAGGCCAAGATAGAAAGACAAGGTTTATTCGCGTTAAATGTAGCACACCGACCTAGCAGCTGCACTGTTAGTCGTTGTGTGGATTATACTCAATAGATTTTTGCCAAATAGTTATTAAAATATACTATCTTGTTTTATAGTCAGGATCCTTTTTCCAGTCGTTATAACTTACACAGCGTTAGCTCCTTATGCTTGTTTGTTCTATTATTGAAATAAACGCATATGTCAGTTTCGTACATCCTATAACATTAATTTACATTTATAAGCATATCTTGTATTTTAATGCTTATATATGCATTCATAAGAGTTCCTATACAAAAATTAGATATAAAAACGTTCCTTTATTTTTGTTTAAAAAAAATTTTTTTTTATAAATTGGGTCGCCAGTTAGCTTATAGACAGCTTAACTCACCAGTTACGGGTTAAGCTCTTTTTATTTAAGGCATAAACATTTAAAAATAATCTTTCAGAGCGGATTATATACAGGCAAAAATTTATTTGGTGCTTGATCGATCAGAGTTATAAAATTGGATGGTAGTCTAATATAATTTTGTTTCCTTTGTGTAAAGTTTTTTTTTAAAACTCAGTTTTTGTTAATTTTTTTTAATTACGTTCCACCGTTGCTTACATTGCGTCCGTTGGTAATTGTTATCACGTCTTGTGTTACGAACCTAAGGCCTTAAGATTTTTCCGAAGGTAGTAAGCAGCTTCTGAGAGCAAAAGGTATATAATATAGTACCAAATTAAAAGTAAACAATCAAATTAAAGACACAACTAAGTTCTTAGAACAAGATGGAGCTAAGACACAACTAATATAAAGCCGCGCACAATCGGGAATAGAATAAATGATTAAGAATTTTAAAGAGATATAGAGCACAAAAACTGAAAACAGTAGAAGAAAAGGAAACCTGAAGAAGAAGTAAGAGAACGCACTTTATTATAAAGATATAGAACCAGCTCCTTGTACTGAATAGGAAGCCTTAAACATCTGTTTGCGTGCTAAAAACAAATAAATCCGACCAGAAAAATAAAGTTTGGGGCGCAAGCTAGATCATAGCCCCATGAAGGTCTTAAAAAGAAAGGGATAATGAATATTAAGATAAATCAAGAATAAATAAAAGTAAATAATAAAAAATAAGACTAAAATAACAAAGAGACCAGTATGGAAAATATTGAAAAAAAGAATAGAAAATGGACACAGGCAAGTGCCCCTTGACAACTTTTTTTTTCACTGACCCACTATGACCAGCCCCAAGAACATTTGGCACTTGATCAGTATTATTTTTCTTAAAGGGGTCAAATAGTTGTGATATCATGACCGTGCCATCCTGCCTAGAAAGCTAGAACCCGATCAGCATTGCCAACAGCCCTGCGCTTTTATATCATGCGACAGTACTCCATGTAAAGGAAAATACTTTATAAATCTAAGATTACTAATACTTACAGTCATAAACTCACTTCTGAGCCTATATTCCTTATATTGCTTAAAAATGTTTTAAGAAAAAACTGCTTTTTTTTGATTCGCTCTACATTGAAGATGGTAGGCCTAACAACTCTCCATCTAGCCCAACCCAGACCCAAACAGCCAAAGACCATCCGAATGAGTATGAATAGGCAGCAACAATGCAACTGTACATTTAGCTATGGATTTCTAATGCTGCATGTATTAAATTGCACTAATAGTTCGGGCACGGAATGTGAGTTTTAGGTTATATCACTCATTCTATAGATCTTCTCACCATGACGTCCGTCTGCAACTACTTACTTGGATGACGATAGCTTTCTATAGAACTTAGCTGGTTTTATCAACGTGTTTATAGTATCAAGTTTGATTGCGCCAGCTCTTTCTAGGGAAAAATCATAAAGGACGCTTAGAAAAGCAATGGTAGCACTCACCGAGAAGCGGTCACCGAAGGGAAATAGTCGATGCTATTGGTATTTTATTATTATGTTTCCGCTATAAAACCTTAGATATAAATTTTGAGGGATCACATCTAGTTAACGAACACAATGATAACCGTAATGCTTCAACTTAAGATAAACAGAAGATTTTAACTGCCACAGGGCATTATTCAGCTTTTAATTTTCTCCAGTTTTAAGAGTATATCTTTTGATACGTGCGTCACTAGCATAATTTTTAGCTACTTCTTGCAACTTTGAGGCTCTCCGCAGTACAATGTGACTCTCAATACAGAGCTTCAATCAGGAAGTTACCATAATCGCGTTCCAGTGAGTTGCACAGTTAATTAACTGTTAGTATCATAATTGTGTTCGAGTTTTATTGGTTTAATTTTACTGTAACATCAATGTAGACCCTCTTTGGAAAGTAGAGAGTAAGACCCGATAGAGTTGCTTTTGTATTCACGTTGCATTCCACCAACGGATGGCAACCCATTGTCTGCCCTAGATCGAACCGTCTGGCTGCCGCCGAGATTAACGTAAAGGCTGAACGCGAATTTTATATATAGGGTTTTTTGACCGCTTTAAAAGGTTAACCCGGCGGGAGAAAGCAATCGTTACTTTAGTCAAGAGTGTACTAAACTTAGCGAAGAATCAAAAGGTTAGATCCAACGGTCAAAGCTAAGACAAACCGCTCGACAAAGTCAACCCACTAAGTAGCCGACCTACGCAGTGACCAAGCCACGTAAACTATAACCAAACCAAGGTTTTACCAGCTGTGATCACAGCTAAGTTTAAATTTCCTGCACACATCCCGCTCTAGAAGTGAGATACAAAGATGTTTAAATAAATGAATGCACAGGACATGCGCAAACAATGAGACAAGAGAAGGAGCCTCTTATCTCTTGTACAAGGTTTTAAAGTTGTTAATTATGCAAAATGACTCCTTTTTTTGAAGAGGATAAATAGTATCATTACCCAGTAAAAGTAAAGAAAAAGAAGATTTCGTAAAATTATATTAGGAG